AATTGTTCATGACTTACGATCAATCTTAGTCGTAAGTTTTTTTGTGAAACCGAATCCAGGGGATCAAACCCTTGACCTCTGGAACAATAAGTCAGACTATCAACTCATTTATTTCCTTATGCTATAAGACCATGGGGAGAGTAAATAAGATCTAGACATTATGCATCCAACTATAAGTTCAAATGTCAGAAAAATAAAACGATCTCCCTTTACAATGATGTCAAAGGACCAATAACATTAATTCACATTGAAATTTTGTTTATTTACATCAACTGTTTGTCCTCTCAATAGAGAATTGTACCAAAATATTTACCTATTACCTTAACAGCCAAACACTGTTATAAATTCCTAAATAAATTATCAAAAAAATGAAATACATGTATAAAAATTTGACATAAATGTTATTGTATTTGACAGGGTTCACCACAGAATGAAAATCAAGGGTGGGGGAGAAAGGTCATCAAATCAGAGATGGTGTGTTGCATTGTTGAATCATTTCTTGCGGACAAATTGTTCCTTATTTGTTGCTAACTTTATGTCCTACAAGTTCTTGTAATATTTAGTTAATTTGGAAAGGGGCATTTCTCATACATTTTGTAGTTGGTCCTATTAGTGGTCACCACACTTTTAGGAACCTATTAAACTGGGAGAAGTAAAACCTAATATGGCTTCCAAGATTTCAAGGATATTTTAAGTGAGGGATCCACATATTGCTTTTCATGTGATAAAGTATGCATTTTACAATTGATTTCAAGAAGCTTCACATTCCTAAGCAGATTTTTATTTTCACCAGGCTATCCTAAATAGGAATTCTGAAACACTGAATTTGTTTTCATTATTGATAAGAGTTGTGTCTCTTGAACTGGTTCTTGCATAGTAATAGATCAAAGTCATACTTTTTTTAAACATTGTTCCTCATTCCTTAAAATTACCCATAGCCTTTGTTATAACAGCACCAATAGTATGATTTGGATGGTAGGAATATATTTTTATCACACTGCACTTGCTTCATACATACAACCTTTCATTTAAGCAATAGCTAAAATATTCTACATAACATGTACCAATGTACCACTTGATCAATCTACAAAAATGTATAGAGATGAATTGAAACTTTAATTGGGTAAACATTTGGTATTGTGAAAGGACAAATCCTTTTGAATATGGACAGTAATAATGGTATAATATGGTCTATGGATATCAAAATTTCAAAAATAAGTACAAACAAAACAATAATAAGCAATACCATATGAAAGAATGATAACAGTTACTAACAGTAAACTCAAAGTACACTTCATCTGCTGATTTGAAATCATGCTGTCATACATGTACACTCCAATATCCATTGCTGTAATTTACAGAAATTTTACACAGCACCATCATAAACAGTACAGGAAGTCTGAGGAGGACACTAAATCTTCCACAATCCCAGAACAATTTTGTATAAAATATTTATTAAATAAATGCAGTAACCAATTAATGCTGATATACCAGATGCAATGATTGAAAAACAGTATAATTAAAACCTTTATCAATACATCTTAGAGCCAAAACTAAAATTTTAAGGACCAGTCTTAAAATTGTTAGGTGTATGAAGGAGTTGGATAATAGAAAAGTTGATTTGCGTCTGAAATGGTCCTGAAAAACTTTCAACAACATTGCTGCAATAAAACTTTCTGTCATGTGATCTCCGGTAATGAATGCAAGAAACATTTAAAACAACTTTTAAATAAACATGTATGACAATTCTTTGCTGACATACTTTTTTTAAAACACACATGACTACAGCAATATAAAACAAAAATTTGAAGCTGGTGATGATCAACTTACTAGTATCAAACATGCCAAATCCACCTGTTCAAACCAATAATCTTTAGGTGCTCATGGGGCACATGTAGCACCTGCTCCATATTATTATCATAAAAAAAAGGAGCGAAATACCTCTTTTTATGAAAATATTTCATTGAAATCTGAGACATTCCTCAAGCATGCACATATTTAACCAACTAAAAAATTGTAAACAGAACATCAAGTCCTACATGTAGGCCTGCTTATCATAGATTTTGGTAGGAAATTTAAGGGTACCATGAGAAATTATAATTTCAAGGTCTTAAATAAGCATTGGTCACTATAAACTATAATAGATCATAATATGAGAGATTTGAGGTGGATAAAGGAGTAATTTGGTAAGGGCCAGAGTCAGATTTAAGGGGGGACCTTATTATTAAAATATCAGTGCAAATTCCCTCAAGTCAGCAAAATTTAACTCGTTATACCAGAGACATATAATACATTTATTATATACATGTATGTCTCTGGTTATACATATACTGACCACTAGAATCTACACAAAAAAAAACTTTTTTTCTGAACAATATTTATTTACTTGCTCAATTCATTATGACAACAGATACAGTTAATATAAGTTGGCCTCATATCTTGTTTTACACCTAGAAATTGCCAATGATGGTCGGTTAAAAACAAAACTTTACGACAAAAGAGATGATTTCAGCTTCCCAACTGTGAACTTCCCATTTCTATGTAGCAACATTCCAGCAGCACCTGCATACGCAGTATATAATTATCTCCCAGTTGATATGATATTCCAGTGCTTGTATTTCCTCTCATGATTTACTTCATAGAGGGTTGCTGCTCACAAGGAAGCTGTTAAACCAAGTGCTGCTCACAAGGAAGCTGTTAAACCAAGAGTTCCAAGTGGTGAAGTTGAAATCTTCCCTTCATAAAGGACGCCATCACGAGTTGGTTGACAGTTATGGAATACCTCTTTCACAGATGACAATGGTTTTGTTCCAATTGTCATAACTACAATCCGATCCCCTTTTCCTCGAATGTGACTTACCGAATTAGACTTATCGCTAACATGAGCAACATGATGGGTGCCACATGTGGACCAGGATCTGCTTACCCTTCTGGGGCACCTGAGATCACCCGTTTTTGGTGGGGTTTGTGTTGCTCAGTCTTTGGTTTTCTATGTTGTGTTTTGTGTACTGTTGTTTGTCTGTCTTAATTCTTTTTAGCCATGGAGTAGTCAGTTTATTTTATGACCTGTGAGTTTGAATGTCCCTTTGGTATCCTTCGCCTTTCTTTTACAATTTATTTTATGTGTTTTGGGATCTCTTATCAGACCTTTGTGTATCGCATGTTTCAATTTGGTTAGTCAAATGAGAAATCAACCGTTTATCCCTCCAAAATGGCTACCATGGGAAATTACTCAAACTCAAATTACTTCATTCAAAACTACATGTATCTTTTCCCAGCAGTTCTCAAGAATAACATTTGTGGTTGAAACACAACCTTGATCAATGTTATATAGAAATATGAAAATGTGGTCTGAGTGCCAATGAGACAACATGCCATCCAAGTCACAATGAGTAAAAAGTTCACAATTATTGGTCAAAGTAAGGCCTTCAACACGAAGCCTTAATTGGCTCACACCGAACAGAAAGCTATAAAGGGCACCAAAATGACTAGTGGAAAACACTTCAAACAGGAAAACCAAAAGTCTAACATCAACAAACGACAACCACTGAATAACAGTCAACAGGTTCCTGACTTAGTTAGGACAAGTGTTCTAGATTATTTCTCTACATAGTCTTTGTAACATCTAATAAAATTACTTTATATACCTACCTACCTTTACTTTTGGTCTACCATGAAGGACATGAGGCAGTAAATAAGTTTATCCAGATATGAACCGATCATGGTATATTTTTTGTCAAACTCAAAGAGAACATTATTGAAGATCTTTGCACAGTCATTGTATAGTTCCATTTGCTAGGAATGCAACCGAATGTCATTTTAGAAAGCTCCTTTTACAAAAAAAAAAAACGAGACATATAATACAATATCTCTGTCATAAATGGATCAAGGGTGAGACAATTGATGGTTTTTTTTGTTTGCATGTTTCCAGTTTCCAGTTTCCGCAGCACTTTCAGGACACCGGAAACTTCTAAACTAAATTCAAAATCTAATGCGGATGGGTCGTGATTCATCTTTACCGGAATAAATTGGAAAGATAAGATCACTGCAAGTGATGCCTACGAAATTTTTCTTCGACTAACCATTGGTAATTAATCAGGCGTAAGCTGTTTAAAAAACGGGTGTTAACATTGCATTTTGAAGTTGCAGGTGGTAAGCTAATCGGGAATTCGGTACTCCACATTATTACATGCTATATCATCCCGTGAGATTCCAATCATGGAATATCTAGTTCCCCGATTACGTATCATTTTTTGTTTCGACTTCGCTCGGATCATGCCTATGCTATTATTAAAACCGACTGTCTTTTATTAAATATAAGTTTAAAAACGTAATTTATATTTTATGTCGTTTTTCACGACAGGGGTTAACTTCAAGTGCTCTTAAATTATTTTTACATTTTTCGTGATATATTAAGATGATATTAATGATTTGGAACAGTATGAAAATCTGTAATTTATTACTCAGGTATTTGTATCAGCAAGACGGCTAAAATTAACTGGTGTGCCGCTATACAGATATAGGTCTAACCAAAATTACACCTGTAATATTGCTATGCTTTTTTATCTGTATTCTTTGTTTGGTTGTTGTTTTTTTTTTTATATATAATATGTTTCTCTCTGTCTCCAATGCAATTGATCATATAACCTCATGTACACTGATCGCTTAATTACTAAGTGTCTTGCCATGTCTTGTCTTATTCCTTCGACGAACAAGCGAGAAAGATCCGGATTTTTCTATTGACATATATGACACAGTTGTGTCTGGTAACAGTCCGCTTAAAGTTACGAAAATGATATCTGAACTGTTTTAAGACTCTCACCTTCTTGATTGTGGTGTTCTTTAGGCTAAACCCCATTATAGGATTAATGAGTCTACGATCAAAATTCAAAGAACGATCACCGGGAATGCAAAGAAACAAAATATGAGTATGTTTTCAGAACTATATATATAAAAGTATACTACAGTAAACAAATAAAGTTAACGAGCGACAAACTTACCTGACGAATTCGATATTTCCACATGGTGCACTTAATGTCTTTTATATTTGTCAAAATGTTTGCAATCATGCATATCAAAACTACACCCTTAGTTATAAGAGATATTCTCTGATAACAGCGATATAGAAAAGCTTATGTTAATGTTATGTAATGATGCTGTCAAAACGCGTCAAAAATGATGAAAACTTCATCTGCCAACATTGTTACTTTTGTTATTTTGTCACGCTGACTGCTTTCCTAAGTATTGTTTTCATGGTTTTTCTAGTTGACGATGATTTTCTGAAAACCTTGAGATTCCTTGTCGATATGTCAAAATTTCTGTAGGTCTTTTAATGTCTGCATTTTGAATTTGTTTTGTTTTTTGTTTATTTTTTTGGTCACAAGTTTTGGATTTATTTCCTCTCTCTTTATCTACCAGATTAAACAGGACCAATATCTACTAAGTCATTCTGTCCTCTTGAATTTTATTACTCCACTCCTTTTCGTGTGTGCGTCTCGTTGGATCTCTTTTATGCTCATGCATGGTCAAATCTCAAATGAGTGAAGTTGTTTCTATGGACACATTATTTTGATTTCAAGGTTATTGTTTTATTTACCCATATATTGTAATGATACACGTCGCAGAAAAGATATTTAGTTGAATTGATTCGGCCTATTTCGGATACACAAACGAACTTCAAAATTAGTTACTTAGATTTCCATGGAAAACATCGATACTCAAAATAATATCGGCTTCCAATCCCCAAAAGGTCAGAAATACCACGATTGACTGTTGATCATAAAAGAAGAAATTTAATTGTGATTATAGTTGCACAACCATTGCTTTTGCGATATGTCATTGTTTAAATATACAATGATTGTGTTTTCTAGCGAAACAAAAAGTAAGTCTGTATTCACTGAAGACTTGAACTTAATCAGATTTCAAAAGAAGGTCTTGAAATTTGAAAGGGCATCTTTTCAGTTTGAGGTGGTTAAACGTCCCGATGGACGCCAAGTGATTGCCAAAAAATAACACATGCTGATCACATCTCTGAAACCAACTGATACAGGTTAACCTAACAATCAATTGTATGCAGAATTTATGAACATTTACCGTGACGTGCATGTCAGATCGTTATGTGCAGTACTGATAGTTTCACAGCAACCCCATGTAAGGTTATGATTAAACTCCAGAACATTTAAGTCTGCTAGTAATTATGTCCTTGCTCTCAAACACAATCATCTCAACATGGAACCCCATGGATTGACTGGACATTTCGGCATTAAAACCCATGATAATAAGTTTGGCTGTGAAGGAAGTATGAACACGTAGTCACGTCCGGTCGGAATGCGGACGTTAAATCCGATGCCTTGTGTATGAAGAGTGCACGCTCTCTGTACGTTAAAGAATAGTGGGCCGTAGGTGCCTGTAATAAGGCTAAATTTCTGCCTTCTATTCAATAATAAGTTTGGCTGTGAAGGAAGTATGAACACGTAGTCACGTCCAGTCGAAATGCGGACGTTAAATCCGATGCCTTGTGTATGGAGAGTGCACGCTCTCTGTACGTTAAAGAATAGTGGGCCGTAGGTGCCTGTAATAAGGCTAAATTTCTGCCTTCTATTCAATAATAAGTTTGGCTGTGAAGGAAGTATGAACACGTAGTCACGTCCGGTCGGAATGCGGACGTTAAATCCGATGCCTTGTGTATGAAGAGTGCACGCTCTCTGTACGTTAAAGAATAGTGGGCCGTAGGTGCCTGTAATAAGGCTAAATTTCTGCCTTCTATTCAATAATAAGTTTGGCTGTGAAGGAAGTATGAACACGTAGTCACGTCCAGTCGAAATGCGGACGTTAAATCCGATGCCTTGTGTATGGAGAGTGCACGCTCTCTGTACGTTAAAGAATAGTGGGCCGTAGGTGCCTGTAATAAGGCTAAATTTCTGCCTTCTATTCAATAATAAGTTTGGCTGTGAAGGAAGTATGAACACGTAGTCACGTCCGGTCGGAATGCGGACGTTAAATCCGATGCCTTGTGTATGGAGAGTGCACGCTCTCTGTACGTTAAAGAATAGTGGGCCGTAGGTGCCTGTAATAAGGCTAAATTTCTGCCTTCTATTCAACATACCATTCATTTCCAGTGGCAGTCCAAACTATGATATCCTGCCCTTTATTTTGATTAGCCTTTTTAACAGAAGTTACCTATTGTATGAATTATCAATGGATTTCTCATCCTGAATATGCATGAAATAATTGCCAGCGCACTTTAAGCAATCTACAACCAATCAATCAATCTGAAGATGGATAAAGATCATTAACTCGTCATATCAAACTTGGTTTTAATCCCTTGAAAAGTTCTAGAGTTATAATCTAGTAACTCCTTACAATCGGCTTTGATTTCGGTTTGTGTATAGTTACTTTGACCTCAGACGTAGTGACATAAAAAAATCAGCAAGGATCTTCCTTTAAAATGTGATCATACATAGATGTAAGGTGACCTTCGATATAAAGTATTCGATTTATGGTGCGGAAACCATAATGTCTTAGAGACGGACAGGCACTTATATGATGGACTGACAGACGGACGGATTAAACACGGTAAATAACCATGTGCTTCTTCGTAGCTTTGGGTATAAAGCAACGTAGTATTTTTATATTTTGCGTTCATATGCACAAAATACACGCAGCATAAATGTGCATATGTGCAATTATTTTTAATCGAATTATGGACCTTAGATTTTGGAAATTGAAAGAGATGACAATTTTCAGCATGGGTTCTTATAAATGCAACCTGTGTCATGAATACATGTATATTAAATTTGGGTGGAGCATGGTAATGGAGTACTTTGAATTACGAACACCTGTTTTAGCACTTTATTCTAATAAAAATCAAGTTAGCACATATAAATTTATTATAAAAACATAATGAACACAAGATTTTTTAAAAAGTTTCTCAGTACATACAATTCACTTTTTGGGAGATTTTGCTGTTTTTCTGTCTGCTTTCTTGTTTTGTTGTTTGGGATGTTTATTGTTTTTTACGTTTTTCTGGTCATCTGAGGAGTTGACACCTGATCTTGCAGATATTGGCCGAGAACGTCCTTCTACTTTGGGATTCAAGGTTTCTGCAATTAAATTGTTAATATGTTCATTTTTTGTGTAATTGCTAATGCTTATTGGCTTAGAACTATCCGAAGTAATAACAGACGATCGTTTCCTTCGACATAGATGTCCTGCTAAAAGGATATATTTGAAGCATGAGGAGCAACACAATGAGTGACCACGATAACTATGTAAAATTCCAATTTCATCTAATCTTTTTTATTTTTCAAACTGTTCAGTGATTTTTGCATTGTGTTACTGACACACTTTGAGAACGAAATACCAATATTGCTAAACTGTTAATAACTGAGAGTCTATGGATTTCAATACTAGTTAATAATCAAAGTACTGAAATACTGAACATCGGATGACCGCAAGTTCTGGTGGATAGTCACAAGCACTTGTCTCAGAAAAAAAATCATATCTCTATACCTGAAAGTTAGGTTAAGGTACATAGATATATTTTTTTTCTGAGACAAGTTCTTGTGTGGATGATGAATGAATGACAGGGAATTCAACCTCACCGTAATAATTCATTATATTGTAGTGATATAATCATTTGTTATCAGTATACTCTGGTTTGTTGTTATATATTATATTAATATTTTTACAGTAATACCATTTATATATATAGCAGATCATCTTAATAACTCTACAGGCAAATTTTCATCCATTTATATATCATTATATTCTACTATTCTATTGATAGTGCAGTGAAAGTGCATGGTGGACGCTCTTCTGTAATAATTCGTTTTTCGATTAGATTGGATTTGAGTAGGCATTCATATTTTCCCGCTTTTGTTGCAAAAACGTTCTCGAGATATTCTTCCGCATGCGTTAACACAAACTTTCGGTATAAATGATTTGTTATTGATATATATATTTCTCACGACAAAACATTTTCATATCATTTATCTATGTACTTAAAAATTATTTTCATGAATATTTATTGATGAAGTTAATGTATAACAAGCGATCATAAGGAATGTTATTTTGCACTCCATAACATCCGCGTAATTATATGAAATACGCTCGGTTATCAGTCAACCGGCAAGGAAATTTCTGCGGCAACATAACACCGGTATGACCTCTCAAGGTCACATCCGATGTAATAACAGCAGAAGACGCAAAACAATCTTTTTATGACAATCTTATCGTTAGAACAAATTGTAAATGAATGATTTTTTTTATCATACATGATATTCAATTTCTATGTGTTGCATGCGTATAGTGTCTTTGTCATAGATACTTAGAAAATGCTGTGTAGCATCAGAAGGAGCATATATAACTCGATTCAGTACTTGCCAACAAATTCAGAATTATTTTCCATTCCTACCAGCATGGGTCTGTACATCGTTCTTGATCGGTCATAGTCATTTTCATGGTAAAGACCTGTAAAAAAAAACGCTAATAATCTTTATACTTCTTAATTTTGTTCTTTTATCGGCAAGCTTACTTAAATATCTAGAATGACTAAAATATTACACTGGAAGAATTCTCTTATAAACATAAAAGCTACACATGTATTGTATATAGGCATACCAGCTGTCATAAATCCGCAGAAAACGTGTTAGCAATTTTTTTGGAAATAAAAATAATGCAATAGCTTCCACAAGGTAAAATCGCACTCTACTTGTACTGCAAAAAACACCAACAAAAAACGATCCGTACAAATTCATGTACAAAATGTCTATTTTCTAGAGAACTAAATGTTTATTTTAGTTTCAGTTTAAGTTGAATGCCGTAAAATCTTCATAATATTTCAAAGAAACAAACCTTCAACTTTTAGTAGAATTAGAGTCTCCCTTTCTTTCAAAAAATCAACACCATACTCGAATGGGTGTCGTCTTAAATCTTTAACTATTCCATCTTCATCAGAAAGCTCTACTATATCTGAAAACAGTACCAAGATCTACACATTTCTTAAGATAGTTAACCTAAGCAATCTGCAAACAATCATTTAAGCGTATGATAGAAGAAAGTACGACTGCAATAAAACAAATGATCTCCATTTTTTGTCTCCCACGCGAAGCGTCCGTCTGTCCATGCGTTCGTTCTTCCGGTCTTTTTAGTGCTCTCACGTGTACAATTCTTACATAATTTGTATGAAATTTATATCATATAGGTTTACATCATAAATTTGAAAATCAGAACCAAACAACTATTTTAAAAAGAGTTATGCCGATTGAAAAAAAATATTGTAGAAAATTGCGTTAACTTAGCACTCTCGCGCTTTCCTTTCTTGTAAGACTGTTATGAAATTTATATCCCAGGTTTATATCAGAAATGTCTCTGGCGAGTTGGAAAATCAGCGCTGGACTTTTTTTTTTAGCAGTTATGTCCCTTCGAAATAATGTGATTTGTATTGGACATTGCATTGTAAGCACTCTCACACCTATATTTCTTTTCAAATCTTATATCAAAGGGTTATATCAGCGAGGTCATGGAAGAGTGCAAACCAACTATTTATACAGGAGCTATTCCCCTTTGAAATAGAAATGTATATGGAAAATAACCGTTGATTGTCAGTGATATCATGCCTACATGTAAAATATCTATCAAAAAATTAAAGGAAAAAATATTATTTTGTTAGTTATTGCTCTTAGACAGATAAAATGTGTCCAACGCAAGGGAAATTGGAACTGTTCTTTTGTTTGTTGGAAATTACCAGTTATACACAACGGACTGTGACCTTTTCCGGTTATTTTTCCACACCATGAATAAGTTATCTTTTCGGTGTTCTGTGGACGTGGACTTGTTTGTCATCTTTTTTGGAAGGATGGACATGTTTGTCTTTCGTTCTGTCTACTTATGATTTTTTTGTGCTATCTTCTCTAATTATTTTGGTATGTACATGTATCTACAAAAGGGGTTTAAGTTACAAATAAAGTACAACAAATCAATTTAAACATATGTAATAAGTGTATACATGCTTACCATTCAAGTTACATTTGCACTTTTCTTTAATGGAATGTAATAAAATGTCATTTCTGCAGTTGGCGTTGAAAATTTTACTCTGGTCATCTGTAAATGGATACAACAAACTGCAATTTTATAGTGTTGATAAAAAAGGAATCATTATTATAATTATACAAGAGTGTTCCTGTTTTTTGTTGTTGTGTATTTTGTATGTTCATTGTATTTCTTTATACTTCACGTCTCTTATCGAAATGTAAAGTGTGAACAAGTTTGCCTTTTAATATGAATCTAATCAACGAGGTTTATTTACTTATACAGTTTTCGCTGTTATTTAACATGTCAATTGAGAGAACATATAGGTAAAAATAAGCGCTCCTTACGCAAATATCGGTAGATTTTCAAACACACACGATAGGATTGTTCAACTTTATCTCTTGTAAAGTTCTTCAAGGGAAAAAAGTTTTGAGCAAACTAAAATCATGTATATCAAATCTACTTCAAATGTGTGGGATTATTTTATATGGCTAATCTACTGCTGCTTGGTTTATTGAGAGACAATAACCATAGGGTAGTTGAGTCATTTTCCATTCCATTACTTATAAGTCTAATATAACCTCCGACCCCACGGTCTCAACTTAATTTCTAAGCTAGAGTTAATGGGAATTAAACAAGGATATCTGGTACGATTGTCAACGAGACAACTATATATCCACCCCGAGTTTAAATGACGTGGATGTAAGTATGACCATGGAAGTAATATTTAAATATTACTTCCATGGTATGACTTTCAAGTGATTCACACGAAAGTATGAAAGTCATCAATACATTAAGGCATTGTGCACTACCTAATTTTCTTCTATCAAAATGTTTCTTTAGGGGGTGGGTCTTGTAGCCAAACATAGAATTTACTGGTGACCATCGTGACATTTTGTTTCAAGTGGTCAATTGATCCAACTATACGTACAATCTGTTGAATGTTTTTATCAATTTCTAAGAAAAAGTACAAGTATGGTGCATCATCATTGTTCTAGTAGTTTCCGTATATGTAAATGCTTCCAATTAAAATTTGCATATATTTTTGTTTTTCTTTTTTCAATGCCTTGTGTATTTCATTAGGGAAACCTGATATCAATTAAAATTAAATTAATAGGAAAAATAAAACCCATGTTATGAATCGATAACACTGTCACTGCTGCAATTACAAAACCTGCAATTTAATTCCCAAATCTTGGTTAATTACGCTAAACTAAGGTTAATTACTTACCCCCATATTTAACTGTGACAAACATCGTGAGCAGACTAGTATGTTATAATGATCTCCTCAAACTTCTGTCCTTTTACTTTTTGTTTACAAATCAATAAGTAAGATTAACCAATTTCACTGAATACTCAAATACAAAAGGGACGTTTTACGGAGGATCACAAAACACCGTTACAAATCCAATGATGATCAGTCGACTATCAAATAAACTTTATTTAAAAGCCAGATAATATCTTTCGTATACATTGCGATTTATTTTGTCTTTTGATATCAACTATTATTAAATTTTAATCTAACGTACAGCAATATTGGAGTTTAATCTCAATTAAACATCACTTGATTTAGTAATACTACACGTCAAAACGAGCACAATTGTTTAATTAAAATAAGCCTCGTGTATTAAATTGTTCAAGTGTTTTCAAAACCACTGGTTTTCGTGATCGACTCCTTCTTCTCCATTATACTAAAATGGGTTTATTTGATTTAAACATATATATTTCATTTATTACTTTGTACTACATTCAAAAGTGAGTATAAGTGGAATAGATGTTGCCGTATAGTACAATGATTTGGAATAAGTAAATAAGTGTCAAACTTTCACTAATAGTTTGATCGCAGACCAAGATGCACTGAATGCTCCTTATAGCATACGAAAATTGACTCGGAACAATGGTCAGAAAGTGTGGTAGATTGTAACAAATATAATTAATTTTTCATACAACAGAACTTGATTTGTTTTAGGGGTTCACTGAGATTACTTTATATTGCCTTTTTACAATAGTTAGTGGTATACTGTCAGCATGGATCAGTATTTCCTGTTAAGCAGTAAAGAATAAAAAGTTCATAAAAAATCTTAAACAACCGTTTTCCTAGTATCGTTGCACTCATTGTGTAACGGAACATGTCTCATTCGCAGCTTTGACAACAAAACTTGGAAGACATGACCTTGGTCAAATTATATTTACGGTATAGGAGGCAACCGGATTGGAGCAATAAGAAACTCGAAAAGATTATACATCACGATAATAGAAGGTAGTTCAAGGAAACTAATACGCTGAAAGATGAATTACAAACCTGGAAGTATTCACAGAGCCATATTGAAGAGAAAGGTAAAAGGAAGCACCAGGGGCGGATCCAGGATTTTAGGTTAGGGGGGTGCAAACTTAAATTTTCGCCGAGCGGAGCGATGCGAATTTTTTTTTCAGGTAAAATTATCGAAATATTCTTTATTAAGCTGAGGACAACCCATGCTTTGCAAATTTTAGGGGGGGGAGCATGCCCGCCACGCCCCCATCTAAATCCGCCCCTGAGCACAGGAGAGAGAACAATATTAGTTTAATCAAGAAAATGCCCAGTTTGGACATGACAAAATATTCGGAGGTGAAATGAAATTGTATAAAGCTTGTAACAAAGATGATAAGAGATTGTTTGGAAAGAAAGTAGATCTGACAAACAACGCTTCTTGAAAAAGTTGATTTGACGATGACAATATACCCTGTTCCAACTATAATCTTGAGATTGGCGAAAGAGTAAATAAATAAAGATTCTACCATTGCATCGAGTATGACACGATATTTCTCCACTCGAGACCAAGGATTTGAATGGTCTCTATACAAATCCTTGTCGAGACATGTAAATTTTCAAATTCCAAACGCAGAATTTTATCTAATTTCAAATTTCTGATTTTTTTCAAGCTCCAACGTAATATTTCATTTTGTAATGCATTGGAATTGGAATAACAGTACTGTAGTTGGAAGAGTTGCCGCCGTCAATTCCCGAGTGTAGACCCGTTGGAGAGAAAGATCGACGATTTTCTCAGAAAAGGGGTTACGAATATCACGGGACCTCATCTTTTTATCCAGAACACAGAACCACGGGACCTGATCTTTTTATCCATAACACAGAACTACCATCAATACCTTTGACTTGACCGGGATGTTAAAGGGCACTAGCATAAAAGAAAACATCACATAGGTCAACTTTATAAGAGCTGGCGATAACGAAGCTTAAACAGTAAAAGAATTGGAATTTTATAGTTGTGGGACATGTAGCTTACTTGCAGGTGGAAGAATAGATATATCCAGCAAAGCATGAGTCTTCAAGATGAAGTAATTGACATAGTACTTTTGTCAGTGGGAACCATGTGTATATTGATATAGCCGCATTGAATCTTGAGAAACATATAATAGCTATATTGATTATTGTTTACTTAAAGTCTAGTGGCAAATATTACATGCATATTTACAATTTAGAACTTCAGGACCAACTAGGAGTCGGTCGCAATTGCAGAGGCGGATTTAGAGAGTTTTTCAGGGGCCCGCCCCCCCCCCCCCCCCCCCTTTTGTGGGTAAAATTTGGTTGATTATATAGGGAATCTGTGTGTACTTACTGAACATCATTGGTGCTCAAACATTACATTTGACATCAAAAGCCCCCTTCATCAAGGTTTTAACTCCCCCTAAAAAATATTCGTATATGTAAAGTTATAAATATGACAATTCTATGTGTAATTTTTCAGAGAGATTATTAATACTAAATTTTAATCATATCGTCATTTAATATTACATCATGTTAAAAGCAAACTAAGCAAACAGTTTTCATTGAAATGTCCATTGCTGTACAAAATTTAAACCCCATTTCACATAATAAAGCAAACAAAGGAAGGCATATGCCGTAATGGATAACAAACATTTACATTTCACACCGTATACTGATCGTTTAGAGACTCACGTACGGAAAAGTTATACATTTAGTAAAGAAAAAGTAAGCATGTATGAATTTTGCGGTAAAATACTCATGCTTTTAGCACATTCAGATCATAAAAAGGAAATGATCAATTTTAGGGAAACTCCGTTACTAAATATGATATGAGTGAACAAAGGGGTGACAATTACCTTTACCGATCTAATTTACGTAGTGCACACTTTTTTCTGTGCAGTAAACCAACTGCAAAGTGATACGACTATCTCCCCTTTTCAAACTTTAATGAAATGTTGAAAAACTGTATATGTATATAATATGTTTACCGTTATAATTGAATTTTTTGAATTTCTAAAGCTTATCAATAATAAATCGGTTAATTGTTGGGAGTTATTCAATGAATTCGGTCATTAAATGTACTAGAGTGTTTATTTATTCTCGCGAAAATTAAGTTCTATTTCATTGCATGTTGGTTTAATTATATCTGAAGTGTTTAGAAATAATTCAATGTTAACTTTCAACATTATATATGACATCTTTCCCTTGTATCTAGATCTCTTGTTCGACATTTATTTACCATGGGAAAATAATAAACAAAGCGTTGACATACACCTTGATGTATTATATTTGCATCTATTTTCTGTCTGCACTCACCATGAATCGTCTTTATCCAGATAAATGTTTTTATATGTATAAAATGAAAGTCTTTTGCTTTGCGTTTGCACAAATAAACTGGGTAACACTGGTTGAAATTTACCAAGACAAACGTGACATGTATTACGATTATCGTTTTTTCGACTTTTGATATTTTCCGAAACGACATTAATGATGCACAGAGATCAAGACATCATACAATGAAGTCACAGACAAATGGTATACCCTTTCTAGGATATATGTTTTTGAGGTTAAACTTTAAGTGTAAGTCGGTCAAAGAATAACTGCTATTTTGGTAAATATTTCAAATGACTAACAACACATTACTTTATCTTAAACGGGAGAGTGATATAGGATATTGCTGTTATAGCAAAAGATAGACCCTAATGCACAGGACAACTGCAGTATAACACTGTATTACATACGAAAGCATTTGGACATTTTTGACATTTGTTATGCTAAGAAATGCTATTTTTCTTTAAATTTCGGGTCCACATGTCAAACCCCTACTAACTTTAACAGTTACATTTAAAGGACCATTTCGGTATTGGTGTTTTAAAGGTGCACTTTATGTTCATAATTATTTCCATGCTGATACATCATTTTCAATTTTCCCATTCTCTATATAAAAAGTATGTTATAAATGTAGAAGAGGGCAAGGTTTTCTTGACTAGATGTGTTCTTGTCTTGGTATACAAGACCATATGTCAAAAGGTCTATCCTTGGAATTGCCAATACTAAGTGATATTCACCAAAAAGTATGCTATAATTTAGAAGGTGGGTAAGATTTCTTGCCTAGATGTGTTCTTGGTACACGAGACCAGATGTCAAAAGGTTTATCTGTGGAATTTCCAATACTAAGTGATATTCACCAAAATTACAAAAATTACCATAAGAGGTATAGTCTGTATAACGTAGAACCAGTTGGGACTCATTTTGATTAGTTGGTTGGCACCATATAACTATGACCAAACCTCTACAAGATGCCCTTTCACTCCATTATTCATTAGAATTCAAGTGAAGGTTAGCAAATTTGTACAAGTCTGTATTTTTATAGACTGCACAGTATAACAAATGCCAACACTTACAAATAAATAAAACATCAGTGTTGAGTATCATATTGAGTAAAGGTATCTCAATAGCTGGAAACCCATTATGTACTGGAAGTAAAAACTAAAAAACATAACTGCAATATTTGTGGTTTAAAATTTGACCGAACTGATTATTCTTTTTTTTAATTTCAATAAATTGCTTCACTGAGGGCAGCTAGATACGACCGCAGAGGTCCAACCCTGAACAGTTGGGGCAAAAATGGACACAATATTCACGCTTGATACAGGTCTGAATTTGCATTGTAATTCAATATTTGACACATAATAGGTTTCTGACACAGAATAACTGTAGTCAAAGAACTTAGAATTGGTTATATGATTTGAATTTATATTCAATTTTTTGCTTTTGTGCAATACACTATGCTGTTGCGAATTGACCCCCCTCCCCAAAAAAAAAATTCCCCCCCCTTTTTTTGCTTTTGTACAATACACTATGCTGTTGCGAATTGATCTCCCCCCTTCTTTAAAGAAATTTTTTTTTTACCCCCCCCCCCCCCCCCCCCCCTTTAAAAAAAAAAAAATATTTGAAGAAATTTTTTCTTTTTGATTTCTGAAATCTTGAGGAGAAAAAATTGTCACCCCCAATTTTTTTTTGGGCTACAACGATGACGACGTGATACCAATATACGACCGCAAAATTTTTTGCGGTCATATAAAAAGGGTCAAACATGGAAAAGAATCATACTATTTGGAATAGAAGACACCATAGTAACACAGTTGGCTAGCACATTAAAATAAAGTATTCACACACATTTTTTTTTTTGGCAGTTTTTATTTTTTGTTTAATTCATTATTAAAATTCCCATATTTTAGAACATAGGTAAGGAATGTAATCTGCTAATGGAATTTGTACATCCACTGTGATGTTTTTGCTTTAGCTATTAATGATAAATCTCAAGTGCTTACAATCGATAGATTAAGGGAAATATTATCAATAGCTTCTTTAGGATACGATAGACACCAATCATGCAAGTCACAACATGGTATGAAAGTCTGAAAAACACATTTTGTTAGAGCTTTGTCATTAATAGATCAATGCAAATATTCAATGGAAGAGATTGTGTGATCATAGATTGTTTAATGTCCAGTGGCAAATATCTTATGATGCATACCAAGGATGTGTGGTGGCTTAGGACAGTATACAATCATACATCATCATGAAGACATTGACAGATCGATGGTAGAATTCAAACAGGCAATGCTTTATCCTAAACACTGCTGTAAATCACTAAATACTTGACTTCATAGCAATATGTGAATGAGATATAACATTGGCCAGAGCATAGCATATAGGTTGTGATGGAAAAATTTTATGATCAAGTACTTTACATATGGAAGTTCAATTATATCCCCCCCCAATTGGTCAGCCAGAATGTTTTGCTTTATGCACATCTTCATATTGTGCATCACATTACAATGGAATCCACCTAGTTTTGAGTTGTGCTTAAAAAGTATCATATAGTTCAAATAAATTCTGAGTTCTGTTATTAAGTACTGTTCCAACTTCAATGTAACATTCAGGCAAGACTCAGTCCATGACCATCTTTGATTTCCTTAACATATTGAAGTATCAATTGGATGTTACTAAAATACTTTAACATGCATTTTCAGTATTTTTGTGGTGAAAGAAGACAAAATATAAATTAAAGTTTGAATGAAGCGACTGTAAAGTAAAATCATTAAAAACTCTATAGAAAGTTTTGTTTAAAAGTAACACTGTCATGAGCACTACCTACCACATTGTTTTTTTGTTGTTGTTGTTCTCATAGTATGAGAGTTGAGATGCTGGATGTTTTCCACATTATTTAGTATCTTATAGTTGATCTTGGTTGTCACTTGTGACAGGACTTTGGGAATGAGCAAGCTAACTTTGGAAATATGCACAGTTGTGGAGCTCACATTTTAACTAATGCATAGTGAATATTGTGTGCCTATGAAACTGTAATTGAAGGTAAAAGTTCAGTTATCTACTGTTGAAAGGTTTGCATTAGATATGGGATTGTCATGGTAATATATCTTTGTTATACATGTACCAGATTTGGACAAAAAAATGTCTTGCAGAGGAAATAAAAACATACTAAATAATTATCAGAAGACAAATGACAGAAACAGAAACGAAAACAATTTGCTATTCAATTATGATTTTATAAATGGTATTGAATCATATAATATTACAAATCTTATCACAGATGTTCAGTTTTATGAATATCCTTCTCAAAAACACCAGGAAAGGCAGTTAAACGGTCCTGTACTTATATCTATGCAATGATATAGCTTTTAAAACTGTATGAAAAAATAATTCTTAATTTCCATTGGTTTAAGGATGTACTTAGGTGAGGTTTAGGAATTTTTGTCAAATGTTCGGACTCCCTGGTTTCTAACCTACGATACAGGGTAAAATATTTTGCCCCATAACACCCATTTTTCTTTTCAAATATGACTTTAATAGCTCATAATAGGTCATTTACCAAAATTTAAGCAGATTCTAGATTTCTTTTCTTTTGATTTGAGACCCAAATAATACCAAAAGTCCGAGTCAGCATTTTCCTGCCATTTTTTAAAAATCAAAATATCTCGAAAAGGAGGTTCATAACCTATCAATATTTTTAGCTTGTTTTTTTTTCCTTAACTAATGCTCTTCTGACTTATAGTATCAATTTTAAATTCTAGATTTTTTTAATTTCACCTCTAAGTACATCCTTAAGGATCGTAAGTTTTATTATAATTACTTTACCTTTATCCTTTATACAAATTAAATTTATCTGACCCATAAAAACTTTTGATTTTTAATCATGAAGGTTGATTAGTCTGAGATCATTAATAGAAATGATCCCTACTTCTTTAGTCAGAATATATTTTTAATTAAACTACAACAAAATTGAGTTCTGAAAACTTAATTGCAATACATTTTTGTAGCAAAAATATTACAGTATTGTCTGGAAAAACAAGAATCATAGTAATGAATACATGCACATTGTATCATTATAGAATGCAGCTACATGTAGTGCTTGTATAAAACCAATTATGTTCACTGACATTATAATAAATTATATAATCAGGTAAAATATTTCAATTTACTTATAACATATATCAATGCCATAGGACATTTAAAGATGAGATAACAAAGACATAGTCTTGTTGTTGTAATTATTTATACAATGAGAAAGAAAGTGGAAGAGACATTTATTTCAAATTTGTAAAGCTTGAAATTAGACTAGAATGTCTCACTCTGTGTGATAACACATGTATGTATCTAATAACTGTTTGTTTTCCTGGTGATAAATGTGTTGTTGATAATGTCTGCATTCTATGGTGGTCATTGGAGGCACAAGCTTGTAATGGTCCTGAAAAACGTCAGCTTCTCCAAGGTTGACTTTATTCTAAGTTACCAACCATTGATTATTCTAAATATTTTGAGTCGTAATGGCTTTTGTGGTCCTCGACTTGAATTCCTTTACTAATTCTCAGTGAATATCATCTGTTTTTCGCATTCAAAAAGCTTGCTTTTGCTAATGGTGACTGTAATATTTTGCGAGAAAGTCTGATTTGGCCACTGTGTGGATCACGGGCAAAATATTTCACTTGTATTTCATCTCCCACCTTTAAACCTAATGCTGAAGGATGATCAATCTGAAAATAAGGATAAAAACTTAAACTTTTTGAAAATCATTTTTTTCTTCCAAGAAATAAACTAGAGGCTCTAACATTGATATTTCACGACTAAGATCTCTTTTTTGTTGGTCTTGTAATGCTGATAAAGTTTTCTGCTTTTTCAATTTCTCTCCATCTACTATAGTTTTTGCCCAAAATACAAAAAAAATGGTAAAAATAGTCTTTTAAGGGTAATAGCTCCTATAAGATGTCAACTGACAATTTCAGCAATATTATTCATTTGTAGATTTTTCATGCTCATCATTTATTCTGTTAATTGTTTTTGTTTTATCTTTTATAGTTTTTTCATTATATTCAACAAGAGTGCTCACGCTGAAATGTCTCGCCTTCTTTACTAACCATTGATATTATGTTGATAGTCCTAAATATAAAGCTTTACTACAACTATCAACCTTACAATCATTCAATACACTAAATATAGTTGACCTATTGCTTATAGTTTCTAAGAAACAGACTTGACCAAGAAAACTAAACATTGACCAATGAACCATGAAAATGAGGTCAAGGTCAGATGAACCATGCCAGGCAGACATGTACACCTTACAATCAACCTATGCATTAAATATAGTTGACCTATTGCTTATAGTATCTAAGAAACAAACTTAACCATGTAAACTTAACATTGACCAATGAAACAATAAAATGAGGTCAAGGTCAGATGATACCTGCCAGACAGACATATACAGCTTACAATCCTTCTATACAAAAAATATAGTTGAACTATTGCTTATAGTTTAAGAAAAACAGACCAAAGCACAAAAACTTAACACTGAGCAATGAACCGTGAAAATGAGGTCAAGGTCAAATAAAGCCTGCGAGACTGACATGTGCATCATAAAATATTTCCATACACCAAATATAGTTGACCTATTGCATATAGTATTAGAAAGAAAGACCAAAACTCAAAAACTGAACTTTGACCACTGAACCATGAAAATGAGGTCAAGGTCAGATGACACCTGCCAGTTGGACATGTAAACCTTACAATCATTCCATACACCAAATATAGTAGACCTATTGAGTACAGTATAAGAAAAACAGACCAAAACACAAAAACTTAACTATAACCACTGAATCATGAAAATGAGGTCAAGGTCAAATGACACCTACCAGTTGGACATGTACACCTTACAATCCTTCCATACACCAAATATACTAGACCTATTGCTTATAGTATCTGAGATATGGACTTGAATGGGGCGAAAGACAACAGATATTAATAATTTACCAAAGATTCATGAGAACTCCTGAAAGCATTTTTGAGTTATTGTGCTAAAATGGAAAATCCACCCTTTTTTAATGAACAAAACCCCATAACTCTGAAACGTAAAATCTAAAATTTATAAAAATCTAAAGGGAGCTCATGTCAAAAGATATAAACAATTCACCAAAGTTTCTTGCAAATTGGTGAAAGTATTTTTGAGTTATTGTTCGAAAACTGGAAAACCCCCCTTTTTTTAATGAATAAAACCCCATAACTCGGAAACGTAAAATCCAAAATTTATAAAAAAGGAAAGGGAGCAATTCACCAAAGTTTCATGCAAATTAGTTAAAGCGTTTTTGAGTTAATGTCCAACATGTTGACGACAGACGGGTGGACAAAGGTATACCATAATACGTCCCGTAAACGGACGCATAAAAATGGGTGAAATCATCATTAGAGGGCAATAAATCCTGTAAAGAGTCAACCATTAATTTCTGCCATCTTAACAAATTTGTAAATCTTGTCCTGTTGACCAGTTTTGCTGTTTACAGTTATTCTTTATCTGCTTTATATTGGCCAAAAAAGAAAAAAAATGGTAAAAATTGCCAGTTAGGGGCAATAACTCCAATATGTAGTTGACAGATGATTTCAAATTGGCAAATTTGTAGCTCTTGTTCTGCTGATAATTTAAATCTTCTTTTTATCTATTAAGGTATTCAAGATAATGAGCAAAATCACAAAAAAAAATCTTTATTTAAGGGCAATAACTCCTAAAAAAGAGTTGTCTGATAGTTGTGTAAATGGACGACAGGTTGATCTCAACATTTTGAAAATTTTTGACCATGTCAGATTTTCTCCATCTATAGCAGTTTTCAAGAATATAGACAAAACTTGCAATTTTCCCCTATGTTCTATTTTTAGCCATGTCAGCCATGTTGATTAGTCTTCACATTTTTTCTACCCTTGGTGGTAGGGATGTCTGCTGAAGCCAGCCTTCCTGCTGACAACCCACAGCCTGAAAATTTTCTCCCCACTGACAAGTAGGTGGTAGGTTGAATTATAATTTTTTTTAAACTAGATACCCAAATGATAACTGTGGCCAAGATTGGTTCCAATTAGCCTTCTATTTTCAGAGGAGTTGATTTTTGTTTAAGAAAATAAAGGACAATGACAATATGCACGATCAATGCTTTAACAACCATATAAAGTTATAAAAAGATGCATTCAATTCTTATAATTCCATTTTTACGCTACAAACATGAAATTAAGCATTATATGCAAGCTTTGCGTTTGTTTTTCAATGCTTTATTTTAACATTGTCAATGATAGCACATGTAGCCATAGCTGTTGTATTTTTACAGAAATAAAATATGATGTTGGAGTGTCGAGCAATTGTTGTCAGCCAATCAAAATTTCTGATTCTAATGTAACATACATGTAATGTAATCATTATAGAATTAAGTACTGTTCCTGCACTGGTATTATTAAATTGTATGTACTTTTTGTTAGTCTACTGATAGAACAGTACTTGTCTTTAGACAGAATCCTCATCAGTGATTGTTTTTTGTTATATCTTACTGTTTTTTTGTTATTTTGAGAATTTGATGTTGTTGGTATATCATTAAGAGTCTCTGTTAAATATATTCACAACTATTTTTACTAGTGTGATTGCAAGCTTGACATATTGTATAGACATCTGTCTGTTATTAAAGATGTTACCATATTAAATAGCTTTGTGACGCAGGTTTCTTCAAAAGTGATGATTTTCTATAAATTGTTTGAAATTTCACAGTGATAACATACTCTAACTTTGTTTAAACCTGTTTATTTACTTTTTACTTTAATTATTTATCCCTTGTAATTTTTTATTAACTGTGTATTTGCATTCAGGTGTCACAGGTCAAATTTATTCGTTCATTGTGTGTTAATTTACGTTTTTTGATTGAGTTAAGCCTTCCAATTGATATTTTATAGTGTGTTTTTCTATGTTGTGATGTTATACTATTGTTTCAGAAAAGGGAGAAGGTTTGGTACCATTAAAACGTTTAATCCCGCTGCAAATGTTTGCACCTGTCCTAAGTCAGGAATCTGATTACAGTAGTTGTCGTCTGTTTATGTAGTTCATACGTGTTTCTCGTTTCTCGTTTTTATATAGATTAGACCGTTGGTTTTTCCGTTTGAATGGTTTTACACTAGCAATTTTTTGGGGCCCTTTATAGCTTGCTGTTCGGTGTGAGCCAATGCTCCGTGTTGAAGGCCGTACCTTGACCTATAATGGTTTACTTTTATAAATTGTAACTTGGATGGAGAGTTGTCTCATTGGCACTCATACCACATCTTCCTTTATCTATTGTGACATTCTCCTAATTATTAGTTCCCTACCGACGAAGTCGAAGGGGACTTTAGGTTTGCAATCTGCCTGTCTGTCTGTCTCCGTCTGTCCGTCCGTCCGTCCGTCCGTCCAGAAAATCAGTTTTCCAAACATTTTTTTCTTTGTGCTTGATTGATTGATTGATTAATGGTGTTTTAACGCCACTTTTTAGCGCCACTTTTGGGCTATTTCGTGGCGGCCAGTTTTTATTGGTGAAGGAAGCCGGAGTGCCTGGAAAAACAACCAACTTTCGATAGGAAAACTGACAATCCTAGTCAATTAAGATTGGAGTCAAGTGCACCTGCACAAGCGGGGTTCGAACTCACAACCTCAGTGTTGACTGGCTAGTGATTACAGTAGTAGAACTACCTAGACCACTTGGCCACCGAGGCCCCTCTTTGTGCTTGAAGATATTGATTTGATTTTTGGTATATAGTTTCATCATGACAAGTTACAGATCAAATTCGAATTTTGTTCCGGTCTGATGATTTTGTCCAGAGTTATGGTCCATGGACTTAGTAAATTCACTCAAATTTTAAGTTTTCTGCACTTTTTTTAGTCATATTTGAAGATATTGATTTGATAATTGGTATATAGTGTTATCATGACAAGTTACAGATCAAGTTTGAATTTTGTTCCGGTTTGATGATTTTGTGCAGAGTTATGGTCCTTGGACTTAGAAAACTCACCCAAATAATCAGTTTTCCGCCCTTTTTTTTGTCATACTTGAAGATATTGATTTGATATTTGTTTACACCATGACAAGTTATAGATCAAGTTAGCATTTTGTTCCAGTATAATGAAATTTTAACCGGTAGTGGACTATGTATTGCCATGCAATACTCTCAGAATGCTTGTTTTCCTCTGTTTACATAAAATTTCATATTAAAGTACTGGTATGAAATCCACTAATTATAGTACTTAGGCATAATTGAAAATACAATGGGTCTATTCGAATTCAAAACTTGTCCAACTTTTAAAATCTGTCAGCTTCCCAAACAAATTTGATTATATTTAGATCATGAGTGTTTTACAGCTGAAATACTTGGAGAGGACAAAAAAAGCACTCATTTCTATTTGTGGTATACACTAAAGTTTTACAAGATAAAAGTCTGACAACATTCATAGGAAATATGATAAGTTTTGAGACAGTCCCTTGACTGCATACTGTATAAACATTAAACAACTTCCTCGCTCATCTGTTAACAGTTATAACATACCTTTCTTATGTCTAACTGCATATTATGTAACATCATTGGCTCTAGTTTGGGATGTAATTGCACCATCACGCCATAATTTCTGTAATTAGAATCATTAACTTTAGTACACATTAACTGAAATTCACAAGTCTTTTAGATCCTTTAATTCTAAGCAATAAAATTACAGCAGAGGGTTAAGTTAAATATCTTAGCTAATTAATATAGTTTATACTGCAGTCATTTGATTTCAGCAGTCAAATACAGTCGCTAACTGTATATTGCCTTAAGCCACACCCACCAAAATGAAAAGACTGGTTGGCAGGCAGGGTCATAAGACATATTTTTAAAACTGTATACCCCAATGATGATTGTGGCTTGTTTTGTTAAATTAGGCCCAGTAGTTTTGGAGGATAAGATTTTTGTAAAAGCTAACGTCAATGAGGATGGTTGAATAGACAGTAAATTTCCACATAGATTACTAAGGTTACTTCAACTACAATATGATCATAATAATGATTTAATTCAGCAAAAGAACAAGTTGTTGAAGTTAAGTCAACAAAGCATAAGAGCATCATTCTTGTACTATTTGGTCATTTCACAATATTTTGTCCTATATTTACACCAAACAAATGTCCTTCCTTTTCCCCATGTACTTTTACACATTTACATGGTAAAAAGTCAGACAAAAGGCATAACTGATTTTTCTTATCATATATTGTCCAAATATGATTTTTTTTGTGGTTATCAGGGTAGTCTCTTCCTATATAAAGGTATACACAGACGTGCTGCTGGTATTGGTCACTTTTTTAAATGTCAAATATATCAATGGGATACAATTTCACAGAGGTAATATATCAATGGGTAGAAATTTATATGTCAATGGGCCATTCATGTTCATCCTCTGTTAAAATGTTTGTAAAAACTGTGTTCTGATATTTTTATCTCGTAATAGGAATCACGGATCCCATGTGGTTAACATCTTATTGAAATAAGATGTTATGATAGCTGGGAAATATATATAATTGGGTTGTGATTTTCTTATAAAATATATGAATGGGCAGGGATTTTCGCACAAATCAATACATGAATGGGGGTGTTTTTCAAACCCCAGCCAGACATCTGTACCCAAATTAATAGGTTGAAACCTCCCCCCGTGAGAGATGGTTAAATATAAACTGAATACTCACCTTATTTCTGTTATTTTCCCTGTATAAATAGCACCATACTCTAGTTCAGGAGCTCTCTGTGTTAAAAGAAAAAGGAAATTCTATAATACATTGAATGAAACAAGACTTAGAGAAAGTAAGTGATCTTTTACAGTCCTATTGGTTATGAATAAAATAGAAAAGAAGAAGATATTTCTATGTGTTTGGACCTTTAAAAATATATAAACAAATTCATTTTACTTGAAATATAACTTTATAACTGTTGCATAGTTATCTTTTGAAGAAGGCAAACAGTTTTCTTTTAAATTCATTGCTATTTCTTCACACAATCAAACCTGACAGCAAATATATTATGTATTATGTTTAATTCTACCAAAATGGGTTTGGGTTATCTCCCTTGCTATACAAGTAGTAATTCACAACACATGAAATCTTCAAGCTGTTATGTTATACAAAACAGTTAGATGCACAATACATGAATGACAGTTATCACATTTATCATGTGCCATATAATTTTTAAAATTATGGAATACTACTAAATACAATACACAGTTTGTTTTTATAAATAAAATGCCATTTTCTATTTAATTATTGGAGGAATCCAGACTGGCTTGGGTAAACCTATACAGTGTAACTAGTCATTTTTTTGTGGTGCAAAATACCAGAAATAGACTAAAACTAGAGGCTCTCAAGAGCCTGTGTCGCTCACCTGTATTTACTGATGCTTTGGAAATCATGTAAAATAAGGTTAAAATCATAATTAATAGTATTAGATATTAGATATTATAATGATATCTAAGATAATAACAAAAAACTGCAAAATTTTTGTAAAATTACTAACTCAGGGGCAGCAACCCAACAACAGGTTCGTCTGAAAATTTCAGGGCAGATAAATCGAAATCTGATGAACAATTTTGCCACCTGTCAGATTTGCTCTAAATGCTTTAGTTTCAGAGATATAAACCAAAAACTGCATTTTACCCCTATGTTCTATTTTAACCAATTCGGCCATGATGGTTGGAAGGCGGGGTCATCGTACAAATTTTTTAAACTAGATATCCTCATAATGATTATGGCCAAGTATGGTTAAATTTGTCTCAGTAGGTTCAGAGAAGAAGATTTTTGTAAAAGATTACAAAAATTTACAAAAAATTGTTAAAAATTGACTATTAAGGGCAATAACTCCTAAAGGGGGTCGACTGACAATTTTGGTCATGACAACTTATTTGTAGATCTTACTTTGCTGAACATTATTGCTGTTTACAGTTTATCTCTATCTATAATAATATTCAAGATAATAACCAAAAACTGCAAAATTTCCTTAAAATTACCAATTCAGGGGCAGCAACCCAACAACAGGTTGTCAGATTTGTCTGAAAATTTCAGGGCAGATAGATCTTGACCTGATAATCAGTTTTATCCTGTCAAATTTACTCTAAATGCTTTGGTTTCAGAGATATAAGCCAAAATCTACATTTTCCCCCTATGTTCTATTTTTAGCCATGGTGGCCATCTTGGTTGGTTGGCGGGGTCATCGGACACATTTTTTAAACTAGATACCCTAATGATGATTGTGGCCAAGTTTGGTTAAATTTGGCCCAGTGGTTTCAGAGGAGAAGATTTTTGTAAAAAGCTAATGACGACGGACGACGACTACAGACGACGGACGCCAAGTGATGAGAAAAGCTCACTTGGCCCTTCGGGCCAGGTGAGCTAAAACAAGACTTTTTTAAAGTCTTTAAAAATTTATTTACCTCTTCCACCAGAAACTGTTCAATCAATTCTTTGGCCTCATTCATGGACTGCTGGTTGTGAGCAAAAAGTTGGAAGTTAGTTTCATCAATACTTGTAACTCTTACACCTGAAATATCAATTAATAATCAATCAAGATTGGAGTCAAGTGCACCCGCACGAGCGGGGTTCGAACTCACAACCTCAGTGTTGTCTGCATAGTGATTACAGTAGTAACTACTTAGACCACTCGGCCACCGAGGCCCTCTCCCCTTGTAGATGTTGGGCAGGAACTATTGTGCACCAAATTCCATGTAATGTAACTAATGTTTCATGGAAATTCATAAGAAAATTCAAGAGGAATTACCAATTTACTGACAGATGGGCAGATGGGCTGTGATTCATATATATCTTTAAGCTTTGCTTGTGGAAGGTATAATGAAGTACCTACCAGAGCTTCAAGATTGCTAACCCTACAACCATTAAGTTCTTCTACAGTTTTGGGATATTGAACTGAAACTTAAGAAAACTTACAGATTAAAATTAAACAAGTTGTTTACCTGTTTCACTTGTAAGCTTCTTTAGATTTAATCCTCCAACACCTATGAACTTTGATCTTTTGGCTAAAGACACTGTATAAGTTTCTGTAATATGTCAGGGTTGTATTAAAACATAAAATAAAGCAATCATAACTTAATATTGAAAATTAATTAAAAATATCCTTTTTTCTGTAACTCTTTAGTAATTTAATCAATTGACAAGAGATCAACTACTAGTACAAACTGAAATGTCCTTTTATTCAATGAACCAAAATAGTCTACCTTGAATCATCTGATATATTTTTTAAATGAAAATGAAAATTGAACTTTTTGTTTTTCTGTCAGTAGAAAAATTCTTAAATGATGTAACTTGGGAATAAATTTGTTCATTGACAAGGTTGCCTTTTAAAAAACAATTTTATTTTCAAACAATACATTGCATTCCCTACCATTGTGTTTCTTTTAACTTTCTGCCAACTTGTTCTTGATAATTCAATGCTTGAAGAAACCTACCTATAACTGGAAAGGATTTCTTCTGCTCTTTTCTGGGTTCTGATATCTTATTATCCATTATTGTTAATATTTCATTCTTAGCATCTAGAAATAAATAAAGACTTTAAAAGACTTACCCAATTCCGTTAAGAAACATCAAACTTATTGCTTATAAAATGATTCTTCTACTAGTAGCATTTCAAATCAAAGTAACTGACTTTATAAAGGTTAACATTTCATCAATTTCATTTGAAACTAATAAGAAATATTCTTTTTTACATACTGTCAGCCAAGAAGAATCGAAATCACTTTTATATTTATTATCTTAAAGGAGACATGTCATCTTCCAAAATTTATCTTAAAGGAGACATGTCATCTTCCAAAATTTATCTTAAAGGAGACATGTCATCTTTCAATATTTAACTGTATGAAATCAACCAGACCTTTAGGATTTAGCACAAAATATCGTACAAAAACCCCACCTGCACAGAGAGATTTTGGAAATAGCATGGCACAAAAAATTTCCCCAATTCTGTTATCATAAACAGAGAATGTGTCCATGGGACACAGATGATGCCCCCGCTTGCATATAACGTTATAAAGGGACATAACTCAAGAACTGTAAAAGTGACGCTACCCACATTTGTACTAGATCTCAGTTTTGTGGTAATAAGCATTGTGTATACGTTTCATAACATTTAATTTAGGCAAACTTAAGTTAGAGAGCAGAAACGAAAAATTCAGCAATTTTCCATTTGTAAAGGGGCATAACTCTAGAACAGTAAAAGTGACGCCACCAAAATTCGAACTTGATCTGCATTTTGTGGTAATTAGCATTGTGCATAAGTTTCATAACATTTGGTTGAGGCAACTAAAGTTGGTGAACAGAAACGAATATTTCAGCAATTTTTCCATTTGTAAAGGGCATAACTGTAGAAAGGTAAAAGTGACGCCACCAAAATTCAAACTTGATTTGTGTTTTGTGGGTAATAAGCATTGTGTATAAGTTTCATAACATTTGGTTGAGGCAAACTAAATTAGAGAACGGAAACGAAAAATTAAGCAATTTTTCCATTTGTAAAGGGGGATTACTACAGAACGGTAAAAGTGACGCCACCAAAATTCAAACTTGGTCTGTGTTTTGTGGGTAATAAGTATTGTGTATAAGTTTCATAACATTTGGTTGAGGCAAACTAAAGTTAGAGAACGGAAACCAATTTTGGGACATACGGACGTACAGACGTACATATGGACGTACAGACGGACAAGGGTAAATCTTAATGCCCCCTCCGCTACGGCGGAGGCATAAAAATGACAATAAACTGTCCTAACAGCTATAATGTAACAGTTGACATTCTTTTCTTTCACTGGTTTATATGTGATCACTGGTTTATATGTGAATACGTTTATTTTTTTAACACATTACTTTTCTTAATAATTACTTTACATGTATGTTTCACGAGAATCCAGTTGTTTGATTGGCTAACAACAATCACGAGTCATTCAAAAATTAACTTTCATATCAAAATGAAATGTTAACATTCGCAATGACATGTGCTTCCACAAAAAAAGTGCACAGGTAAATAAAAGAAAAATTTGATAAAACTTTTTTTTAATGTTTTGTGTATAAAAATGTAATTATAAGAAATGAATGCTTCTTTTAGTAATTTGATAGGGTTATAAAAGTGTTGATCGTGCACACATTTTTAGAATGAAGAGCTTGCACGCTTCATACAAAATGTGCTTGGGTCAACACTTTTACACCCTAATAAAATTACAAAAAGAAGCATTCATTTCTTAAATAAAAATACCTGTTGACTGTTCTATAGCTTCCATGACAACATTGATTGGAATTCCAGGTAATTTTACATCTGCCTGTTAAAATTGTTATGAAAATAATTAGAATCAATTACAGATGTAGCTGGTCTTTTGTATTTAATACATGTATTGTACTTAATCATATAATTATTGCCATCAGCCGAATTATTAAATTACAATGAACTTAAGCATTATATGAAGAATTTGAAATTGAAGAAGTTATACTTAAATTCTCTTGATATAATAGAAACATTTAAAGCCTTGATAATTCAGTCAGACATTTACACATTACAATCATTCCATACACCAAATATAGTTTAGCTATTGCTTATAGTATCTGAGATACTGACTTGAACATGTAAACTTAACCTAGATCACTGATCTATGAAATGAAGTCAACGTCAGAAGAACAATGTCTGACGGACATGTAGATCTTGCAAAGAACCCATATACCAAAAATATCTATCCTTTTACTCATAATAAGAAAGAAATTCACACGACAAAAAAAAAAAGGATTTTTTTTCAAGCAGTTACTGACCCATGGACAATGGACTTATGCCAAACGGAAACTTTGTAACATTAGACATCTGCAAACAAGGTATGAAGCATACAGGTATTCTACCTTTTGAAATATAAAGCTTTAAACAAATAGTTTTAATCCAAATATGCAACATTTTTATGTGACTATTCATTCTTAATATCAGATATTTCTATAATGATTATGTTTTTAAACAAATACTACAAATTTGTGTATTTTCCTCATTATTAAAGGGAATAACTCTGGAACATCATATAGCAAATGTATAAAATATTAAGCCTGCATCTAGAAGTTCCTAGCAATGTGTTAAAATAAAAAAAATTATTAAAGCATAATTATGCAGTTCAGTAGAAAAAATCTCAAATTCACCTATCTTTGCATTATTAATTCACCACTAACATTATTATCTATTAAATTTGCCAACCCATTATGCAATAAAACTTTAATGTACCACCTATTTTATTTGCCTAAATATATGTCCTTCAAATCAACCCTTCATAAAATTCCTTTTCACAGCTATGTTACATTGAACTAGAGGCTCTAAAGAGCCTGTGTCGCTCACCTTGGTCTATGTGCATATTAAACAAAGGACACAGATGGATTCATGACAAAATTGTGTTTTGGTGATGGTGATGTGTTTGTAGATCTTACTTTACTGAACATTCTTGCTGCTTACAATTATCTCTATCTATAATGAACTTGGCCCAGTAGTTACAGTGGAAAATATTTTGTAAAAATTTACAAAAATTTACAAAGTTTATGAAAATTGTAAAAAATATACTATAAAGGGCAATAACTCCTTAAGGGGTCAATTGACAATTTTGGTCATGTTGACTTATTTGTAGATCTTACTTTGCTGTACATTATTGCTGTTTACAGTTTATCTCTATCTATAAAAATATTCAAGATAATAACCAAAAGCTGCAAAATTTTCTTAAAATTACCAATTCAGGGGCAGCAACCCAACAACGTATTGCCTGATTGGTCTGAAAATTTCAGGGCAGATAGATCTTGACCTAATGAACAATTTTATCCTGCCAGATTTGCTCTAAATGCTTTGGTTTCAGAGATATGAGCCAAAAACTGCATTTTACCCTATGTACTATTTTTTAGCCATGTCGGCCATCTTGGTTCGCGGGCGGGGTCATCGGACACATTTTTTAAACTAAATACCCTAATGATGATTGTGGACAAGTTTGGTTAAATTTGTCTTAGTAGTTTCAGAGGAGAAGATTTTTGTAAAAGATAACAAAAATTTACGAAAAATGGTTAAAAATTGACTATAAAGGGCAATAACTCCTTAAGGGGTCAACTGACCATTTTGGTCAAGTTGACTTATTTGTAGATCTTACTTTGCTGAACATTATTGCTGTTTACAGTTTATCTCTATCTATAATAATATTCAAGATAATAACCAAAAACGACAACATTTCCTTAAAATTACCAATTCAGGGGCAGCAACCCAACAACGGGTTGTCAGATTCATCTGAAAATTTAAGGGCAGATAGATCTTGACCTGATAAACAATTTTACCCCACGTCAGATTTGCTCTAAATGCTTGGGTTTCAGAGATATAAGCCAAAATCTACATTTTACCCTTATGTTCTATTTTTAGCCATGGCGGCCATCTTGGTTGGTTGCTGGGTCACCGGACACATTTTTTTAACTAGAAACCCAATGATGATTGTGGCCAAGTTTGGTCAAATTTGGCCCTGTAGTTTCAGAGGAGAAGATTTTTGTAAAAGTTTACGGACGACGGACGCAGGACGACGGACGCAGGACGACAGACGACGGACGCCAAGTGATGAGAAAAGCTCACTTGGACCTTTGGGCCAGGTGAGCTAAAAATAGTGAACTGACATTTTAAAGTTGGACCTAGAGTTATTAACAACATAATAATTCTTTGCCTTGACATTATCACACATTAAAAGAACAGAATGAAACACTATGAAATTTTTAAAAGTTTTTCAGAGAATATTTTTTATAAGTTTACAAATGACCTACCTTGAAGGGGCATTAGCTGTCAAATTCATGTTCACCTATTTGACTCAAATTCTCATATTTGAGGTATAACATACTAAAACGTATACCCAAATTACAAAAAGTCTATAGTAAACAATTAACAATGCATGGACTCAATGATATATAATATTATCATTTCTTGTGTATTTGAGTCTATACGCCATCTAATTAACCATCGAAATAACCTCTGAAGACTGCCAACAGCCTTATAACCCGATATAAAAATTAAATATAAATAAATAGCGACCACTTGCAATTGAATTTTTCTAGGTCTGTTTAATTTCATGTTATAGGTTAAAACTAGAGGCTCTAAAGAGCCTGTGTCGCTCACCTTGGTCTATGTGCATATTAAACAAAGGACACAGATGGATTCATGACAAAATTGTGTTTTGGTGATGGTGATGTGTTTGTAGATCTTACTTTACTGAACATTCTTGCTCCTTACTATTATCTCTATCTATAATGAACTTGGCCCGGTAGTTACAGTGGAAAATATTTTGTAAAAATTTACAAAAATTTACAAAATTTATGAAAATTGTAAAAAATTGACTATAAAGGGCAATAACTCCTTAAGGGGTCAATTGACAATTTTGGTCATGTTGACTTATTTGTAGATCTAACTTTGCTGTACATCATTGCTGTTTACAGTTTATCTCTATCTATAATAATATTAAAGATAATATCCAAAAGCTGCAAAATTTTCTTAAAATTACCAATTCAGGGGCAGCAACCCAACAACGTGTTGCCTGATTGGTCTGAAAATTTCAGGGCAGATAGATCTTGACCTAATGAACAATTTTATCCTCATCAAATTTGCTCTAAATGCTTTGGTATCACAGATATGAGCCAAAAACTGCATTTTACCCTATGTACTATTTTTTAGCCATGTCGGCCATCTTGGTTCGCGGGCGGGGTCATCGGACACAATTTTTAAACTAGATACCCTAATGATGATTGTGGACAAGTTTGGTTAAATTTGTCTTAGTAGTTTCAGAGGAGAAGATTTTTGTAAAAAATTACAAAAATTTACGAAAAATGATTAAAAATTGACTATAAAGGGCAATAACTACTTAAGGGGTCAACTGACCATTTTGGTCAAGTTGACTTATTTGTAGATCTTACTTTGCTGAACATTATTGCTGTTTACAGTTTATCTCTATCTATAATAATATTCAAGATAATAACCAAAAACGGCAAAATTTCCTTAAAATTACCAATTCAGGGGCAGCAACCCAACAACGGGTTGTCCAATTCATCTGAAAATTTCAGGGCAGATAGATCTTGACCTGATAAACAATTTTACTCCCATGTCAGATTTGCTCTAAATGCTTTAGTTCCAGAGATATAAGCCCAAATCTACATTTTACCCCTATGTTCTATTTTTAGCCATGGCGGCCATCTTGGTTGGTTGGCCGGGTCACTGGACACATTTTTTAAACTAGATACCCCAATGATGATTGTGGCCAAGTTTGGTCAAATTTGGCCCAGTAGTTTCAGAGGAGAAGATTTTTGTAAAAGTTAACGACGACGGACGACGACGGACGCCAAGTGATGAGAAAAGCTCACTTGGCCCTTTGGGCCAGGTGAGCTAAAAATATGTTAGTCATCATTTTTACCTGTATAAGAATGATTTTTTGTGAATTGAATCAGTCAACAAAATGGTTCACCCTTGTTTCACTTTCAATGCTGAAATTCTATTCCTTTTAATAGCTGATCATGCCTATTACATGCGTAACCCATCTCCAGCTAAGGGATTAAATTGAAGTTCACATGAATTCCGATTCACATGAGGTCGAATTATTCACTTGCAAGTCAATAATACATCAGTAATGTTTTTGAGCTTATTTTGACAAATTTGGGCCAAACTAATTGCTTATAATGAAATATTATTTCAACATTCCGCTTTTATTAGTACTTAAAACAAAAAGAATTGTATTTTAAATTGTTGTCTAAACTCGTAGCTAATGCTCCTTTAAAACAAAAAATCTAAATAAGATTGCACTGAATTTCAAAATTATCTTATGAAATACAACATGAACCTTCATGTACCTTCTTTTATATGCCACTAAATTTGAAATGTTGCACAGTTCTGGACTAACCTGCAGAGCTGTAATTCCAGTTCTTGTTCCAGCTATCTTAAAATCCATATCCCCCATGTAATCTTCTATACCCTATAATAGTTTTAAGAATCAATCTTTAATTTTTCAAAGTTCAATTTTTCAAAGAAAGCATATGTTACTGTTAAAAGAAATGACAAACCACTGTTTTCAATGACGATGGAAATATGTATTATTTTGATTCATTTATGTTTAAAATCAAATATCAGCTTAGCTTGAACCCTGCTTCAATTGCTGACTACTACAGCATACTGTAAATTCAGAAATTTGTGTGTGCATTTACTATTAACAGGCTATTATTTTGATTTGGAATTATTTTTAATTATGGAATTTCCATAATTTCTTGTGCTTGAAATTTTTAATAAATTCCATGTTTATTCTGTATTATAATGTTTTGAGCGGTGCATAACACTTTCCATACAATGTATTTTTTATAGATAGTGTTGTGTGCCGCACAGTACATTAAAATACAGAATAAACATGGAATTTATTAAAAATTTCAAGCTCAAGAAATTATGCAAATTCCATATTCAAAAATAATTCCAAGTTGAAATAATAGCCTGTTTATTGCAAATCTTAAACAATCGACAAATGTAAGATTAATTATTGTGATTTAAGGACATGTTGGATACAAATAATACTTTCAAAATATCAAAATTTAAAATGCATATTTTCATTTCTGCTTAACCTATCCCAACACAATTTTTGCGATAACAAAAACATTGCAAAAATTTCTGAACTTACAGTAATGGACTAATTCAACATTTAACACTCTATGCTATTTACCAGAATATCTGTGAGTATTTTATACTTGAAATTATCATCTATGTTTCCACTGGAGACAAGACCTAAAGCTACACCAGCTGCTGCCTGCTTTACAGGTACTCCTGCATCCATTAATGCCAAGCTACCTCCACATATTGAAGCCATGGATGAAGATCCTAGAAAAACATATTGGTAAAGGTGAAAATGGAAGTTGAACCAATTTTTTTTTTTTACTTTAACATTCCAGATATATCTAGATGGCATGAATCACACAATATTTAGAACTAAAAGGTTTTTTTTGTGTGAACCCCCTGACGGGTACTTATATATTGGTGAGTTTTGGAAGAGTCCATGGGCCATTCGATATCCTCGGAATCAAGATTCTCGGAATGTCTCGAAAATTTTCGATCATTTATACAGGTAGTTATCTATGTCTTTGATACGGTCCATCTATGGATAGGCTACCACGTGACAATGTATATTTCAACAACCAAAGTTCATTTGTAGATTTGAAAGTAAAACAATAAAGACTAGGTTGCAGTAAAAAAATCATTTATATGTTAGAACATATTTGCCTTTTGACAAAACATATATGTTTTTAATAATGTGAATGTTTATTAAATATCAAGTGTAATGATAACGAAATTATATAATTCATGCTTTGAGACGGTCCATGTACTCGTTGTGTGTGTAGTATTTAATGCAATGTGCTGTTGTGCAACCTGGGAATATTTTATTGATATTTAATGTCCCAGAATAAACTGATTATTTCTGAACGTTTATCATCTGATATTTTGTATTTCAATCATAGCATGGGAAAATGTTGGAAAGCATGAAGAAAATTAAGAAAACGAAATTTTTGTTAAAAATATTTATGTTATGTCGGAAACACAGTGGTCGGAATGCGGAAAGATAATCAAACAAAAGGATTTTCTGCCAAAAATATCTAATTTCATTAATAAATATTACTAGACCAAGAGTTTATTCATTATTAAGTTTAAACTGAGACTGAATTTATTCTAATAGAATATAATTAAAATTGTCATATATACGTGCATTATGTCTCACCGGTTTAAACAGTCATTACATTTATGAAAATTATATGCAACGTATGAGCACCAATGAGCAGGGATGCGTACCCAAAGTTAGCTAAATATCTAAATTTTAAACGGTCGTGAATGAAAAAATACTTGCATGGTTTCAATTCACAAGGATTTTAAATCCTTGCATCTCACAAAAAAAGTAATTAATATTTTACAATAATTATAACAAAATTTAATTACTATCATAATATTAATTATTTTATACTATTTTAGTATGGATTTATAAGTCTCTGCTTATATTTTGTATAGCAATATATGCATATAGTGGTATGTTAGACTTTAAAAAGAGATTTGACAAATAAAATGTCCATCCTTAAATACTTGACTTTTGTGTTTATTGATATTATATTCTAAATTTTCGGAAAAAATTCACTAACAGGAATGTATGTTAATTATAAAATTAAAAATTTTTGTTTGTTTGTTTGTTTTAATAGTTCAACCTTATGGCATCTAAATATTTGTACTATGGTACGATTTTGAAAATTGTACTCATTATGTTGACCAGCTATCCTACACGTCTTGATTCATTCATATTATACATCACCCTGTTCACATGCACACTATCGTTTTGCGTTCAAAAAATTCCGGATAAAATGTCAAAGAATCCGGAGTCAAAACATTTGAGGTAGGTAGTTTGACAGCCGAATTCAACTATTAGATTAATATATGTGATGACGCAAATGCGTATTCTTATCGTGAATGCGAATTTTCCAATTCTTATCTAAATTCAGGACACAGCAGTAAGAGCTTGGCATGTGAATTTCAAGCACGGTCATCATTACTTACAGTATTCTGACCTCTAGCTGTTTCTCTTTTGTTTTCTTTTTTGAGTCACTGTCCTATTATAAACCATGACATTTTCGAAATGCTAACGATTTTCTACCCAAGGAATAGATTACTTACTTTCGTACTTTACATGGCCTTTTTAACTTATTTACTTGAGCGTCACTGATGATTCTTTCTAGACTTAACTCGCGTCTGGCGTACAACATTATAATCCTGATATCTACATATCTTTTATATAAATTGGTTCTTTTGAGAGTATGTTCAGGTATTCATAAAACTTCTGAAAACAAGATATTCTTCAAAACCAAGTTTTCCTGTAGAATATTTGGATTGATTTAAGTAAAATCAGGAGATCCTTTAAATTTGAGATGTTTTATGAGACCAAAATAAGTCTGTATATAAGAGGGCCCAATGAACCAAGTGTGTTACTCTCAAGAAAAATATACGAAACCTTCTTATAAGTTGCATGCCATAGGGTCTCACTTCACATGGAAATATCTATACAGTATCTACCATGAGCACAGACAGCTTCAATAACCAGTTGAGAATAATTGAAGGCATCCAGGAAACAAAATATGATGATATGATAGATAAAATAAATGCATCCGAATTATAATGCAAACTGAGGGCTTAAACTTATATTGCGATTGGTTTGTGCAATTTGCATTAGACATCTGGTTTGTAGAAACAGGGATTTGCAAAAAGGTTGTGAAAAAATGATGTACACTCCCAAGTAATTAATAAAAAAAGTCGAGCCTTAAAATGTATATTCAAATATTAGCTGTATATATACACTTTTCTATTCACATCTATCAAACATCACTTTCAATTGACTTGTGCAAGAATCTACACACAATTACATATTTTTAGTAAAGGTGTTTTAACATCATCATTATCTAATTCTATTCACAGTCAATTATTTTAATTGAATTTCAAACAAAAATTCAGCAACATTTTTTTGGTGACCAATCGGCGGTCTTGGGTTCACGTATTGCTTTTCTTTTTTTAAAGAACGCAACTTGTTTAAATTACTATAAACTTAAATCTTACTGGTGAACGACATTTTACATTTAACTGTTTAGAACAAAAAAGTTTTGAAAGCTTAACTTTCATTTGTGTATACCATCTTAATACCTTCATTTTACAGACTAATTAAAACTTACCATTTGATTCAAGTACTTCTGATGTAAGTCTGATTGTAAAAGGATAGTTGTCTGGAATAATAGAACGTAAACCCTTCTCTGCTAATGCACCTAAAAAAATTATGAAGTATATATGGAATTTGTTAAAATTTACATAAAGTTTATAAACACCTTTATAGAGCAAACATGTCCCTATATAAACACATTACAAATATAGGTACATGTATAGGCTTGACAGCTATAATAAAATAACAAGTGAAAAGCTGTCATTGCCAATTGATACTCCCGGAACTGAACATTTATTGAGAGATAAAAAAATTATTTCAAGAGTTCAAAATACTAGTATACTTGTTGGAGGGATACACAGACAGACAGACAGATGGATAAAGCAATTACTACACATATATGTGCTTCTGAAATTTGTTCAGGGAGCATAAAAAATCCACAACTCTCACAGTTAACCTGTAAATAGGTATTTTACTTTTGTCTATTGAAGCTGGAATATTCATTTAATAAATCTGAACGGCCAATTACATAATTTCATTGAGAAGAATTATTTATGGTTTTCTGCACACAAAAAACACCTTATTTTAAATGAACTAATGAATTTTCATACTTGACAGTAAATTACCTGGTAGTAAGAACTTTAAATTTTTCAATGTTGCTGAATGTGCTAAACTTTTAATGCTGAAAACTTATAAAATGACCAATGAGGATTAGGTGCATGTTATCTCTTCACATGTGTTTAGATTAGTCAGCATTCTAGCATTTGCACTGAATGCTAGCGGACGCCATTTTTGTTTTCTCAAGATAATGAAGATTTTAAATTTCCCACCCTTGATTTTTTAACAGATATATAGATTATTACATTGCTACAAGTGGATTATCGGATTTATCCAATCAAGATAGTTAAATTATCAATTTTAAAGTCCGAGCCACAGCGAGGACTTTAAAATTTATAATTTAACTATCGAGATTGGATAAATCCAATTATCCACGTGTTACTATGTAATAATCTGTTTCTCTAATGATTATAAGATAAAATTTCCTTTTTTTTTCTAAAGTAAAATCCCCTTCGAGTGCCTTTCACTTTCCACAAAGTTGTCAATTTCATTAACACCTGTTAGAACTTTTTGATCATTTCAGGGAGCTGAGAAAGGTTATGACCAATTAACTAAGCCAATCATCTTCTGAGATCACCGGCAACCACACGTTGATTAAATTTTTTTATACAATGGGTTCGGAAAGGGATATATTTCCATAGAATTAGAGAAATATATTTATATGTATTATTTTTTAAATTAAAAATTTTGAATTTCATATGATGATGATTTCAATCTTTTATTGTACAATATTTGTTTGTTTATACATTTTGTAATTTGTTTATTGAGGGTGGCGGTATTTATTCCCCACCTTTGCAAATTATTGTCATTTATTCAGTTTTGGTTTATTACATAATTGTTCATAACAGTCAGTTTTATTATGTTTTTATGGTTTCTGAATAAATGACTTTTATCGCAAATCTTGTGTTAGATATTTTGCAAATTAACTTGAATCCTTGGAGTATTTCCTTCTCACATTATCAGTTAAAATGAAAAATTTGGCTGACAAAAATAAAATTTATCATTTCATTATCACTAACTTCTGAAATCATGCCAATCTGAAACAGTAGAAGTATTTCATTAAAATATTTATAAATTAATATTACAAAAGTATAAAAATAGAGAAATAAAACCAAATCCATTTTATTTCTCTATTTTAATTATACATGTAAAATCAATCTACTAGAAATTCAGATAACAATTTTAATTAAATTTATCCAAGGTAATTAACAGATAAATCTCTATTATGTCTGTATAATTGGAGTTCATTACTCAATGAGCATTCATAAAGTGAGATTAATTGAGTGATAGTGTGTAATTTATACTTGAAAAACATACAAAAAGGAAATTTTTCATTTAAAGCTTCAAAAAATTGTGAAAAAGAAGCAATATAAAGCTATTGTAAATCAGTCTGATAATAAAGGTTTGTAATTTCTTTTTATAATAAGGTTAGTAATTTCATTTTATAATAAGGTTTATTACTTATGGAACTTTACATGACAGTTTAACTGGTACCTTTCATTTGAAGCTTACACACAGTAAAGGATTCCCTATTGGCACATAATAATGTATGTAGGCTTTTCACATTGTCTTTACACATGTTTGCTAGAAGAATGCTTATATTATTTTGCTCCATTGTTTTATGCTCCTAATAAATTAAACATGTGTGCAATGGTAATCAAAAACACCACCATATAGAGTAGTTAGAGCAAATCTGTTAAGTGTTACTTTGGCACAGTTGTGTACAGGCTTTATTCAATGCCTGCCCATTTGTGTGCCATGGTAATACTGAATACCACCATGTAGAGTGGGTATAGCAAATCTGTAAAGTGTTACTTTGGCACAGTTGTGTACAGGCTTTATTCAATGCCTGCTAATTTGTGTGCCATGGTAATCCTGAACACTACCATGTAGAGTAGCTAGAGTGAATCTGTTCAGTGTTACTTTGGCACAGTTGTGTACAGGCTTTATTCTATGCCTGCACATTTGTCTGCCATGGTAATCCTGAACACTACCATGTAGAACAGTTAGAGTGAATCTGTTCAGTGTTACTTTGGCACAGTTGTGTACAGGCTTTATTCAATGCCTGCCCATTTGTGTGCCATGGTAATCCTGAACACCACCATGTAGAGTAGCTAGAGTGAATCTGTTCAGTGTTACTTTGGCACAGTTGTGTACAGGCTTTATTCAATGCCTGCCCATTTGTGTGCCATGGTAATCCTGAACACCACCATGTAGAGAAGTTAGAGTGAATCTGTTCTGTGTTACTTTGGCACAGTTGTGTACAGGCTTTATTCAATGCCTGCCCATTTATGTGCCATGGTAATCCTGAACACTCCATGTAGAGTAGTTAGAGTCAATCTGTTCAGTGTTACTTTGGCACAGTTGTGTACAGGCTTTATTCAATGCCTGCCCATTTGTGTGCCATGGTAATCCTGAACACCACCATGTAGAGTAGTTAGAGTGAATCTGTTCAGAGTTACTTTGGCACAGTTGTGTACAGGCTTTATTCAATGCCTGCCCTTTTGTGTGCAATGGTAATCCTGAACACCACCATGTAGAGTAGTTAAGAGTGAATCTGTTCAGTGTTACTTTGGCACAGTTGTGTACAGGCTTTATTCAATGCCTGCCCATTTGTGTGCCATGGTAATCCTGAACACCACCATGTAGAGTAGTTAGAGTGAATCTGTTCAGAGTTACTTTGGCACAGTTGTGTACAGGCTTTATTCAATGCCTGCCCTTTCGTGTGCAATGGTAATCCTGAACACCACCATGTAGAGTAGTTAAGAGTGAATCTGTTCAGTGTTACTTTGGCACAGTTGTGTACAGGCTTTATTCAATGCCTGCCCATTTGTGTGCTATGGTAATCCTGAACACTACCATGTAGAGTAGCTAGAGTGAATCTGTTCAGTGTTACTTTGGCACAGTTGTGTACAGGCTTTATTCAATGCCTACCCATTTGTGTGCCATGGTAATCCCGAACACTACCATGTAGAGTAGTTAGAGCGAATCTGTTAAGTGTTACTTTGGCACAGTTGTGTACAGGCTTTATTCAATGCCTGCCCTTTTGTGTGCAATGGTAATCAAGAACAACACCATGTAGAGCAGTTAGAGTGAATCTGTTCAGTGTTACTTTGGCACAGTTGTGTACAGGCTTTATTCAATGACTGCCCATTTGTGTGCTATGGTAATCCTGAACGTGTGTAGGATTTATTCAAGTCTGCCAACTGGTGTGCCATGGTAATCCTGAACAACACCATGTAGAGTAGTTAGAGTGAATATGCCCAGTGTCACTTTGGCACAGTTGTGTGCAGGCTTTTTTTCAATGCCTGTCCACTTGTGGGCCAAGGTTATCCAGAACAACACCATGTAGAGTAGTTTGTGTGAATCTGTTCAGTGTCACTTTGGCAATTATGTACAGGCTTTATTCCATGTCTGCCAACTTATGTGCCAAGGCAATCCTGAAAAACGTCATGAACGTTTTGGATGGAGAGTTGTTTCATTGGCACTCATACCACATCTTATTATTTATATTTGATTGGAAAAATCTGTTGTGTCACATTAACACAAATGTCATGCCCATTTGTGTGCCATGGTAATCCTGAACACCACCATGTAGAGTAGTTAGAGTGAATCTGTTCAGTGTTACTTTGGCACAGTTGTGTACAGGCTTTATCCAATGCCTGCCCATTTGTGTGCCATGGTAATCCTGAACACCACCATGTAGAGTAGTTAGAGTGAATCTGTTCTATGTTACTTTGGCACAGTTGTGTACAGGCTTTATTCAATGCCTGCACATTTGTGTGCCATGGTAATCCTGAACACCACCATGTAGAGTAGTTAGAGTCAATCTGTTCAGTGTTACTTTGGCACAGTTGTGTACAGACTTTATTCAATGCCTGCCCATTTGTGTGCCATGGTAATCCTGAACACCACCATGAAGAGTAGTTAGAGTGAATCTGTTCAGTGTTACTTTGGCACAGTTGTGTACAGGCTTTATTCAATGCCTGCCCTTTTGTGTGCCATGGTAATCCTGAACACCACCATGTAGAGTAGTTAGAGTGAATCTGTTCAGTGTTACTTTGACACAGTTGTGTACAGGCTTTATTCAATGCCTGCCCATTTATGTGCCATGGTTATCCTGAACACCACCATGTAGAGTAGTTAGAGTGAATCTGTTCAGTGTTACTTTGGCACAGTTGTGTACAGGCTTTATTCAATGCCTGCCCATTTGTGTGATATGGTAATCCTGAACACCAGCATGTAGAGTAGGTATAGTGAATCTGTTCAGTGTTACTTTGGCACTGTTGTGTGAAGGATTTATTCAAGTATGCCAACTGGTGTGCCATGGTAATCCTGAACAACACCATGTAGAGTAGTTATAGTGAATATGCCCAGTGTCACTTTGGCACAGTTGTGTGCAGGCTTTTTTTAATGCCTGTCCACTTGTGGGCCAAGGTTATCCAGGACAACACCATGTAGAGTAGTTTGCGTGAATCTGTTCAGTGTCACTTTGGCAATTATGTGCATGCTTTATTCCATGTCTGCCAACTTGTGTGCCAAGGCAATCCTGAACAACATCATGAAGGTTTTGGATGGAGAGTTATTTCATTGGCACTCATACCACATCTTCTTATTTATATTTGATTGGAAGAATCTGTTGTGTCACATTAACACACCTTTAAGCAGGCTTAATTCTTTCTTATACATTTATAAAATTTTGGTTGATTGTACTATTGTAATATAAGATTTATAAGCAGATAGCATTTATGTGTTCAGTGTTACTTTGGCACAGATGTATACAGTCTTGTCTTAATGTCTGCAGACTTCTGTTCCATTGTAATCCTGAATTTCACCAAATTTAAGGCATATTGGTTTACATATATTCCACACACATATAAAGTAAGATATTAATCTGAGTTTTGTTAAATACATTGTAGTTTGGGATTCTTTTGTGTTACATAGGCACAGATATTGACTGAATAGATTAAATGATGACATACATTGTACCACTGTAATTTTGACCTTTATCACATGGAATGTGATGTGTCAATGTAACTGTTTGTAGGGTTCTTGTTGCTAAGACTTCAGTGTTCTATGTACTGCTTTTAAATTTTATGTCTTTCCTGTTGCTTAGTCTTTAGTTTTTTTATGTTTTGTTCTGTAGACTTCTTTGTCTTTTCGTCATTTTTCATTTTTTCGTATTCTCTTTCACTTATGAGTTTTGAATATCTTCTTGGTATCTTCTGCCTCTTTTTTAAGCTTTAGATTGAAACATACGTAAGCAGGCTTGATTTAATGTCTACAGACTTGTGTACCATGGTAATCCTAAACTAAATCTCACTGAACTTTTATGATTGGGATCATTGGATAGGTCCATTATTCAGTGTTACATTGGCACAGTTGTTTGCCAGCTTGACATGATTTCTAGTTTTGTGTGTCATGATAATCCTTAATCTTATCAAATTGTGTGTTTTGTTTGGATCTATCATGTAAAATGGTAATTCTAATTGATATACTGTCTGTTCTTAAGTGTTGACTTTGTTCAGTATTACGTTGGCACATATGTGTGCAGACTTGACCTACTGTCTGCTCACTTGTGTTCCTTAGTAATCTTGAATTTCATTGGTCTGTTAAGAAGTTTTGACTTTGTTCAGTATCACATTGGCACATATTTGTGCAGACTTGACCTACTGTCTGCTCACTTGTGTTCCTTAGTAATCCTGAATTTCATTGGTCTGTTAAGAAGTGTTGACTTTGTTCAGTATCACATTGGCACATATTTGTGCAGACTTGATCTACTGTCTGCTCACTTGTGTTCCTAAGTAATCCTGAATTTTACAGGTCTGTTCTGAAGTTTTGACTTTGTTCAGTATTTAATTGGCACAGATGTGTGCAGACTTGATCTACTGTCTGCTCACTTATGTTCCTTAGTAATCCCGAATTATATTCAAAAAGGGTAATTCTGATTGATATTAGTCAGTTCTTAAGTGTTGACTTTGTTCAGTATTACTTTGGCACAGATGTGTGCAGACTTGACCTACTGTCTGCTCACTTGTGTTCCTTAGTAATCCTGAATTTCACAGGTCTGTTCTGAAGTTTTGACTTTGTTCAGTATTTAATTGGCACAGATGTGTGCAGACTTGATCTACTGTCTGCTCACTTGTGTTCCTTAGTAATCCTGAATTTCACAGGTCTGTTCTGAAGTTTTGAATTTGTTCAGTATTTAATTGGCACAGATGTGTGCAGACTTGATCTACTGTCTGCTCACTTGTGTTCCTTATTAATCCTGAATTTCACAGGTCTGTTCTGAAGTTTTGACTTTGTTTAGTATTTAATTGGCACAGATGTGTGCAGACTTGATTTACTGTCTGCTCACTTATTTTCCTTAGTAATCCTGAATTATATTAAAAAAGGGTACTTCTGATTGATATTAGTCAGTTCTTAAGTGTTGACTTTGTTCAGTATTAAATTGACACAGGTTGTGCAGACTTGATCTACTGGCTGCCCACTTGTGTTCCTTAGTAATCCTGAATTATATTGGTCTGTCCAAATCCAGAAGTTTTGACTTTGTTCAGTATTTCATTGGCACAGATGTGTGCAGACTTGATCTACTGTCTGCTCACTTGTGTTCCTTAGTAATCCTAAATTGCACCGGTCTGTCCTGAAGTGTTGAACTTGTTCAGTATTACATTGACATGGATGTGTACAGACTTGATTAACTGTCTGCTCACTTGTGTTCCTTAGTAATCCTGAATTTCATTTGGCTGTCCTGAAGTGTTGACTTTGTTCAGTATTACACTGGCGCAGATGTTTGCAGACTTGATCTAATGTCTGCTCACTTGTGTTCCTTAGTAATCCTGAATTTCACTGGTCTGTTCTGAAGCTTTGACTTTGTTCAGTATTACATTGGCACAGACGTGTACAGACTTGATCTACTGTCTGCTCACTTGTGTTCCTTAGTAATCCTTAATTTCACCGGTCTGTTCTGAAGTGCTGACTTTTTTGAAGAATTCGCATAAATAATTAAATCTTATACCTGCGCACATGTGTACTAATTCAAACAATGTGGTTCTGTGGATTTTTCACTTACAACTTTTTGAATACCTATTTAAATTCATCATAAAATCATTTTGTAATACATATTTTACTGATTTTTATTAAATGCAAAAATAACTCTATATAGACTGATCGATGTCCGGTACAAAATAGTTCACCTGTTGCCTGAACAGGTAAATTTCAGTTGTTGTACAACTAATTAACCTTGATCGTAATCAAAGGGTATTAAAATAGGGCTCGTTTTTATAGTAACTATTCCTCATGTCACTTTTATGACCGGAAACATGTGACTGGCATAAGGTCACACCTGTATTAAGCAGTCACTCATTGATAGTATCAAAAGTGACCGCTCAAGAGAGGTGACCTTTTAAATGAGGTTCTGAAAAAAAAACTCTGATTCCGACATCACATGTGGATGGGATCAGGGCATATTGTTTTAGTGCTTTCAATTGGTAGAGTTATCGTTCGTGCATGCAGACAAATAAAAGATGGTGGATTCCAGCGCTCTAAATTTGAAGAAAGATTCGAAAAAGTTATATTCCTTGATAAATGATACAGTTTTCAATGGAAACTGAAAGGAGTTGAACACGAGAATTTCACAAATTTACCTCCTAATGTGCTATCTCGGTTGCAAACGCATTCCAATTCCCATTTTGACCTCTATACTGAACACATATTTTTTGTCATGATAATATTTTGGTTGTTAAAAACATAAATATGTTAAAAGTTGAAATGACGATTTCGTGTGAAAATTTGGTGACTGTGAGACAGGTGACTGCTGAAAAGAGTTTAATTATATAGAGAAAACGTTTTGGAGGGTCTGAAAGTGGTCGTTAGAGGCAGGTGACCGCTGGAACAAAGTGACCGTTAAAGCAGGTTTGACTGTACTTCCAATTTTTTCTGAATTTTGTTAAAATTGCAAACCCACAACGGACTTGGAATATAATTTATCGGTCTTGTCCTGACAATATAACCATTTTGGAAGCCAAGGCAAACACTGACATTCTCACCTGATTTACTGATCATGACTGAAGTTTTGGTTGATAGTCAATATCAAGGTCCAACTAGAGGTATTACATGAAAACATAACATTATCAATCCATTTTTATTCATGTGCATTAAAAACAAGTAACAAATATAGTTACTGTCACTGAATGTTATTTAAAATTCAAAAGGAAATTGTACTTATATCTTGAGTTTTTTCCTGTGGTGACCAGTCAATATTTCAGAAAAAACTTCAGTTTGATTTATGACTAATTTTGTGTTGTGAAATCATCCATTTCTATTACACAATAGAAAACTGGCACACTAACTAAATCCCAATGATAAAATATAGTACATGTACATACCATGTCCCAGTTCACGTCTAGTTGTGAGACCGGCTTTGGATATCTCATTAGTGGCGTAAGGAGGGAACTGTAAGTAAATGTATTGTATCATTAACGTTGAGACAGTTTTATTGACTTTGATTTGGTTGAAGAAATAGATATTGAAAGAGGCAATCATTTCATGTATATTCAGGATGAGAACAAATTAAACAATGAATCAAATATAGCTTCTAAAATGTGGATCAAAAGTAATGGAAGATGGAAAATTTGAACTGTTACTGGTTTTGGACAGAAATTTTGTCAAGCAAAAAGACACCAACAGACCATAGTTCATCAAAAAGCAGGTAATCTTGTAACAATTTGTCAAACCAAAACTGTTATAGTGATTGTCATAATAGTGATTGTCACTATGTGAATATGAAAATTACAATTACTGTTATTTTACTGAATTTTGTTTTGTTCTTGCTATCAATTAGTATAACCACTCTTGCAAATGTGTCCTTGTCAAACACACTGTGGATTAACTTTCATTTCTGAAGTGATAATTTTCTGGAATTTCATACATAATTGCAAACTACAAATCTAAGAGCTCAATGAATAAAAAGTTTCCTTTAGGCATGTCTGCAGAATTTTCAAAACAAAGAAATAAGGTTTCCCAAAAAATACCATTTTTCCTGAATTTATAAAAAATCTGTACCCATGAAAATAAATGAATCCACAGTAAATGTTATATTACAAAAGAACTAGAGGCTCTCAAGAGCCTGTGTCGCTCACCTGTATTTACTGATGCTTTGGAAATCATGTAAAATAATGTTAAAATCATAATTAGTAGTATTAGATATTAGATATTATAATGATATCTAAGATAATAACAAAAAACTGCAAAATTTTTGTAAAATTACTAACTCAGGGGCAGCAACCCAACAACGGGTTGTAGGATTCGTCTGAAAATTTCAGGGCAGATAAATCTAAATCTGATGAACATTTTTGCCACCTGTCAGATTTGCTCTAAATGCTTTAGTTTCAGAGACATAAACCAAAAACTGCATTTTACCCCTATGTTCAATTTTTAACCAAGTCGGCCATGATGGTTGGAAGGCGGGGTCATCGGACAAATTTTTTAAACTAGATACCCTAATAATGATTATGGCCAAGTATGGTTAAATTTGTCTCAGTAGTTTCAGAGAAGAAGATTTTTGTAAAAGATTACAAAAATTTACAAAAAATTGTTAAAAATTGACTATTAAGGGCAATAACTCCTAAAGGGGTCGACTGACAAATTTGGTCATGACAACTTATTTGTAGATCTTACTTTCTTGAACATTATTGCTGTTTACAGTTTATCTCTATCTATAATAATATTCAAGATAATAACCAAAAACTGCAAAATTTCCTTAAAATTACCAATTCAGGGGCAGCAACCCAACAACAGGTTGTCAGATTTGTCTGAAAATTTCAGGGCAGATAGATCTTGACCTGATAATCAGGTTTACCCTTGTCAGATTTACTCTAAATGCTTTGGTTTCAGAGATATAAGCCAAAATATACATTTTACCCCTATGTTCTATTTTTAGCCATGGCGGCCATCTTGGTTGGTTGGCGGGGTCATCGGACACATTTTTTAAACCAGATACCCTAATGATGATTGTGGCCAAGTTTGGTAAAATTTGGCCCAGTGGTTTTAGAGGAGAAGATTTTTGTAAAAAGCTAACGACGACGGACGACGAAGACGACGACGACGGACGATGGACGCCAAGTGATGAGAAAAGCTCACTTGGCCCTTCGGGCCAGGTGAGCTAAAAAAGAGATACAATTTTGGTTCATATATGCATAGGATGATACTGAGTTTTAACAAAGAACCAATAAATGCTTACCTCATAATGCAACATAAAATTCTTTTCTTTAATTCCACTGAAAATATACATTAAAAAACAATTACCAAATCATTTTTTATCTCAAACTTCATTAACTAATCTTTTCTTGAATAGAAAATCAAACAGGTTTATAAAACTCTTGCAAAATTATTAAAATCATATGGAACAAAGTAAAGATTTAGTATAATTATTAATTTGATTACTTAACTGATAGCAAGCTTAAGTGTGATAACAGCTGGAATAAAGTATACTCACAAGACTACCTTCTTGCTTCCTTGTATAATATCTATAAGGATAATCTTTTGTTCAAGAGACCGAGCTTACACAATTATCTGTGACATAGCTAACCTAATTATCTGTGACATAGTTTACCTAATTATCTGTGACATAGCTTACCTAATTATCTGTGACATAGCTTACCCAATTATCTGTGACATAGCTTACCCAATTATCTGTGACATAGTATCCACTTTTGCTGCTGAGTCTAAAGAATCTAATGTCACTGTACACATAACCTGAAATAACAAACCATTTAAAAACATAAGCCGAAATGTCTTGCCTGCTTTACTGATCCTAATTGAATTTAATGTTGATAGTCAGACATGTTCATCTTATGTACTTTTGTTTTTCTACTAGTCAAGATTAGCCTCCCTTTGTCTGACTTTTTGCAAGTAAAACCTCAAAACATATAAAGTAATATTTTCATGTCAAGAATCAATTATCTTCTTTGTCAAATGAATTCTTATCCTGGATCAAAACTTAATTTTTGCCCCTCTCAAATTTGACTGTCCCATTGAACTTAAGGAAAAAATGTGCTGAAAGAGAGAATAAACTGTTAACACAGAGATATGTCTCACCTATTTGTTATTTTGATAATGCAAATGTTGAAATTAAAATAGCAATACTTTAACATGTAAGTTATGCAAATATTCAAAGTCAATGAACCATGACTGAAGGTAAAGGGCTAAACAATCTCCATGGAAATGAGATGTGCCAATGGTAATACAACTGCAAACCAAATACCATTGACTTTTCATAAGTCGTTCCCTTTAAACAAACCTAAACACAAACATTAACTTGTAAACTATGTAAAAGTTTAAAAGTCAATGAACCATAATTAGGGGGTGGGGTTATATAATCTCCATGGAAATGAAACTTGCAAATGCCAATACATTTGCATACCGAATATCATTGACTTAGCATTAGTGGTTCATCTTGAACTGACCTAATCACAAACCAATACATGTAAACCAAGCAAAAGTTTCAAAGTCAATAGACAATGACTGAGGGGTAAGGACCAAATATTCTCCATGGAAATGAGATGTGCTAATGCTTATACAACTGCATACCAATTATCATTGACCTACCACTAACAGTTACCCTTAAACTGACCTAATCACAAACTAATACATGAAACATAAGCAAAGTTTCAAAGTCAATAGACCATGAATGAGGGGGCAGGCCAAATAATCTCCATGGAAATGAGATATGCCAATGCTTATACAACTGCATACCAAATATCATTGACCTACCACTAGTGGTTCCCCATAAACTGACCTAATCACAAACTAATACATGTAAACTAAGCAAAGTTTCAAAGTCAATATACCTTGACTGAGGGGGCAGGGCTAAATAATCTCCATGGTAATGAGATGTGCCAATGTTAATACAACTGCATACCGAATATCATTGAACTACCACTAGTGGTTCCCTATAAACTGACCTAATCACAAACTAATACATGTAAACTAAGCAAAGTTTCAAAGTCAATACACCTTGACTGAGGGGGCGGGGCCAAATAATCTCCATGGAAATGAGATGTGCTAATGCTTATACAACTGCATACCAATTATCATTGACCTACCACTAACAGTTACCCTTAAACTGACCTAATCACAAACTAATACATGAAACCTAAGCAAAGTTTCAAAGTCAATAGACCATGAATGAGGGGGCGGGGCCAAATAATCTCCATGGAAATGAGATATGCCAATGCTTATACAACTGCATACCAAATATTATTGACCTACCACTAGTGGTTCCCCATAAACTGACCTAATCACAAACTAATACATGTAAACTAAGCAAAGTTTCAAAGTCAATAGACCTTGACTGAGGGGGCGGGGCCAAATAATCTCCATGGTAATGAGATGTGCCAATGCTAATACAACTGCATACAAAATATCATTGACCTACCAATAGTGGTTCACCATGAGCTAGACCTAATCACAAACTAATACATTGTTGATGCCGCCGCTGCCGGAAACAGCATACCTATGTCTCGCTTTTTGACTCTGTCAAGGCTAGACAAAAAGTGTGTTGTATTATTCTAGATATACTGTTTCAATTGATATAGGAAAATAACATAATTCCAGTATTTAAAACAAATGTTTTACCTGAGTCTGACCTCTCTGAAATAAAGCCGACCCATGTAATGGTGAAAACATGTTAATGTCACATGAGATCGGTCGTAACTGTGTTAGACTTCTTCCGTCACATCTGTAAATTAAAGATATTATTGTCATAATGAAAAAATTCAAAACACTTGAAAAAATAACAAAATAATAAAAAAATACATGTTAGACAGGTGTGTCAAGAGACATACTCTAGAATCGGTAGTATTGCCTTGATGTCATTTGCTATTTAGAATACATTAAGAAATACCATATATTAATTCTATGTTCTTAAATTTTCTTAGAATCTTTCTCTGTGATTATTTTTCATCTCAAACTACTAAACTGAGATAGTTTCTCAGTCAAGTAAAGTGAGATTGTGATGACTTCATAATTTAACTTCATTGTGGTTGGCTAAGATTACTTAAATAAACAGAATTATTCCATATTGGTATTGTTTAAGTAGGGTTTTCTATAGGAATTGGATTTTGAATAAAACATCATATTCACAGCGCTAAAAGTCACACGCTTTTACCTGTAAAATCACTGAAAACGTTTGACGTACAATTGGTTTTGGTAAATAATTGCCATTAAAACATTATTTCTCTCGGAATATGGAATAAAACAATTACTGTCTTTTATTTCAGTAAATATGTGGTTTTATTGACTTTTGAAAAATTGATATTCACTTCTGCCATTGGCCTCAGTGAATATCAGTTTTTCAAAAGTCAATAAAACCACATATTTCCTGAAACAAAAGACAGTAATTGTATATTATTATATTGTCTTTTAAACTCGAGATAGTTTCCTTGCTAAATCTCATATATAAAGGCTCTCATCCCTCTTGTTTTCAAAACTAAATAAATTCAAAACTTGACAAAATAATGTTTTCGGTGTATGTTTGCTTTCTTTGGACTAAAAGAGGATTTAAAAACAATACAAAATAAATGAAGAATGTGGACAGGGATGCCCCCTCTTGTAAATATATGGCAAATTCAGCAATTTTTCCATTTATAAAGGGGCATAACTCGAGAATGGTGAAAGTGAAATCATCCAAATACAAACTTGATCTGTGTTTGGTGGTAAAAAGCATTGTGTATAAGTTTCATAACATTTGATTGAGGCAAACTAAAGTTAAAGAATGGAAACCAATTTAGGGATGTAAAGACAGACATACAAAGCTAAACCTTAATGCCACCTTGTCGTCTAGCAGCAGGGGCATAAAAATATGTCAACAATGAGGAAAAAAATTTCAACAGCGGTCTAAAGATTTCCATTCACTTCCCATAAACCCAAGTCTTTAAAATAGAGAAGTCATGCAAAAAGGTGTACAGTCCTCTTATCCTTAAAGAAATTTCTTTGCAAGAAGATATAAGTTCAAAACAAAATGTTTCTACCCGACAAAAGTAATTTGGAAACCATATTTTAGGCATGGTGGGTTTCAATTTTCATGAATTGAAAAAAAATCTTATCGGGATACTCCATTTCTTGGTTCCAACAAGTTCTGTATTACAGTATAATTCTTATATGATTTGCATATTAGAGAATACGTTGATATGATTGGTTGAGAGGACTTCCGGTAGTTGTTCTTGACGTTGTTTATTTTTCGATAGACAACGTTGACCGAACTTCTTTTCGTAACCAACGTAAACAAGATGGCGGCGATAATGACACAATCCAGATCGACATTAACAAAATTTATTTTCAATTCGCGTTAACAGGTCTTAATAGTTAAATTAGATAATAAACACAAAACATTCGTTTGAATGATAATAAGAGTTTTTGTAGTTTATTTTTTATCAGATTGCAAATTTCATGGAGTACATATTTTTGCGTTAACCAACAAATATATTCATGCGCTAGGCCTATTCAATGACACAAATATACAATTTGCGTGTGATAGAGGTTACGAGTGTGGAAAAATAAATTCCTTATCTCCAATTTTAAAGAATTATAAGGATTAAACGCCTTTTTAAAGAAATTTATTGGTATATAAACTGTACCAAGTCACTTACAAACATATTTGTGAGTGAATTGGTCGAGTTTATACACCAATAAATTCCTTTAAAAAGGCGTTTAATCCTATAATACAAGTCTATAGGAATTTAGTATCATGTTGAAAAGTTAAATTCGAGTTCACCTACACCCATGAAATCCATGAGAATGAGTACCCCACTAATAATAACTAATCCACAGTATATGACCTATGTCAGAATGACATGTACACAGTATATGACATATGTCAGAATGACATGTACACAGTATATGACCTATGTCAGAATGACATGTACACAGTATATGACATATGTCAGAATGACATGTACACAGTATATGACATATGTCAGAATGACATGTAGTCTTCACAAAATTAATCTACCTTTTATCTGTTTGTAAAATAAGTTTTCTAAACAATTTCTTTGCATACAAATCATAAGCTTCAAACAACAATTCTTTGTCTTTTTCTTTATCTGGAAAAAGTTCTGAAAAGAAGTTGTATTACAATTAAATGACAACCTCATGTCATTTATGTTTTAAAATTAAATGATAATGTTAAGAGTTTACTGCAGCTTCATTATCTGCATTGTTTACCAATATGTCTCCAATCTTTTATCCATCCTTTGACTTTTTTAATCCTTGAGTAATGAGTCTCTTCTTTTCTTAGCCATCTTTTCTTTACTTAATATTTAGTTTTCATCATGTAAAAACAATGGCACCATCATAAATACACATAGGGCCAACATTCAAGAGCAATCTGCTGACATAACAACAATTTTAGGTAAACTTGTGTAAATATTTTTTAAGTAATGTACATGTATCACTTAAAGCAAATGAAAAAATGCAAACTTGTAGTCAAACTTTCAGAAGTGTCCCCATCTGAACAAGAAGGTTGCTACATTACTTGAAATATCCATCTGCCATCATGTATAATCTCTTTACTTTACAGAGTGATTTGTGTACAAGGTATTGAAAAAATAATACATAGTTAACTCCCATGAAAAGATAAAGGTGCCACTTTTTCTTAAGCATGACAGAATCATATTTCTTGAATAATAATCAAAATCCTCACTGTAAAAGTAAACATTAGTGCATTTACAATATATGTAATAGATAAATTTTCAAGGGCACTCATTTTCAAACTTAACTGAGATGTTGATAATATAATCTTCATACAGAGTGACAGACCCATAATTAAATGAAAGTTTTCAAAGGACATAACTTCGCAAAAAACAATGGATCAACTCTGACTGCTATACTAATATCAAAATTACATATAAATTTCATTAAAGTCCATAAAGAAATGTTAACACAAGAATACTTACAATCTTGGATAAATATATGGATTAAGGCTTGACATTACCATATCCAAAATTTGTGTATCAATATGGGATAAAGATGTTTTATCTCCAATAATTATTCAATTCTTTTTTTTAAATATCAGAATGAAATCTTTCTGTCTACTTACCTATTAACTGTTTTATAGTTGAAGATTTTAGATCTCTAACTGCATTATCTCTGGAAAACTGAAATTCAAGGCAAACCAGTTTACAATATAATTTCTTACTCTTAAAACAAAGTGACATTAAGACAGAAGAATCTGTTGATTTTCTGAAGGACACAAAGTGACATAGGATTTCACAGTGGAATTATTAACAACATAAACCATGCATCCAATTAACTACAGTCGAACCTCGTTATGTCGAAGTCAAAGGGACCGGACCAAAGTATTTGACTTATCCAAGGTTCCACTCATCCGAGGTCGAGTGTGTCGTCATAAATTTGGAATGCATGAAATGCGGTATGAGATTTGTGTAAACCAGATATTTTGAACAGTGTGCCTTTTTTCAATATGACACTTTATGATTGTGTATTCAATCTCCATATTGTTTAGTCCTTCATAAAAATTAAACACACAAGTACAGATACAAATCATGCACAAAAAAAATCAATGGTAAACACAATTATATCAGGTAAAATATGTTCAACACACCAATGTTCCAATTGGACGATCAACAAAGATGTTAATTACCAGTCACCATCAACATGTCATTTTAACGGTTATACAAACAAGTATGTTTACTCAGCTTTAATCTCTTTTGAAAATGATAAGGTTGCATAAGAAATACATCGGATTTGAATTTTTATCATTAGGTCTGCATCTTTTGAAAATTCTTACTTTCAAACTTGTAGACATTGGGGTCAATTTACATTACATTTTACATCGACAGGTCTGTAAAATTTACTCGACTTAACCAAGTATTCGAATCAACTGGGTTCGACTCATCAGAGGTATTTTTTTTAATTATGCATTGATCAAACAGGAATTTTATCCAGACCGAGAAATTACTTCAACTCATCTGAGTTTTTCGACACAACAAGTTCGACACAATGAGGTCGACTGTACATCTGTTCTTTACAAAATAGTATAGTTTGGCTCATATTCAGTGATATTCAATGGAAGTCCTCTCTTTACATTATAACATTGGGGACTAAAGTCCATAACTGCTTAAACTGAAGGTATATGATATTCTCCCAATTTAGACATATGAAATTGACCAGTGCTGTTCCATAGGTGTGACTGCCTGTCATCCTTGTAATAAGTAAACACAATAAAATTTATTTCACATAACTTAAGTACATTTCTAAAAATGTAAGTTCCAATGTGTAAGTAACCAAAACATTTATGCAATTAACTTTTCTTACAGTCTGACTTTCAATTAAAATTTTATTCAAAATCTGAATAACAAGGTATAGGTGTAATACCACCAAAACATAGTATGTCACATCGAGTTTCATCGAAAAAAGGGTTGAAAAAAAAAAATATTCCAATGAATTTGCCAGTTGTAGAAAATTAACCCTGCATTTCGTTGCAGAAAAAACTTTCTGAGTCATAAACATATATCTTTGATGTTTCAAAGCACCATTCTTTTTTAGTTTGGTGTTTCTATAAAATATTTTGGAAACATGAGATGGTATGGTTACTAAAGCTTGTAAACAGGAAAATTTGATTGGTTTTCTTCAGGTGATGGTTATTTTCTTATAGGCAATGAAATGTTTTGTGAAATTGTCACTGTAGTACTGGACAGGATAAAACGTTACTCATTTTAAGTAATTCTTTATTTGAAACAAAGATAAATTCTGCACAACCTTTTGAAAAATGCCAATTTAACAAAGACTAATAGGGGAAAAACAATGGTGGTATTACTCCCATGTATATATACTTTTAACTCACAAAGGTAGGCATAAAACCTACTGTTGATACATTAGCAGAGAGAGGTTGGCAAGGGCTAGAGTGTAGAATGTCATAATTTTTGTCTCTTTAATTTTGATAAAGTCATCAAGATTGAATGGAAATATAAGAATCATAATAACTACCTTATCATGTGATGCATCTTGCAATATTTCTGTTAATTCTGTTTTTGTTAACCTAAAAAAAAAAAGTTACAATGAATGCAAGATTTTCAATGATTCATTTTGAAAAGCATTGACCTGACAATATAAAATATCCCAAGATTTATCAACAACATTATAATTTTTTCACTTGATAATATCAAGTTAGACCTGACATCACTTAACACTTAAACATTTTTTAATAAACTTAGCATGTTATACATTAAAAATACTAAAATCAATACCATGAACAAATTATCAGCATTTAAACAAAACGAAATTGTAAAATATCAACAACTTGACTCAATATCAAGGTTTTTGTCATGTTCATAGCAAACACTTGCTAAAAAGGCTTATTTTGTAGTGACTTGTGGCTGATTTCTTATGTTATCGATCAACAGAAAAACTGATAATCTATACTGATATATGGTATGTTTCCCTACATCTAACTGAAAAGTAATAAACACTCCCATTGGCCATTACCATCTTTAGGTGTGTATGGTATGCAAATTTTTATCCTGGGATAGATTTCTGAGAAGGGAGTGGGTACTTTGTATGCCTACATTGTATTTTAGACATTTTTTCAAGTCCAAACCAGACCAAGAAACCAGGTGGTCAGGAGGAAAATGTTTTCATGGCATAAAATTGAATATTTGTACCTTCTTGTATCTGATTTGTAATGTTATATGCAAATAAAATTCATTTAAATGCTTTAATATTCATGTCTTTTGAGTTTTCCTGTTTCTGCTCCCCAGAAGTTTAATTTGGTCATGTTCAAATAAGAGATTAAGGATTCTGTCAATGGCAAAATTAGTGCATGTGTTTCTCGAGTTTATAACTTACTTTGTACATCTGTTCTAACCAGGAATACAGAAGGTAAATGTATAAAAATTGAATGAAACATGCCCGTTTGATGATAGCGACCGCCATTGTTTTTTACTTCCGTAGTATCAGGTGATCACATGTCATTCAATTAGACTTCCTAATTGATAATCAATAAGAGTGTGATAATCCGGATTAAACGATTCAATGAGTACTAACAAACAATAAATGAAATTAGCAGAGATTAATTAATTATTCCAGCACTAATTTATCAACATAAATATTAATTACGGTAATTAATTAATTAATATATGATATTTGCTATATTTTGTTAATGGTTCTGTATTCTGTACAAGAAATGCTTAAGCTTATAAAACTGCATACGAAATAATGTAGACTTAGCATAAGTTATTCCCTGATAACAAACCTAAACACAAACTTTAACTTGTAAACTATGTAAAAGTTTCAAAGTCAATGAACCATGATTAGGGGGTGGGGCCATATAATCTCCTTTGAAATGAGACTTGCAAAAAAGAATAAATCTGCATACCAAATATCACTGACTTAACATTAAGTCATCTTAAACAGATCTAATCACAATTAAACTTTTAACATGTATACTATGCAAAACATTCAAAGTCAATACACCATGACTGAAGGGGCAGGATCACATTATCTCTATGGAAATGAGATGTGCTAATGCTAATACATCTGCATACATAATATCATTGACCTACCAATAATGATTCCCTTTAAACTGACCCAATCACAAACTAATTCATGTAAACTAAGCAATAGTTCACAATGACTGAGGGGGCAGGACCAAATAATCTGCATGGAAAAGAGATGTGCCAATGCATACCAAATATCATAGACCTACCAATAGTGGTTCCCCATAAACTGACCTAATCACAAACTAATACATCAATGAAGCCACCCCATGCCTAGGTCTTGCTTTTTCGCCTTCATCAACGTGAGACAAAAATCAAACATTGTTTGCTAAATTATATAATCTGCAACAATATTTTCGTTATCCTGTAATCAACATGGACTGGAGTTCAATTTGTCTCTGAGAAAAACTCACTTTTAAATGGCAGCATTACTGAGTTTCAAGTTGGGATTTTTCTAGAAAGTCACTGCGTGTTATGCATAAGAAGTAACTTTTTTTTTAAGTTTCAAGGGTAAAGGTGTGCGTACTATGCATCAATACATTTCATACACATGAAAAGACTATACACAGAAAAGCAAACCATAAAGGATTTCCTTACCTTTCTATTGTAGTAAATATTTCATCAGGTGGTGCTAATTTATATTCTACATCACGTTTTGGTTTCCCTAAGGCCTCTCTCAATTCTTTTAACTTTAATATTATGGTATTTATTTCGTTTACACCTGTTTTTATTGCTTCTTTAAAAAGATCATGTCCGAAGTTGTCAGCATGTCCTTCCATCATTACTGTAAAATACAGATATATATACATGTATAATAAGTCACCTTATTTAATCAATATTATGTTGCCTTATAGAGAACTATCAAAGTAATAATGATTGGAACTATCTTGAGCTTGTCTAAAGAAATTGTTATCAACAGACAGTTAAATGCCTTACAACGAATTTTAAAAAGATAGAATAGTAACAAAAATGTTGTTCATTTGATTTGAGTTTACTTTCCGCTATTTTGCCTGATTTACTAATATTAATTTCATTCAACTTACATGTGATTTGTCATCATTTAACATATAATAATGTTGAAACTTCAATCAGTAAGTGCCCCCTAAATTGTTACACATGTCCCTTGTTCAAACAAATAGTAAATTGGAAAGACAGGTCAGCACTTACCAATTTTATTGTCACTACAACCGCTTACAATAAGATTCAATGGACTTTGCTGTAGTTCCCGTCGTGTTGGATTAATAACAATTTCATGGTCAACATATCCTATACGTACAGCACCTACTGGTCCATTAAATGGTATATCTGACAGAACTAAGGCTGCTGAGGCTGATGAAATATGAAGTAGAAATAATTTTTTTAATTAACATTATACAATTATTGACTTTTGATGAGGTTGATACAATGATTTATCAACCCCAGAGATATGACATTCACCGAGGCCAACGGCCGAGTGTGAATGTCATATCTCTGGGGTTGAAAATTATTGTATCAACTGAAATCAAAAGTCAACAATTGCTTTATTATATGACTTTTTATCCTCCTCCAATTTTCTAGTTTTTGCCCAAGATACTATTAAAACGGCTCCCTGTTTTTAAGCTAAATATATCATCTGCTTTTGCAGTTACTAATTTTCATAAGTTGAAATATCCAATAAAGTTTACCAAAAAAAAAATACATCGAAAACAAGAAAGAGAAGGTAACTAAAATAAAACTTAATGCCCCCTCCGCTACGGCGGGGGCATAAAAAAATACATCGCAAACAAGAAGAAGAGAAAAAATACACTGAAAACAAGAAGAAGAGAAAAAATACACCGAAAACAAGAAGAAAAAAATAGGAATTAACATGAAGTCATAATACTACACAATTGACGTTGCCTTGGAATATCTATATTTAGGTACACTAACGCTGTCCCAAATCTTATGTTAACCTCTCATGATTTTTGCTGCGGTGAATATAATATATAATAGGATTTCCTATGCTTTTAGCCAATGAGTAAACAGAAAATTTATAGTTATAGAATAAACGTATATATGATTGATAAATTCTTCAGAATATTATTTGATTGAATTTCTTTATTTTGACATTGCATCAACACCGAGTGACAACTTTTGCAATGTTAATTTAAATTGCTGTTGAATGTGAAGGTGGAATAAATCTTTTTCTGGTTTTATAAAAAGGTTTTATTACATTCAGAGGTTTTTCTGTATCAAGAACTAATCTTACACAACAAATCATATATATTTTCAAAGTGTGTTTAATCAATAAAATTGTTTGATTTAAAATAATAATTTGATCAATTATGTTATGCTGAAAGAACAAAAGAGGTTGGTAAGTAAAATATCAAGATTTCCACTCTCCAACTCAATGAAAACCAGCTCAGTCTTCTCAAGTTTCTTAGTATATGCCTTTTATAAGACTTTAAGATCTTTTTCTTGCATATTTTAAAATAAATTGTGACCAAGCTTAATTTAAAATTACTATTGGCAGTCTTAGTTTTATTTGCACAAAACCAAATGAGGGATTTTCACATTCGTCTTTTCAGTCATGGAAGGAATTAAATGGTATTGTAACCTAATAAAAAAAATGTTTAAATCTCTTCTAGAATGTTTCAAGTGAAACAATAGTCTAATCAAACTATGAATATTTTTTTTTTAACTTAAATCATGCAACACACCTGCATTTATACTTAGTACTTCAGGATCATGATCACCATCTACTGCCATTAAGTTACATATTATCTGTGTTTCATAATTAAATCCTGCAGGAAATAGTGGTCTCAAAGATCGATCTGAAAAAAGAAACATCTTAAATTTACTTATTCTGTTAAGATTAATATTGTAACTTGTAGTGTGCTAATTTGTTCTTTTTCATCATGAAGTAAAATTTGAAGGATATATTTTTATAATATAGCCTCACTTAAGAAATTATTGTTCATTTATATGTTTCGGAGTTTAGTGTGACGTCTATTTTCACTGAACTAGTACACATTTTTGTTTAGGGGCCAGCTGAAGCCTGCCTCCAGGTGTGGAATTTTCTCGCTGTGTTGAAGACCCATTGGTGGCCTTGGGCTGTTATCTGCTCTTTGATCGGGTTGTTGTCTCTTTGACACATTCCCCATTTCCATTCTCAATTTTAACCTGTATTGATTCTTAAGTTTTTATAACATAGATTGGTTCCAATTGAAATGTGAAACACAATATTTTTCAATGTAAATTTAACTCAAAAAGAAAATACAGTAGGAGTACAAAATGGTGTATAATTCATAAATATTTATACCTATAAGTCTACTTGTAAGAATTTCTTTATCTGAAGCACCTAGTTCACGTCTCAGAAAGTTTGTTGGTATTCTACCAGCTGAAGCAGCCTTTTGTCTGTAATCTACCTAAGAAAACATCAAACAAATAAACAAAATGACTTTTATAATCTTGAACATGAATTTTTTTCAATATCTCAAAAGTTGGTATATCAATAAAGACATTAGTAACCACTTGTATCCTTTGGTTTCTTGAATTTCTGTTAATGCCAAAGCATATTGGTGGGTTGTTTTAAATTAAATATATCAGTGAAAATCAACTGTAATCACATGAATCATGTGAGAATACTTATTAAAAATATATGTGTTTCTAAATGTTTTTTCTGCTTTAGGGATAAGATAATTTAATATGACTGTCATGAACAACATCATCCACTTTTGATTACATTTAAGTACTTGTATATAAAAATAAGGAGATGTGGTATGATTGCCAATGAAACAACTATCCACCAGAGACCAAAGGACAATAACTACATATCATTGTATGGCCTTCAACAATAAGCATTAAATTGAACAGATACTAATGTAGTTCCTCATTAATCAAATCTGTCAGCTAAAGATGCACCAATAAATTTAGGTGTTATTTCAAAACTTAGTGAGATGATTTGCCGACTTAAAATGTATTAGTAAGAATCAAAGTTACCACATGACTTAAATTTACATGTATTATTCAATATTGAGAATGACAAGTGTAATTACATCAGTTCATAATATGACTATATTATAGTATTATTCAACACAATACATACTGTCAATGGTAGGAAAGAGGCTGGCGTTGATTTTGATTTACTGACTGCAGTAACCAAAACTGTGGTATCACCTTGCTGAAAATATATAAATGAAAAGCAGTTTCACTTCGGCAATTATTCTGAACTTCCCTATTTTTATCAATGGCATGTGTTAACACTCTCGTAACTGTATGCAAAATAGAATTTTTTTATAATGCCGTCACTGATCAATTTTGCACTTCAAAATATTAAACATGTCACTTTACATTATCTTTTACGAATAGAAATATTTAAGAAGCTGTGGGTAGACCACTATTTTTTTTATATACGAAAACCTTATTTTTGTAACTCTATTCAGAATTTAACTACATAGTATACTACAAAAAATATGACATAGTTACAAAAATATGACATAGTTGTGTAAAACCTACAATCTGGATGGTAAATTACCTTGACAACCATCTGTCAAACTTTGACCAGACATTTTTTAAACACCACAAGAATGTACCTACTGACTAACTGTAAATTACATTATTTTTAAGATATGTCTTTCCTAGAGTATTGGAATGGATGGTTTTATAATTCAATAGATATAGTACATGGAGCTTGCATGCACATTACATTTGATTTTGATTATGCATATCTAATGGATTCCCTTGTTCTTCCAAACTTGGAAGTCTTTTGGTAGCCAGCTTGTCTTGAGTGCTGGGGGTTGTGGGTTTGATCCTTGTGCAGATCAAAATTGAAATTTGCTGCTTCTCCGCTAAGTATGCAACATTAAGATTAAGGAGTAAAAGCCAAGACTGATCGGCTCAAAAGTCAGAATAACGTGTCTTGGTAAGGTGACATGTCTTCCTGAGGACTGTTCCAGCTCAGTATACAGGACTAGAACAAAGCAGGGTTCATATTTCTTATACTAGTACTGGTAATAGTAAGATGTTATTATCTTGAATTTTGCCATTAGACATAACAAGAAACATTCATCATCATCCCTTGTTCTTTACTGACCAATAATTTAGGAACAAGGTTGAGTTGTCACAAATCTGATTTAACTACACGTTTATATCCCTATAACAAGTCACAAATGTTGTCAGCAGTTTGTCACTAACTCAATTTCTTTTCTAATTTGATGTTTGTTTTGTTTAATATCTTTCCAAGCTATGGGAACAACAGTTAGATGAAAGGTACTGGTATTCAAGGTCAAAATTACATACCTTAGCAACAGCTGATCCATCTGCAAACCTAGCAAATTGACCAGTACTGATTTCTATTGGTCTGAAAAAAAGTTAGAATATGAAATGTATTCACTGGTGTCTTATACAATAACAATGAAAGCACCAAGATAAATTTTGTAAAAGCCAAGATAAGAACTTTAATAATACTTATGCCAAATTAAGATAAAAGCTTTGTCTGCTAGGGTTTCATCTGATGGTCACCAAATTTGCAACTGGCTAAAAAATAACTGTTTGAAAAAAAAAATTTAACAATTGGCAAAATAATTTAGTGAAGCATTTTTTTATTTTTCATCAAGGCTGTTGACATTTTCATTTTATTTACATTTAGATTTCCATTTTAAACAAATGGTTTTCTTAAGTTTATTAATCACAAAGTACAGTGTTATGTGAATTTGAAATAACAGAAAATTATTATTTTTGTCCGTGACTTTTTGTCTGTGACTTTTTGTCCTGTGACTTTCTGTCCTACATTCAATGAATGATTCGGATAACAGAAATAGGCATGTTACAAACCATTTTGTAGACAATTTAATGTAGATTAATCACATACATGTAACAAGTTTCAGTGGGATCTACAACTGCAGAATCAAAATATAATGGAACATAGTGACCGGGAGTAATTTCTCAAAAATTACTTAAGTACCTTATGTTATATCAAAGTATATCCTAAGTGTGATATGTATTTGTACTAATAACAATTTTTACTGCCTACGGTTTTCACTGTTGAGTTTTTATTCACATGTGTACTTGAATTTTAAAAGCATGTTCTGTCGAATGTTTTTAGGTATCTAGATTTTTCTGTCAAGACTTACTACCAGGGGCGGAACCAAATATTCTCCATGGAAATGAGATATGACAATGCTTATACAACTGCATACCAAATATCATTGACTTATCACTAGTCACCCCCTTGAACTGACCTAATCACAAACTAATACATGTAAACTAAGCAAAAATTTTAAAGTCAATAGACCATGACTGAGGGGGCGAAGCCAAGTAATCTCCATGGATATGAGATATGCCAATGCTTATACAACTGCATACCAAATATCATTGACTTACCACTAGTGGTTCCCCATAAACTGACCTAATCACAAACTAATACATGTAAACTAAGCAAAAGTTTCAAAGTCAATAGACCATGACTGAGGGGGCAGGGCCAAATAATCTCTATGGAAATGAGATATGCCAGTACTAATACAACTGCATACCAAATATCATTGACCAACCACTAGTGGTTCACCTTAAACTTGACCTCATCACAAACTAATACATTGTTGACGACACCGACGCCGCCGCCTCCGATGACGCCGGAAACAGCATACCTATGTCTCGCTTTTTACTCCGTCAAGGCGAGACAGAAATGCATGGGTTTACTTTTTAACCACTCACAACATTGGTTTCACCTATTAGCATATTATATATAAATGGGGAATGTGTCCCATGGACACAGATGATTCCCCAGATAGCATATCATATAAAGTTATAAAGTTTATAACTGAAGAGCTGTAAAAGTGACGCTACCAAAATTTGTACTTGATCTGAGTTTTGTGGTAATAAGTATTGTGTACAAGTTTCATAACATTTGGTTGAGGCAATTTTAAGTTAGAGAACGGAAATGAGAAATTCAGCAATTTTTTTCCATTTGTAAAGGGGCATAACTCTAGAACAGTAAAAGTGACACCACCAAAATTCAAACTTGAACTGTATTTTGTGGTAATAAGCATAGTGTATTAGTTTCATAACATTTGGTGGAGGCTAACTTAAGTTAGAGAACGGAAACGAAAAATTCAGCAATTTTTCCATTTGTAAAGGGGCATAACTCTAGAACAGTAAAAGTGACACCACCAAAATTCAAACTTGATCTGTATTTTGTGGTAATAAGCATTCTGTATAAGTTTCATAAAAAAATATTGGTTACCGATTTTGAAGTTTTTCTGATCAATTTCTTGTTATAGTAGTCTCATTATAAATCTATAATTTTACCTGGCGACATATTCATGACAAGTTAACGACCCTGCGCTAATCAACAGTCACAACAGGTGTCATAGTTTGTTGTTACAGGTAATCTGCTTATCTGATGGGTCATAACAATCTTACAAATTAATTAATTTGTAAACAGAATCAGTCACTCAGCATTTCAATTTTAATCAATTTATCATACAACACACAGTTTGCATTGAACGTTTACCGTAGTTTCATGACAAAATCGTAATTAACTGAAAGACGAAAACTGTAATGAACTCATTAGAAACCAGCGTTTTTCTTGAAATCCGTTAAAATTTTTGAAATCAGACATGTTTCTGTCCAGTTCTAATTTAAAATCGACGCCATTTTGTATTTACTTCTACTGTGTACAAGCCTCCGCCGGTATAAAAAAAGAAAGATAACTCAAATTTTATCCATTTTCTCATTAATACTGATAGACTAACTCAAAATCTGTGTTCATCCTTCTAGCTTTAGGACATTTAGGTTTAGGATTTTTGAGTAATGGTGCAAAGATAAGAAGGTCTTTTGAGGGGGGAAGGGGGGGGGGGGGGGGGGGAGGGTCTTCACTTTGTATCCTTTATTTTTTTTAGGCCATTTTTCTCTGTTCTTAAGTTATTTTGCCAATTAATAAGTACAAGAATCATGCAAATAAAAGAAATCAAGGCTTATTAGCTCATCATCAGTATACCAAAAGGAAAAAAGACATATGAGACTATTTCAAGAGTAAAAAACAGTGCACACAGAAATGCAGCAAAAATTGTAACCCTTAAAAATCTGGTCGCGCACTAAATCCCCCATAGAGATTTTCAAAAGTTGGCAGGTCTGTATAATTAATACTTTTGTTCATCAAAGAAATGAAAAGAAACAATTAAAAATCTTCTAAAATTTTAAAATTAATCATTATCTGATTACTTAGTTTTATATTTCAAAACTAAACTTATTGATTTAACTACAGTACATTTGGAGACTTACTATGACGATAGTCGGACATCTTACCTGTCCGTCATCTCATCTCGGACATCTCGTACATATGTCAGACAGTCATAAATCAAATAATTGTCAGGTACAGCTACCTACATGAACTCTTTCATCCTTAACCGACACTAAAGATCAGCACGTGTCGATCAATCTGTTAAGGTTGAACGCTTTTTATCTACCTGTGTTAACCAGGTAATGGTTTTTAAACATGATCATTATCTTTTCTGATGCAATTGACGGAAAATGATATAGATGTATTGTAACTCAATATATTTTAGTTTTGTCGTGTGATTTTTTTAAAAAAAAAAATTTTCTGTTCACTTTTGTTTTCTATCTTGATTTTTTTATATATAATTCGTACTCTATAACTTCATGAACATATCATCTAAATGTACTTATAATAAATACGGATCGATGCTTTATTTTAGTTATCACACTTCGATATCTTTTTACGTTTAATACCAATAATAAAGGCGTTTTTGTTTTGCTCATTAATGTTTGGAATAAACACAATAAATTATGTCCATGAAATTTTTCATTCATGAATTCGTCAATAAAACATTGTTATACACTATTTACTGTAACCGTGGGAAAATTATATACGCATTGCGGTAATATACAATGTATATATTGAAATTGGTGCTGACTATTCGAAAAATTTTAAACTGATGGACTTAATAATTTTCAACTTGAATATTAAGAATTCGACATATTTATGTCAATTAAAAAGACAATTCAAAAACATTCATTTCAAGGTCTATAAATCAGTTTGATGTAGACAGTCAGAATTTTGTTAATTCGGGATGAAAATATAGATTGACACGTGTAAATAATTTAATGTCCGTTTGAATAGATGGAATAAATCATCATAGTTAAAAATGTAAAATCTAACTTTTAATTAAACATGTACTTTTGCTGGTCCTTGAATTTTACAATTGCATACCATATCTATATATATAGGTAATAAAACCAAGGTGTTCAATTGACACAAGTTGTCGATCCCCACATAATTAATTTAATGACCGGATGTAGAACAAAAACATCTTAGTATTGGTATTCTATGATAAAAAGGTGAATTTATTTTCATACAATGTGTACCGGTAATGTTTGTGATGTAACAAAAAGTCGCTTGAATTATGCTTCTGATCAAAATCATAGTTATATTAATATATTGTACATGTTTTGTATCGTTTTCTTTGTACATGTATATTTAAAATCAGAATTTAATTGTTTTTTTTTTTATTGTTTTTTTTCGGAAATACAAGGGAGTGTGCATAATTTTGTTATGGTTTTCGATTGATTTGACTCCAAATGTGTAATGGTAAGAATACGGAAATCCAGATTAACCAAGAAAGAACCAAAAACAAAAGAAGACCTCATCAATGGTATTAATTCGTTCTGGAGAGAAGATCTAACAATTCCAATCTGCAACAACTTCATTGACCACATCTATAAGGTTCTACCAGTAGCAGTGGTAACAGGTGGAAGAGCTACAGGGGACTTACCCAGGAAAATTTTTCCTGAAAGATCCAGTGGCAAGTCCCTACAGTATTTCAACAGAAAACTCCGGACACCAGAATACCAACTAAAGATTGCAAGTTTAAAGTTGAAAAAAAGAAGACGTTTTATTGCTAAACAAAACAGTCCTTTAAAGGGCTACACAAAATTTTCAAAAAGAGTCTGAATGTTGTACATCAATCAATCAATAAAGTCAAATTAAGCTCTACTCCAAAGATTACCTCTATGTATTGCTAATTTTATAAAAGATACAATTTTTGGCTAAAAGTGTGATGTAATATTTTTTTTATAGCGAATACATTCTTTTTTAAATCGATAAACATTTATTGTCACATAAACTCTTTTACCAATAACTTTGTGGCAAAATACAAATATATTTCATGAATCTCCACAAATGCTGTTTATTTCACGAAAAAAATTCAAAGAAATAACGTTCGTCAGATTTTAACTTATTATTTTTATACAATTCAAATATAAACATGATAAAATATGTTCAATTTCTTGTCATTAAGTAACATTTCAAATTATAAGTATTCTTTAACAAAATGGTGTTAATTAAAAATTAATCATGCATTACAATCCATTACTACTGTAAGATTATCTGATACGTACATTTTTTGACACAATTCAAACAAAGCCGTTATTATATAATTAAATTGATTAATCAGTTCTATCAATTAAACACATTATTAAATCATAAAATGAGCTTGACCTCACTAATTTTATAAAAGATGTTTACTAGCTGACAACAATTTACAAAATCCTGCCGACAGCACGAGCTAATAGTGGCGGGAAATTATAATTACTTAACGGTAAACACGAGTTATTTAAATGGATTGCCAGGGTCAAATAAGTGTATTGATTGATGGAGAACTAAAATGATTGGGCTTTTACGGGTATTGAGATGTGGGAAGTTAATTTTTTACAACTTATTAATTTCCCCGATTTTGAAAAATGATTTATTTAAAACTTATGACAAGAATATCGAATATTAATGAAGTTTAGTCATTAGTTAGTGGGATTGGACAATTTGAATGTGTATCTTATGTTTTGTTTTTAGAAAGTTTTAATGTAATGACAAAAAAATAATTATCCTGTTCTGTTTATTCATCCGTAAATTCTTTCATAAATTTGTTCGGCTGATCTAGGTCAAATTCCAGCAAGTGATTGACATGAGAAAATAAACGTAGAGGCTCTAACGGGGAATATGAAATCGGAAGAAAAATAAGTATATAGTTTTAAACTGATTAATTTCCAAAGTTTTAATTAATTACAATTGATTTGTACATGACAAATATCTAGCATGATGAAATATTTAACTAAGCTGAAATAAACAATTTCAATATTCATCATGTTCATATTATAGCTAATAAATAAAAATAGTGAAATATTTTTTATCCGTAATTTCATCTATTAAGACAGTGAAATATGTTACAGGATGATATCATTCATTAATCTTTAAAATGTACAGGTAAGATTACAAATTTATCAATCACAGCTACAGATTAATTTACGACCTTCCAGTAAGGTATTACACAGGTATATCACTGCAGGGGTAATTACAGTCAGGCAGATGTCCAACTTGTCCGTCTTCTTGTCCCAATGGGACATATATAGGAGAATCTTAAAATGTACTGTATGAAATAAACTAATCTCCCATTTTGGATATTCATTTTATTTTGTTTTATTTTTTCAGTTTGTTTTACGCAATATATTAAAAATCCATTTAGAAAATAATATAAATATTTTATTAGATAAAGCACATTTATATACGATATATAATGTGTATTCCAAGTGTATAACATATAAAAACATGACAAATAATGTAAATACAGCATAATACATTTACAAGTTATACTAACCATCTGCATGAATATATCACAATACTTTCACAATACTTTAATTTCCAAAAAAAAACCATGGACGACGGGTATTCACAAAGTATGGAGGATTTTATCCCATGGCCGATGCATCTTATCTAGGTATGGCCAATGCATCCTATGGACGTTGCATCCTGCATCAGTATGGACGTACAGACGGACAAGTATAAAACTAAATGCGCCCTCCGATACGGCAGGGGCATAAAAATTAAAAAAGAAATTGTAATTATTTGAGGGATTGTCCCTTATTTGAGAGTTTGTTCCCATATTTTAGAGTTTGTTCCAACTTGGTATCAACTGTCTTACGCAAGACTTGTAATCTAATTACCTATTTCCCACATCAAATTTTACATTACGAACGGATTCTTCATTTCCCCAAGAACTTTTCTGCACCTCATGACACAACTGTCCGATACGTTTTAAATGTTTTTGCATTAAAAGTAGATGATTCTTTACAGTCCATGTTTGTTTCAAGGGCGCAGCCATCTTTTCCTTCGTAAAACTGATTTTGATAAATCTAGAGGTGATCCGCATTAATTTACTCGTTCCCGGCTCTGATTGTTGCTCCTGTTCCTCCTATTCCAATTTTGAAGGTACCAGATTAATTGGCGCAATCTTTGAAGTTGACATCTTAAACTTTAATAATTGCAAAGACCCTTGTGTAAGAGGTATATAAGTAACACTAACTTACCCAAATAAACCATGCAAATTTCAAGAGAACTACCATTTTCGGAGTTCCATCGACAAGAAAACGTAGTTTACCATATTTATGTCAAACTTTTGGGAATAAATTATTTTAATAAATATTAAAATATCTTCTTTGATTTGAATTTCCTGTTGAGACATTTGGAAGGCCACTCAGTGAATGACATTTTGTATTGATACTTTCATATCTGTGTATCCTTTTCAGAGATGCAGCTAATCATCGACCCAGTTGAACCTAAGGGTCAGAACCGGATTGGGACAATCACCCGAATGGGAATACACCTAATCGCTATTTATTCCATTCCGGATAAGTTCTAAAATTACACAACTTTTTCATCCAGTTGAAGCTATCTGGGGCCCTGTTTAAATAATGCACCATGCATGATACTTTTTAATGAGATCTGTTTAAAACATCGTAAATACTTCAAACAAAATATTTTTTGACTATTTTGAGTTTCGAAAAAGTGGATCATAATCTATCAAAGTTTCGTATCGATCGCTTTCTAAATTTTTCCCTCCCTCAGCTCATTACTGATGACCTTTGTTGTTTACCTGTTCATGGCCTGTTGACCCAAACAGGAAGTTGTCTAAATGACTGTTTTTCCCGGGATTGGAATAAATAGCGATAAGGTGTATACACAGATGGGAATTCTAGTCACTTTGGCACCAGGTTAAATCGGCTCCCGTAATAGTCAATTTCGGCACTTAGTCTAATTGGAACCTGGTTAATTTGATGCCCACAATTTACATTGTGTTTTGCGAGTAAACTATTGAAGTCTCCGTTTTTCATGATTTATTTGATATTTTCACTCAAGGTCTCAACATATATTTGTTGCGCATAACAGAAGGTCCAATGGAAACTTTGTTATAAACAATTAGGCCATAATACAATGTATCTGTTCCTATTGGAACTTATATCATAAAGGAACCTTTATTCCATGACAACTGCACATTTAATACTAGTAAACATGGGCTACAAGATTGGTGCCAATGTTATTCATTCTATACAAGTAAACAGGAAATGCAGAAAAAAAAACAATTTAAATTACAATGATAAAATTAGTTTTTATCCTCATCTGTGGATTAAACAACAGCTTGTGTAATGGCTTCTTTGTTTACTTTTTTTTTTAATTATAAAAGATCAAAAACTATCTGAAAATTGTTAAAACAACAAACAGGTTATTATTTGTAATAGATATAAGTTTTTAAAGAAAGCCAACTGATTATTGTTTATTGTGTTTTCTTCCAGCTTAATTTTATGTTCTGAGTTTTTAACAATGTATGAAATGAACCTCTGACAGTTTGAAATTGTAAGTTTTGCCAAAAAAGATATGTAAAAGAAGAAAACGAAAAACTATTCTCAAATAGAAATAAAAGAAAAGGGTAAAAATAATAATAGGTTCCAGTTGAATTATCAATTGCTGAAAGGACTTTAAATAGGTGCCAATTTGACTAGATGCCGTTTTGACCAGGTGCCTATTTGACTTGTACCCTACAGATGGGTGCAAGACAACTTGGCTTGAAGTCTAAATTGGATATTCCACAAATAAGATAACTCTGAATGTCTATGAAGTCAACTCAGACTGTCTATGAAGACAACTCAGATCGTCTATGAAGACAACTCAGACCATCAATAAGTCAACCTTGAACTGTCTACAATGCCAACTCAGACAAAGTATAAAAAGAGAATTTTGACTATATAAATGTTTTAATGACTTTTCTACTATGAAAAAGACAACTAGGACTGTGTCTGAAGAGAAGTCATACTGTTAACTAGGACTGTAATGTCAACTCACACTAGGGAGATCTGTGAAGCCTGTTTTGACAGTACATTGATTTCCTGTAAACTCCCAAAAACTCCATAAGAACCTAAGAACCAAGAGATATTACCAGAAAACTCTTATTTTATATGGTGTAATACTGCTTTTATTGATAATAAAGATTATAACTTTGACATATATGTCATTTTTACTCAATAAAAGTATAATTCAATATCGAGAATTAGATTTGTATTTCTTTTATGCAAGTTCCATGTATAACAATATGTCAAACCTGATTATTCTAAAGGTAGATAAGTCTCCTAAATAGCAGGCAATGCAGTACTTATTGGCTTAGTGAAGAGTTTTTTTTATTTATGTAATTTATTATGAACTGTTGCATTTGTATTGTGTAGTAAATGACTGAATTTTGCACTTGTTTTGAGGCTATGTTTATTTTGTTAATGACTTACTGGTGATAAGTTGATGGCTCATTGACTTTAAGAATCTAATCCTCAATACTTTTTATACTTTTATTAAGATAGAAGTATTTACCTTTTGAATAATTATGGCAGCCATATATACAAATCAAATTCCTGAACTTCAACTGTAATTTAATTGATCATGAGTAATAATTACATATCTCTCAAAATTATTGTCTTAATTATCTATTAAAGCAGTAATGAATAATACTATATAGAAGGAAGTTCGACAAAAATGTAAAATATAACATTATATCATTTATAATCATTTGAATAGTCCAAACCCTCTTTTAATACTTTGTCTGAATTGTCAATGTAGACAGTAAGAGTTGACTTTATAGACTGTAAATATTTACTTATTAGTAGGTCTGAGACTTACTGGTGATAAGTTGATGGCTCATTGACTTTAAGAATCTAATCCTTCAATACTTTTTATACTTTTATTAAGATAGAAGTATTTACCTTTTGAATAATTATGGCAGCCATATATACAAATCAAATTCCTGAACTTCAACTGTACTTTAATTGATCATGAGTAATAATTACATATCTCAAAATTATAGTCTTAATTATCTATTAAAGCAGTAATGAATAATACTATATAGAAGGAAGTTCGACATAAATGTAAAATATAACATTATATCATTTATAATCATTTGAATAGTCCAAACCCTCTTTTAATACTTTGTCTGAATTGTCAATGTAGACAGTAAGAGTTGACTTTATAGACTGTAAATGTTTACTTATTAGTAGGTCTGAGTTGTCTTCGAGCCGAGTTGTCCCATATTCACACCAATAATCCAAAAACTAGTTAAAAACCTGAAAACTGCTTGATATTACCAGAAAACTCTTTATGTCTATTTTTTTATACTTGCAGATAGTTAATAATGCCGTGGGACTTAATAGCCACAGATTTTGGTGGAGAGGAAACCATTAATTTTGGACCAAGACAAGAATCTGGCATTGCCTTGTATCAAGTGGAAACCTTAGCTACAATATCATCCAGTGATAAGGTACAATGAAACACTTTTATAAATTTTTATATACATGATGTGTAACATTATACACAAAGATTTAAATACTAGCTTGTTTCAAAGCCTAAAAGAAGTCTGTTAATTTTCAGGATACCTTACCAACTTAATGTTATACCTCAATCATTTAAAATTTGAAGTGCTGATCAAAATAAGATAATGTCAGTAATTTTGCCTTTGAATTTGAAAGATGAAAAACTGGGATTCCATCAGCATTAATAAAGACCTAGTAATGATAATACATGTATAAAAGAATAAGATTGATTTCTCTATGCATAAAATATCAGGAATTCCTGAAGACAAAAAGTAGAAAAAAATTAGAATATAAAATGTATGTTGTGGTCACATGATCAATTGAAATGGTGTACCACAGTAATTGTTCTTGACTAGTTTTAAATGTATATTACTGTTTCATGATAAGTTGAATCATCGGTGTGTATTAAGGATTTCCAAATCAAACGGGTGAACCCCAACATTTTCTGTTGTAGCCACTAACTTATTTGATAAATAATATGACAGAATGAATCTGCAACCACATTACTCATCAGTGAATATTTCTTGGTAAATTGGTATCGCTATATATTTTCTATTCGTTGTTTCAGGACCAGTTGATACCTTGTACCACAGTAACTGTTCTAGGTGAATTGGCATGTATAGCAGTTCAAGAACATCTAGCTATGTTTAAAGACTGTCAGCAGACTGCGTCAATTGGATTGGGTTGGTGTTTAAAGCAGGAAAAATTCAAAAGAATTTGTATACCTATTCACATCAAATTGATTTCAATATCTTGTCATTTTGAATAACAACAACATGATAATCATTTTGTACATTTTTATACATATTTTCAAGGAGATGCATTAGGATGATTCTATGGTTCTTTCACGTTTTATATATAACTGCCTTTGAAGTCTCACGTTAGCTTGCTGTCATTTGGTGCAATAGATTGTAGGTTGGATCACAGGTCAAGTCAAAACATAGACTTTAGACTTGTATTTGCAGACTTTGAAATATGTTTCACTTTGCTTCATGTCCCTAAAGTGTTTCATTTTTGGTGGTATGTTAGAATATCTACAAGAATAATCAGAAGTGTAAGTTTTTAAGAACAGAGTGATTATACTTAAAGAAATTCTAGAGTAAACAAAATAAAATTTCAAACTTAAGAATGAAAAACAAAAAAAAAGGCATATCTTAACAAAATTTCAGTTCGGTTTTGCTACATAACTTAATATCAGTATAAATGTTATTTTAAATTCATATGCTGTAAATTAAGAAATTATTGCAAATAAAGTGACTGAGTATGTATCGCAATGATAAGAACTCGCATTCTGAAATATGTATGCAGTTTTCCCTGTAATTGCAATAATTATTCCCACATTTTGGTCTGTCATGTCAAAATTGCAATAATAAATGCACACAATAATTTCTGAATTTACAGTTATCATTTTAATTGATAAATAAATGATTTTCCGCATTGTAGATGGTGTTATAGATTGTATAGAATGGAGTTCTGATGGTTCTATGTTAATGGTTGGAGACAGTACAGGAAAACTTTCACTTCTAGATACTGACACTGGAGATATTCTTTTCTCATTTGTAAGTACAAATGTACTTTGAAAGTTCTGTGGAAAAAAAAAAACACCTGATTTAAGACAAAACAAACAAAAAAGCAAATATGACAGACAGCAACCAATGACAACCAATGAATTACTGGCTCATGACATGGGACCGGCATATATAATATTCTTCCTTTATACTTAATTTGAAATATTTGTAAAAATGTAAAACTTATTTCTAAGAAGTGACCATATAGGGGATTCACATGTTTATTATTGATAGAAGTGTTCATTAATATGATATCAATGAATTTTTCCTTCTCAATTGATCACAAAGTTTAAAATAGGTATGTTGTATATTTAATTGTAGAAAGTTGTTCCTGAAGGATGCAGTTTGAAAACTTTCAAAAGAATTCTGTTTAGTACAAAATCAGATGGTAAGGACAGTTGATATAGAAGGTCTATTGAATTTATGGTATGCATGAACAAAGAGAAAACAATTTAAAAAATCCCCAATACTGTGATATTAGATATTTTCAATTTCTCTAGCTAACTGCTATATTCAAATATTATTTTCAAAAATACAAATTCAAATTTATGATTGCAATGTTCATCCTGTTAGTCTGTCCATATGTTGGGCAATTTGTCCCTATATCAGGTCAAAGTTTTTGTTTAAGGTACTGTAAATTTAGAAATTATTGCATGCATTTATTATTTAGATTTTTTGAAAATGGACAAAAATGCGAAATTAATTATTGCGCTTTCAGAAAAATCTGCATTCATTTACATGTATCAAATATCACAATATGAGTTCTTATTATTGCGATACTCATGTAATCGCATTATTCGCATTTATAAAACCCTTGCAATAATTTGTGAATTTTACAGTAGGTAAACGTTTTTGTTAAAGGTAGTTTGTGGTCACATCAACATAAAACTTAGTGCACTTGTTTATTTATATGCCAAATTAGGGTTTTGACCCAGATTTGTGGCCCACCAACTATGGAAATATAATAGTTTATATCAGGTTGAAGTTTTTGTTTACGGTAATCTGTGGTCACATCAACTCCAAACTTAGTATACATGTTCATTATAAAGTGAACTGTTTAATATATATTTTATTTTAGTGTTTTGACTGAAATATTGCAGTTCTATCAAAATGGAAATTTGATAGTGTGGGTGAGGCACAGGGCTTCCAAAATTATTTTTATGCAGCCGGACATTTTATATATTATCCCGATTTTAAACCTTTAAGACAAAATAAACAAAAGGCAATTATGGTAATCAGTTGCCGAGTTGGCCATCCTAATGATTGACATTAAAAAAAAACGATATTAAACTTTCAAATTTGAAGTTCTGACGTAAACTGTTAAATTGGCAGTGCATCATTCGAAGTGTGCAACATCAGCGTACTTATATCTGCCTTACACTCTTTATTTGTGCAAAATAACGTTGTCAACAACTTTACTTTCGTTTTTAAATCGATTAAAAATACCGGATGTTATCTTGACAATGGTAAAACATGGACCAGAGACAGATACGTAAATTCCGTGTACGTTTGCAAAGCATGAATGAGTGTAAGTAGCTCTTTCTATGTTATTTCTTCAAGAATATATTCGAAATAAACGTGAGATAAAGGTATCAATGACAATTTAAGCATTTTTTGAAGAAATTAGGATGCATAATTAAATGTCACACCTGCGCACCTGCGCACACGTATACTAGTTCAAACAGAGACATGTCTCCGGTTCAAACAACGTGGTTATGACGATTTTTCATTTTCACCTTTTTAATTTTTTCGTCAAATCATATTTGTAAACGTATTTCTGATAATTTAAATCTTTTTGACTAAATTAATTAGATGCAAACCGCTGAAATGTAAGAAAATAATTTTGAATAGACCGATCAATGTTCGGTTCAAAATAGTTTACCTGTCACCTGAACAGGTAAATTTCAGCTGTTCGACAACTAATTAGCCTTGATTAATATTAGAAGGTATTAAAGTAGGGGTTTGTTTTGATAGTACTTAATGATCATGTCACTTTTATGACCGGAAATGTGTGGCTGTTAAAGGCAAAATGTTGGGTCAAAAAGATCGCGAATTATGTTAAAATGACCGTCTCTTACGAAAGTCTTGAAAACTAAAAAGTAGATGACCGTTTCATGCTTTTCCCAGCCAGACTTTTACCGGACATTATACAAATGTCCGGCATATATGACCGTTTTGGAAGCCTTGGTGAGGCATGGTGTCCTTTGGACACATATTCTTGTTTTGTCATAGTTTCTGAATTTACAATATTTGTCACCATATAGAAGTCCTGTATATCACAAATCTAAAAAAAAAAAGAAGACATTTTAATTCATTCATTCAATAATATTGATGTGTATCTAAAGCAAATTTGTACTTAAGTCTGGAACAGTTTGGATACATTTTTATTGAAATAAGAATTTAACATATGTATTATCCTAGTTATACAATTCCATCGATTGAAACATTTAACATTGCTTGAATATAGCAATTATAAATATCTTTGTTTAAAGTTTGGTTAATGGGTTAATGGCAATTTTCAAATTAATACATTGACAATTTTAGATACTACAGATTTGGTGGTTCTGGCAGGCAATGGACAGATGTTGGTTCTAACTGGTATTACACAAGATTTATTTTCTGCAGGTTTGACTTATATTAGTATATTATCACCATAGTTATTATTTCTTTACATATAACTGACTGTTTATAGAATGGTTAATCATATCTCTTAACTTCCTCAGTGGTCTTGTGGTATCAAATGTTGGAAATTTAGCGTGATTTCATCCATGTTGAGGTAGCTAACTGACACTTATGTTTTATGACGTTGCACATATATAGCAATAACTAGACGTGGAATAAACACGATCTATACACAACACATTTATCTACTTTACCTAACTTCATGCTCATCAGGAATTTAGAATTTGATGCTTCTCTGCCAAGTGCAAAACATAAAGGAGTTTGAGCAAAGACTGATCAGAATTGATTCAGAACAATGTGTAGTAGTAGGGTGATATGATTGTTGTTTTGTTAGATATTAAACAATAATTTGAAATTTGATCTGATTTCACAGTTAAGTCTCATTACAAATTATACTTTATTGCATTATTTTTATATTTATCTTCGCGTCGCTACCATTTCTAATGTGTAGCATGGAGAGGGTTGTTACAGATTTTTTTTTATTGATATTAGTTATTTTTGATATATTTGATATGAAAGTTTATTTGAAGAGGAGTAGTGTAGTATTAGTATACATATTTTTTCTTGGTACATGTAGATGAAGGAAAAATTGCAGCTTCCTTGAAGGAAAAGTTGATACAAACCAGAGCAGATCATTTCCATACAGAGGGTGTCAGTGATGTTGTTTGTTTTGATGATAAAATAGTAACTTTGGTAAATGAAATTTATTGAAGCTTTTGTCTATATACATGTAGAATTTAGAATTTTTAAATAGGAATACTGGGAAACTGTGAAAAAAGTTCAATATTTATTTCCAGTGGAATATTATTTGTTTGTGGGGTTTGATAATTGTGGTTTGGAATCTAACTATAACAAATAAAGGGAAACTTGCACTTCTTATGGTATTCAATTGAAGATTCTGATGAACTTCAAAGTCATGAAGATTGATACCCTGTATTTACATTACATATTTAAATGAATTTTGTGTTTTTTTGTTTCTAAAATATATAAAACACATCCTCTCAAAAAAAAACATGAAAAAAAACATAATTTACGAGAGAAGTTGGTTAGGTGCAAAAATTGTTGTACAACAAAAATGTAGTATCATAGTAGTCAACAGTTTCTTTTTCTTATTTTTTTTATATATTAGTTGTTATATGAATCCATTAAAAAAGACAAGAATATTTCCAAGGATCCTGTTGGTATCTATTAGTATAACAGCAATAATAAATGTAAGTGGAAACAAGACTATGCAATCATTGAGTAAAGCACATTAATATGTTTAGAGTATTTTAGTGCATTTATGTATCTTAAATTCCAGGGATGTGGTGATATTGCAATTGGAGTATGGGTGATAGAAGATGGACAGTTGGTTTTAGACGATGAGATCCCTAGTTATGTTTTAAATGGTCAGTCATTTCATTATACTGTGGATTCATTTATTTTTCGTGGATACCAAGTTTTGTGAAATTAGAAAAAGTTGCATTTTGAGGGTTTGCCAAATTGGGGGGAAAATGCTGCTAATGAAATCATCATAGTTAGCTTTTTGTTGATAGTTTAAATAGTTGATAGCATATCTAATGGAATTTTATTGCCAGATAAGATAAAAGAATGTAATTTTCAACAATTGTAAAGCCAGGATTATGTCTTATCAATTGATTCCATTCCACCTAAAAAATAGAATTCAATGTGCATCTTGTAGGACTTAAGTTCACTGCCAATTTACCAGAAGATTGTTTTTGTTTGGGGTATACTAACTGCTTCTGGTGTCAATTTTTACAAGAGAACATCATTTATTTATTGATAAATATGTTTTATGAAAGTATTTATGTTACAGATACCCGTGATTTGTAAATTGTCTAATTCTAAATGGTTTCCGCTTTTGGAGATCATCATCCCTAAGTTTTGATCTTCTGCATTTGATATTATTAGTGATAAAATTAACATTATTGTGCTAACTCTGTTGACAGGTGCTGGTGTAGAAGAGGGCAGAGTATCATCAGACGGGAAACATCTATTTGTCTTGACTGATAATGTGAGTGTGTATTGATGATAAAGTTATTTCTAGTTGGAGTCGAAGTAAAAATATGACTGTTTGTTACAAAACAAATAAATTTGGATGAAAATATTTTAAGAAATTAGACAAAAGTGAAAAATGTGTGTGTGTGTGTTTTGTTTTGTTTTTTGTTTGTTTTTTTTTGGGGGGGGGGGAGACATTCATATGAAACAATTTTATTTAACCCTAAAAAAGCAAAGTGTGGATGGATAGTGATCCATGTATTTGTTTGTAATAACTGAAATGTCATAGCTACTTTAATGATTCAGAAAATTAAATCACTTTTTATTCATTTATGTATCACTCTGCTATATCGTAAAAACAAGTTAAACTCTTAAGGGTTTGAAAAAATTACCTGTAAAAAATGAAAAGCTGAATATTGCTATAAAAGCTTTTTTCCCCAATAGACAAATAAATATTATTGAATTTCAATCACAAAAAGGGGGAGTGCAGTTTATAGATTTATAAAAAGGTTTGGAATGATTTTAAGAATGCATAGTGTTGCATGTCATTAGTTATATCTAACTTTTTTGTAAACGGATCACAATCACAGATTGTTCTATGAAAATTTTAATTTTAATTTTAAAAAGTTTCATAGTAAAGTATTGAAAATGAGTACATTTCCATTATGTAACAGGTTGATATAATCTTATAATTATAATTCATTTACAGCACGAATTGCTATTGCTGAACACTACAACAATGACTGCTCTACATAGCTGGTCTGACATTAAGGTGGAACAGTTCCAATTACTAGAAACAAAAAAGATCAAGAATCAAAGGTAAGTTTCACTATCTTTAAGGAAACTACTATGTCACAGATATGTAATAATGTTAAATGCATTTTTATATTTATATACTTCATTTGAATATTGCAGTCTAATATACCAAATAACAAAACATTATATTTTATGATTACCATTTTGGATAATTTTTTTTTTTGGATATATTAATTTTGTAAAAAATTGCAAGCATTAAGAATAAGTGCAAATTCATTAATACTATCTTAGACAAACAAACGCTTTATTACTTTTTTTTTAAAATGCACGTTTAAAATGCACTAGATATTTCGATTTTATTAGCTTAACAAAAAAGTTTTTTTTTTGACAAGGGGAGGTAATTTTTGCACAAAATTCATATGCTCAATTCAGGGGAGATAATTAAATTGTATATTACTTCAAATAAAATTGTTTTAGCACTTTTTTGTAAGATATCAATATAATTCAAAGTGTGTTTCTGAAAAAAAGTTGATCTTAATGATTTCCTCCAAAAATGATATCCATTTAAAACACTCATGTTTTGTCAAAGTAATTCAGAATACACATACTTGTAAAATAGATTGGCAGGTTATCAGAATTTTATAGTACAGGCAAAAGTAGTTACATTGAAATGCGTCTGCCCAAGACGAGAACTTGTAGATTATAGCGATCATTATCAACTGTTTGTTTTCAAATTGTGACTTCTTTTGTTGTCTTGCCTTGACGAAGTCAAAAAGCAAGATTTAGAGGTGCTTTTCGGGTTGTGGGGGAATCAATAATGTACTAGTTTGTTATAAGGTAAGTTTATATGGACCAACTTAATGTCAATGTATTCGGTATGCAGTTGTAGTAGCATTAGCATTTCTCATTTACATGGAGCTTTTTTGGCCCTGCACTTCAGTCCTGGTTAATTGACTTTGAATGTGTTGCATAGTTTACATGTTAGTATTGCCATTTTAACTTCAACAATTGCATTATGCTATTAAAATTACACATTAATGCAAGACATATATACAGTGATTCTGCTAGCGCTCGTCATTTACGAAAAGGTTTTCAAAATGACGAAAGTTTTTCAAATCAATTTCGTCACTTAAATTTGAAAAGTGTAAAAATATTTTCACATGAAAATACTGTAATTTGCAGTTCGTTTATCACAGTTTTGTCATTTGAACAAAATGTTTTCCACCTGCGGACAGTTCGCATTTTAATTTCAATATTTCTCAAACGATCACAATTTGCAGTTAGTTTGTCGGAGTTTAGTCATATGAACGAGTTTTCGTTATATATATATATTTTATATAACTTTTCATAAAAAACTCAACAATTTTGATTAAAGAGAAAGAACTCTATTCAAAACGTTCAGAAATATTTCCAAGAGTTAAACAGGTCCTTCCTTTACTATGTACTGCGCATGCGTGAAAGTATTCTTATAAATTAGACATTAAAACGTAAAATACGAAATTATTTAGTATAAAAATAAATGAAGGAGACAAATATATTTCTTACTAAGCAACTTGATTTAGAAATATGATAATTTCCTGCCTTTTGTTAAAAACGAACCAATCCGTATATGAATCCGGATTCATTCTGAATTTATTATCCTCCTGTCACTTCCTGTTTTCATTTCGTTTAAGAATCGAAAGTAAACTTGATCTATTCTTGATTAATTTACACTATATACTAGGGATGTCAACTCGGTGAAGATTCACTAATTGAGTACTCGTTGGATTTACCGAGCGATACTCGAGTATTTGCTCAGAAAATCATCTACAAAATGGAATCACAAAATTATACCCATTTTATGTATCGTGGGACGTTTTCTTATGGAGATAAATCCCTAAACATTATTAACTAGGACTTGACAATAGTCCTAGGAATTTTTAACAGAATTAATAACTCATTTACCACATGTACTAATTATGTAAACTGGCAATAACCTAATCAATTAATTAATAAACATCTATAGAAAAATGATTACCCAAACAATAGTATTTGGGAATTGTAAAAAAACACAATCAATGATCAACAAAGGAGTGATGCCTTTAACCATTTTCTGAGGGTCGATTCGTGGTGCAACAAATTTGTTCTTATTTAGAAATATTATCTTGTCAACTTTTTTCTGTGACCAGTCGATTTCGCAACTTCGTTATGTAACTAACAGTCCTGCTGATGAAAATATTTGATGTGACGGTACAGGGATGGTGGAATGACCAAGACACGATTAACTAAAAGTGTAAGCCTGTGAAAAGTGCTCTTGTTCATATAATACCTATGTTCAGAGGAATGTTAAATGACAATTCAATGCAAACATTCTAAACGTATTTTAACTTTGATTAATTTTGATTAATATTTATAATTTCCCGGGAGGCCCTCTTAATAAAAATATTATTTCTTTAAGAAGACAACAACATTCTAACAGGAAATCGATTTGTCAAGTATCATTTTGGTATTCAATACTCAGGACTACAGAGCGATACTCAAGTACTCGAGTACTCGTTGACATCCCTACTATATACAATCATTAGAATCGTTCCAATAAGGATTTGTACAAATCCTTGGTTCCAAGTTTATAGAAATGAATTCCAAATATCAATTTAACCATTTTTACAAGGATAATGATTATGCAGTGAAATAGTCGTTACAGCCTACAGGTTCATTTATGCTGTGATTCCTGGTTTAAAAAAAAAGGAACCCAACTTTTGTTGATCAGGAATGTCCCCTGAAAATAACTGAATTGAAATTGTAAAGTAGAAATCCGGATCCTTTTTAGATCTTATTATAATCTTCATATTTAAGCACCACATCTATCATATTATGCAATAACTGCCTGAGCATGCCTAAGTCCTTCAAAGATGTATAGCTAGTAATACATATCTTTGGTCCATTGCTTTTACCCCAAAAAAGGTTGATTTTCATCTCCCGTAAAAGTGACTAAAGCCCTCAAAATCCTAGCTGAAACCCTGCATATATCTGTGTCAACAGTTTATGAGACCACTGGTCACATTTATTGAATGATTTCACAGTTATTTGTTGATGTTTTAGAGCACATCACTTGGTTGTGATTTCAATATCCTAGACAAAGCATGGATTTTTCTAGAATTTATCACAGTTGGGTTAAAAGGGGCCTCGGTGGCCGAGTGGTCTAAGTAGTTACTACTAGCCAGTCAACACTGAGGTTGTGAGTTGGAACCCCGCTCATGCGGGGGCACTCGACTCCAATCTTAATTGACTAGGATTGTCAGTTTTCCTATAGAAGGTCGTGGTTTTCTCCGGCGCTCAGGCTTCCTCCACCAATAAAAACTGGCCGCCACGAAATAGCCCAAAAGCGGTGCTTAAAAGTGGCGTTAAAACACCAAAAATCAAATCAATCAGTTGGGTTAAATGACTGATTACTGGTGAAATTATTTCAGATCAGAGGACCAAACCTCAAAAATAAGATACACTTCAACAGAGAAAAAAATATATTTTTTATTTCACAATTACAGGGTTGTGGTCTTTGTCAAAGGTTTTTGGTGACTATTTTTTTGGAAGTTATTTCATTAACAATTACATCACTTCTTTTGTTACACATGAAAAAGATTTACTCAAAAACAAATTTGTAGAGTAATAAAACATTACTGTAATCGGTCTTGTATAGTTCGCACTGGTACATAGTCCGCACTTCCCTTTTCACCACGAAAATTCAGGTAAAAAAACTTTGTGAAACTGGTTGAAAACGTTCCTTAAAACTCTGATAATATCAAATTGTATGTGATCATTTGCGGTATTTTCATGGAAAACCCCTTTTCCATCATCAAGTAGGAGTTGAAAATGCTTGTAACTGATTCAAAGAACATTTCTAGAGTGTTAAAATAAGTCAAAATCACAAAAAAAAAACAATTGGGAAAGTTGTAACCAGAAGTAAGAATAGCACATCTAAATCGAAAACAAATGCGGTGAGAGTGTGCGGAAAATCCGTATTTAATAGATATTACTAAAATATGACTATGAAATTAAAACAGTTCCATCCTTAAGTAAAATACTGTTAATCATATCTGTCATATTAATGTTTGAAGGATCTTGAGCTAAAACAAAACACATGTGTCAGTATGAATCATCAAAACGGAACGAATAACCGATTTCGTTTTGTAGTTTACACATTGTTATGCATAAGCTGGTTCCCGGCTGACTTGTACACTTTTTTCATTCCGTTAAATACAAGCGTTTTCCAGTTTATGTTATGCAATGCTGTGAAAAGAAATGAGAAATTTGTAATGAAGCTTTTGATTTTAGAATTAATGACTTTAAAATGAATTTTGAATTAAAATTGCACATTTATATGGATTAGGTAAAATATTAGTTTTGAAAATGATAAGGGCGCCCTCTACAATTTCGTAAACAAACCTCACGATATCAAGTTTTTTTCTTATTTCTTGCTTATCGTACTTTATAGTCCGCACCCCTGCCTGGCAGCTTCAATTTTGGATAATAAAACTGCGGACTATAGAAGCCTGAATTCGGTATTTAAATTTTCTGTTGATTTATTTAAGTGGGTGTAATCTTATACCATTATTTTCTTTTCAGCTTACAAGATATGAAATTAGTCCTACTGACAGTTGGAGAAGGAAAAACAACAAATCTAATGGTTCAAAGTCTGCCTTCATGGGAAACAATTTATAACTTACAATTACATCAACCATCAATGTTAGCTTCCTGTCCTACATCACAGGTTAATAAAGCTCTGACTTAAACAAACCTAGCTTACTACAAAGTCTGCCTTTATGGGAAACAATTTATAACTTACAATTACATCAACCATCAACTTTAGCATCCTGTCCTACATATCGAGTTAATAAAGCTCAGACTTAAACAAACCTAGCTTATTACAAAGTCTGCCTTCTTGGGAAACAATTTATAAATTACAATTACATCAACCATCAACTTTAGCTTCCTATCCTACATCTCAGATTAATAAAGCTCTGACTTAAACAAACCTAGATTTCTACAAAGTCTGCCTTCATGGGAAAAAATTTATAACTTACAATTACATCTAAAAAACTATTTTGGATAACTGTTTGAGTCAACTGTATTTTGATATATGCTTTGATATTCATATACCCCAGTATGTCAAGGAATGATCTTGTGTGCATTGTCAATATTTCTAATTCTTTGTAGGAAACGTTATTTCTGGCAGAATGTTCACCAAGTGAAGAGTAAGTTTACTTTCAGAAAATGATTACCATTATCATTTATTTTGAATTTTAATGCTGATAATTTAGAAAATAAGAATACTGTGCCCAGAAAAAACAAACCATTAATTTGAATAAATGACCACAAAATAGGTATAAGATCAACAAAAGAAATGAAATTTTTGGGGCGAAGTTGGAAAACTTTACATCTTCAGGTTAAAAACTTTACCTATTATACTTGTTAAATGCAATAAATTTAAATATTGGTCAGTTCATGGAATACTATGATCTTGGTTTGCTAGACTCTTATTATATGATCTCTAAAGGATATATATAGTTAGTGAGCTACAAAGAGATTTGAAGTTATCTATATGCTCTGCTAACTGTGATACATACACTTCCAGTGGCGGATCCAGAAATTTTCATAATTGGGGGCCCACTGACTGCCTAAGAGGGGGCCCGATCCAGTCATGCTTCAGAGATTCCCTATATAATCAACCAAATTTTTTCCCACAAAAGGGGAGCCTTGATCTATATATTACATATGTAAATAGTGTATTATGGAAATGGACTTCAAATTTTCTTTCAATGTATTTTACATTGTATTTTGCAAGATTTTTATTATAGACTGTCAATATATATATATAAAGATAAAAACATAGTGTTCATATACTTAAAAATAGAAACAAGGCTTCAGGTACATGGAATACCCTTTGAATCATGTGATCGTAATAACCAATGAAAAAAGAAGAATGCTACACCATATGTAATACTTGTATATATTTTTCAGAGATAAGCAGAGTTATTCAGTGAGACTAAGATGTTTAACAGAAACAAATCCAGAAACAAGGTACATGTATAAAGATAGATGATAATTTAAAACAGTCAAAATCATCCCTTGTCACTTCTATATTCAATTTTATCAAATGTGAAATTTTGTAAGCTTTCTCAAAAGTAATAGTTTATTTTTTTCAGATTATATAGAATTTTACACAAGAATAGATTTGAAGAAGCTGAAACATTTGCCAAGATGTACAGACTGGATACTGAGGTAATATTAGGATACTGAGGTATTATCAATTGCTAAATTGACAACCTCATATTTTTAGAGTACAAAAATGATATAGATTTTGCTTATTTTGTTCTATATACATAATCTTTCAGTTACTCAACTCAGTGGTTTAAGCATAGGAAATAAGTTATTGATGCTTGTCTTTTAAGATTAGGAAGTAGTGCAGTAATTCATGCTTATATTTCTGCTAAAAGTAATTAAAAGTCTAAACACACCAGTAAACATACATGTATATAACATTTGGTCTCTTTTTGCTCACCTGACCCAAAAGGGTCAAGTGAGCTTTTCTCATCACTTGGCGTCTGTCGTCATCTGTTAACTTTTACAAAAATCTTCTCCTCTGAAACCACTGGGCCAAATTAAACTAAACTTGGCCTAAATCATCCTTAGGATATATAGTTTTAAAAAATGTATCCGATGACCCTGCCCACCAATCAAGATGGCTGCCATGGCTTAAAATAGAACATGGGGGGTAAAATGCAGTTTTTGGCTTATATCTCTGAAACTAAAGCATTTAGAGCAAATGTGACATGATGTAAAAATGTTCATCAGGTCAAGATCTATCTGCCCTGCAATTTTTGGACGAATCAGACAACCCGTTGTTGGGTTGCTGCCCCTGAATTGGTAATTTTAAGGAAATTTTGCAGTTTTTGGTTATTATTTTGAATATTATAATAGATAGAGATAAGCTGTAAACAGCAAAAATTTTCAACAAAGTAAGATCTACAAATAAGTCACATGACCAAAATTGTCAATTGACCCCTTAAGGAGTAATTGCCCTTTAAAGTAATTTTTCACAATTTTTGGTAAATTTTTGTAATATTTACAAAAATCTTCTCCTGAAATTACTGGGCCAAGTTAAACCATACTTGGCCTAAATCATCCTTAGGGTATCTTGTTTAAAAAATGTATCCATTGACCGCTCTCACCTACCAAGATGGCCGCCATTGGTAAAAATAGAACATAGGGGTTTAGTATAGAAGTCTAAGGGAAAATGTAAAAAAAACAATTTCAAATGGTAACAACTTGAAAACTAATTTAAATAATGATAAGGGGGCTTCAGTAGCTATTGTAAGACTACAATGGGATGACTGGATTTTTTTTCCAGGGGGTGCAATTTTTTCAGGGTGGGTGCTAATAATTACTCCTTGATATGTTCCATATTCAGAATTATTCAGTGTTACTTTTTCTATAAACCATTATTATATATTTTCTTTCAGCATACTTATATTGGGTGAATGCCCCCAGACCCGGCGTGTTAGTTGTGGTCAGGGAAACCCTTGCCCAAATTTTTTTTGAAGGGTGTTCCATAAAAACATTTAAAGGCATTTTCAGCATTATACAGGCCCTATGTGAAATAAATTTTGGAGCGGAGGAAAGGAAATTTTTTATTTTTTGTTAATTATCTTGAATATCATTATAGATTGAGATATACTGTAAACAGCAAAAATATCAAGCAAAGAAAGATCTACAAAAAGTTAACATGACCAATTGGCAATAGACATCTTATTGGAGTTATTGTCCTTTAAAGTTATTTTCTGCAATTTATTGGTAATTTTTGTAAATCTTTTCAAAAATCTTCTGCTTTTAATTTAACTACTGGGCCAAATTAAACCAAAGTTGGCCTCAATCATTATTAGGGTATCTATATGATTTAAACCTTATTTTACATGATTTCCAAAACCACAGTAGATACAGTTGAGCAACACAGGCTCTTGAGAGCCTCTAGTTTATCAATGGCCCCTATAACTCTAATACAACAAACAACAAACAATTTGTATGGTCTCTGTGATTGTCTAACATTAAAAAATGACCAAATACCCTCTATCAGCCAATCAAAAGTAAATGAAGTAATTTAATGATAAATACATTTTTTTTCAGTTGGTACATAAAGTTAAGGCACTTTATTTGTTGGATCAGTTATCTCCCTGGAATAATAACAATGAAGAAAAGGTGCAGGCAATGTCAACACAGTTTACAAACTGTCTAGCATATATAAAGGTAATTAACATTTAATGTTTATCTTCCTGTACACTTCATTTCAATAAGCAGTTAGTTAATGAATCAAAATAATTTACTTGTTTATCATTAGCATTTAAGAAAAAATTAAACACGCATGTAAAGAAATGAAAATTAAAACCTTAAACATTGTTGCTTTTATAAAGAAGTCAATGATTAAAAATATAAATGGAGACAGTATTGTCTTTTAGAATCTGTCAGAGATATTTGTTGTCTTGGACTATCTCATTGGTGTACAGATTACACCTACCGCCCTGCCAATAACTTAATTTGTGGGTTGGATTCACCTTTTGTGTTGAACCAAATAAGGGCTATTCCATTAAAATGTATGTGGGAGGGTAGGAAGGGACTTTCAAAATATCCCTACAACCAAGAACCATTTTTTAGATAATTTTGCATAATGGTAATAGACGCATACTGAAAAAAGACCCATGACCCACATTCAATACTTTAATGGAATAGCCCTAATTTTATTTGCATTTTTTTCTTCTTTGCAAACTAAATGTGTTTAATGTATTCTCAATATCGAAATTTGTTGTGATAGTATAATCCATTTATTAATGTCACCTTATTTGCATTCCAGGATGATCTACATGTTGCAGAAATATGTATGAGGGCTGCTTTGTCAAGTTTGAAAGCAACACAGAAACTTCTGGATTACAGCAAAGAAAGGGTGATGTACTTACCATAACTATTAGTATAACAAATTAAGATGTAATTTTAGTTTTTGTATAATAATTTTGTAGAATTCATTTTGTATATATGAAAATATATTTTAATTTCTGAATTTGTTTCATATATATTTAAATGATTTAAAAGGTTTATATGTAAATTAAGCAACAGAAAAAAATTGCTTTAGATCAGTTTTTTTAAACAGTTAGTATTTAAAGGGGCACTAGCTGTCAAATTCATGTTCACCGATTTGACTCAAATTCTCATATTTGATTTATAACAATGTAAAACATTTATCCAAATTATAAAAAGTCTAAAATTAACAATTAATATGTAGCTTCGTTTCGTGTGTATTTTAGTCTAGACGATCTAATTAACTATCGAGTTGACCTCAGAAGACCTCTGATGGTCATATAAGTGATATAAACATAAATATAGATATAAATAGATATTGAACTCATGCAATTGGATTTTTCAAGGTCTGTTTAATGTCATATTATAGATTAAAAATGTATGATGATCATCGTTTTTACCTGTATAAGAATGATTTTTTGTGGCTCGAATCCGTCAATCAAATGATTTACCTTTGTTTCACTTTCAATGTTGACATTCTTTTACTTTAAATAACTTAACACGCACATTTCATGCGTTATCCATCTCTAGCTAAGGGGTTAAATTGAAGTTCACATGAATACAGATTCAATGAGGTCGAATTATTCACTTGCAAGTGAATAATTCATCATTAATGTTTCTTACCTTATTTTGACAAAATTGAACCATACTGGCAGCTAAAACTGAATTATTATTTCACTTTTTCACTTTCATTAATGATTGAACAAAAAAAAAATCATATTTTAGATTTTTTATATATCTCATAGCTAGTGCCCCTTTAAGCATATTTGTCATTCTGAACATGCATGAAATATTTGCAACTGGTCGTTAAGCAACCAACAATCAATCAATCATATGTGAAATTATAATTGATGGAAGAATATAATTTATCATTTTAGTTACTGAAAGTGTCTACCAACAAAAGTGCTGATCCTTCACAAAAGGAAAAACAACAAGTTTTACTATCAAAGGTACAGTTATCTTAACAATATATTCTGTTTTGAGGTTTATACATTATATGGTTTACAGGCTAAAACTCAATTTTTGTCTCGCCTTGACGGAGTCAAAAAGCGAGACATAGGTATGCTGTTTCCGGCAGCGGCGTCAACAATGTATGTGATTAGGTCTAGTTCATGGTGAACCACTAGTGGTAGGTCAATGATATTTGGTATGCAGTTGTCTTAGCATTGGCACATCTCATTACCATGGAGATTATTTGGCCCCGCCCCCTCAGTCAAGGTCTATTGACTTAGAAACTTTTCATAGTTTACATGTATTAGTTTGTGATTAGGTCAATTTATGGGGAACCACTAGTGGTAGGTCAATGATATTTGGTATGCAGTTGTATAAGCATTGGCATATCTCATTTCCATGGAGATCATTTGGCTCTGCCCCCTTAGTCATGGTCTATAGACTTTTGAAAATTTTGCTAAGTTAACATGTATTAGTTTGTGATTAGGTCAGTTCAAGGGGAACCATTAGTGGTAGGCCAATGTTAATTAGTGTTCAGTTGTATAAGTATTAGCGCATCTCATTTCCATGGAGAATATTTGGCCCCGCCCCCCTCAGTCATGGTCTATTGACTTTGGAACTTTTGCTTAGTTTACATGTATTAGTTTGTGATTAGATCAGTTTAAGATGAACTGCTAATGTTAAGTCAATGATATTTGGTATGCAAAGGTATTGGCATTTGCAAGTATCGTTTCCATGGAGATTATATAGCCCCACCCCTGATCATGGTTCATTGACTTTGAAACTTTTGCATAGTTTACAAGTTAATGTTTGTGTTTAGGTTTGTTTAAAGGGAACGACTTATAATAAGTCAATGGTATTTGGTATGCAGTTGTATTAGCATTGGCACATCTCATTCCATGGAGATTGTTTAGCCATGTACCTTCAGTCATGGTTCATCGACTTTGAATATTTGCATAACTTACATGTTAAAGTATAACTATTTTAATTTCAACATTTGCATTATCAAAATTACAAAAAGGCGAGACATATCTCTGTGATAACAGTTTATTAAATATTCATATTCAAGAATGTTAGTTGATTAAGTTTGTCGCTTGTCATATGACCATTGTCAAAATATTAATCAAAATCAACTAGAGAAGACCCAAATAACTCAAAGAAAATGTTCAAATGCAGACAGGGCATTGACCAGAAGAGTTTAAACTCAAGTGAATAACTTCTAGGTAAAGCTCCTGTCATGTAATTAATATTTGACATTTCCATTGACAGTTCCAACACAATGCAACACAGGAGTGGTTGAGTTTGCTAAATTTATTGAGAGACATTTTTTTGTATTAAAATTTTCCTTTCTGCCCTTTGACAGTGAACCTTCAGGTGCAACTATACCAGTTTCAAAATGTTAAACTTTTAAGATATTCTAACAATAAACTGAATATAACATATGCAGTCAACACCAGTAAATTATTTTGTCATTGCATTTCATTAAAAAAACGTGAATGACCTGGGGGCCAAAATAAATGACTGGCCAGCATAGTACATTAAAACTTCAATTTGAAGCTAAAGACTGCTTTTTATGACATTGTGTGTCATTTTGTTTTTATGACTCACAGTTGCTTTTTTTATTTTAGTTATATGAAATCCAACACAGATTGGTAACTTTCAAGATGATCAATGGAGCAGAAAATTACAGGTAAAAAAACCAATAAACAAACAAATTTGTAAATCACTGACAGTCCCCTTTGTACTTGCCACCTTTTCAACTCCTGACCACTATAACCATTTATACAAAATTTTGACAATTTAGTAGATATTTCTGACTTTGAATGTTCAAATTTGTGACAAAATGCAAGGCATTTAGTTACATTTATTTAATTCCACTGACCGAAATAATTATCCTGAATTAGATGTTGGTTTAAGTAAATTTTGAAAAAAAAGTTTACCATGTTAGCCTTTGATATTCACTGTAAGCCTCTAATTACACTAAGCATCTCACTAGGTAATCATAAAATACACAGACAGGTATCGATCAATTTAGATTAATTTGATCGATAATCGTGATACTCCTATATGTTTTCATTATAAACATTTGTTTGTTATAGTGCAGAAAGATGGGATATCTTTATGAAATCAGATTTGATGAAAGTTATGATGTCAATGTTACAACAGAATCAGCTGAAAAAGGGACTTATTATCTTGTCAAGACATGAGGTATGGAAAATGATATAATGTTTATAATTAATTCATCTTTCTTTGTAGACTCAGTTTTTATAGAATTTTGAAAGATTCAAATTTTTAGTTGCTCTGAAATTGTGAAATGGAGATGTTCTATACAAACTCTAGTAAACTCAACTCACTCTTCTTACCGGAAGTGTACAAATTGAAGTAGGTCATTCATCTGACAGGGTTTATATGACCTTGACCTCATTTTCATGGTGCTTAGGTCAAAGTTGAGCTTTCATAAATAATAAAGTGTGGTTCTTTGATAATATCATGTTTCTTTTTCTGGTAAACCTGTAGACCTAGATTTTAAAGACGTCAATGTCAAATTCAACCATAAGCAGTTACATATGCCAGAAATTTCGGCATGTGCACTGTTTTAAAAATTATTATGGCTTAAGCAAATATACAAGAATAAATTCAGTCATCTTATTTATGGTTAAAGACAGGCTATTGTCTTTTGGTTACATACACTTAATGTTATAAGATTTGAAGGGAAGACAAATGTAGCCTGATCTAACCTATCATTTTGACAGAAAGAATTGTACTTTTTTTAGTATGAATGGGAGAAGTGTGTGACACCAACTGTAATAAAGAACTTCCTTCATTTCATACCAGACCATATACAGACCGGAGAAATTCAGTGTATACTTACAGAAACTATTGTACCCACTGTGGCAAGAATTTTACCTCAGATATTGGTATGTATAAAACAGACTTGGGAAATTCAGTTTACATTTATAGAAACTTTTGTTACCAACAATTAGGCAAGAATTTTACCACAGATATTGGTATGTATATAACAGGCTTGGGAAATTCAGTGCATATTTACAGAAACTATTGTACTCACTAGGGCAAGAATTTTACCACAGATATTGGTATGTATATAACAGGCTTGGGAAATTCAGTGCATATTGACAGAAACTATTGTACTCACTAGGGCAAGAATTTTACCACAGAATTGATATGTTTGAAAAAGGCTCAGTCATTCAGCGCAGGGATTCTTCAGTCTGTCTGTCTGTTTGTCCTTAATTTTTCAGATGTATTAAAACATGTATGCATGCTCTTATTCTTCTTTTTTACCAATAGGAAATTGCAGACCTAAAGAAAAAAATAACCTTTTACTGCCTAATGACTTTGGATAATAACTTTTGATGAAGGCAATAACTGTGTATCATTTATTGTGTTATGCTGTCATTGCTTTTTAGGTTGATGTCGTCGAGTGGATTATTCAGAAAGCTAAAAGTTCAGAACTACTAGATAAGGTAACTACATGACTAATATCATATCATAGAGCTCTAAATGTCTTTTTTAGTGTCATTTGATTGCTGTCACATTGATTTATCCCCCTTTTTTCACTTTCATTCTGCACTGCAAATTCATTTGATTTTCCCCCTTTCATATGGTGGTACTGTCAGCAGTGTTACATTGTTCTGGTTTATCCAGTACTATATTTTCGGCAGGGCTATATGTATTGTAATTCAGATATTGTGAGTTAGTCACAACAGGATTTTGGGGTAAATTTAGTAAAATAATATTATTGGTAAGAAAACATCCCATGTGTTGATGGAACACCAGCTAGCATAATCCAAGGAGCAAGCAGAATTTTTTAGGGCTCCGTATCGAGAATGAATATCTATAGAAGATAATAAACCTTAGAAATGCACTTAAAACAGCAAATCTGTTCAAAAATGAAACTATGTCAACACTGTTTGAATTAAACAGTAAATGCAAGAAATATAGAGGTAAATTAAATTTGTATTTTGAATATTGGTTTATGTCTCGCCTTGACGGAGTCAAAAAGTGAGACTCAGGTATGCTGTTTCCGGCGGCAGCTGCAACAATGTATTAGTTTGTGATTAGGTCTAGTTTCAGGGGAACCACTAGTGGTAGGTCAATGATATTTGGTATACTGTTGTATAAGCATTGGCATATCTCATTTCCTTGGAGATTATTTGGCCCAGTCCCTCAGTCATGATCTATTGACTTTGAAACTTTTGCTCAGTTTACATGTATTAGTTTGTGATTAGGTCAGTTTAAGGGGAACCATTTGTACTAGGTCAATGATAATTGGTATGCAGTTGTATAAGCATTAGCGCATTTCATTTCATGGAGAATATTTGGTCCTTACCCCTCAGTCATGGTCTATTGACTTTGAAACTTTTGCTTAGTTTATATGTATTAGTTTGTGATTAGATCAGTCTAAAATGAACCACTAATGTTAAGTCCTTGATATTTGGTATGCAAACGTATAGGCATTTGCAAGTCTCATTTCCATGGAGATTATATAGCCCCACCCCCTCATTATGGTTCATTGACTGAAACTTTTACATAGTTTACAAGTTAATGTTTGTGTTTAGGTTTGTTTAAAGGGAACGACTTATGATGAGTCAATGGTATTTGGTATGCAGTTGTATTAGTATTGGCATTTCCGTGGAGATTGTTCAGCCACTTACCTTCTGTCATGGTTTATTGACTGAACTTATGCATTACTTTCATGTTAAAAGTATTGCTATTTTAATTTCAACATTTGCGTTATCGAAATAACAAAAAGGCGAGACATATCTCTGTGTTAACAGTTTATTATTTGATATATGACATAGTTCAATTTTTAGGACCAAATTTAAGGCTTACTTTTTTTTTTAAAGTTTTTTAAGTTTAAATTTAAAGTTTGTTAGTACATTGTTACCACTTCTGCTCAGTTTTAACCATCACCTAAAGATTAATCAAGTAGAATTTAAATCATTGAATTGTGGCACCTGGGAAAAAACTCAAAATTCCTAACTTGTTCAAGATAGAATAGGGTTGAAACATGGGAAAGTGTCATTAGGTCTACTGTTAACTTGACAAGTATTTTCTTTTAAAAGTTAAAGTAAAGATATTATGTACCGTTCCTACTCGCTTATTAGTCGGAAAATTGGGAGTAAAATTCATAATCCAGAGAGGGGGACCGACTAATAGACGAGATCTAGCGACCAGAGGAAAAATCCAAGCTTGAGAAAAGTGGTCAGGAGTGAATTTCCTGGTCAAAACTACGTTTTTGATTGCCAAACCTACATAAATCAATAGATAAAAAGTTTTTGTTGAAAATAAATGACTACAATACTGTCTTTGTGTTTTATTTGTTCTTTGGTAAACATTTTCTGCAAATTCGTGTTGAAATTCTACTGTTTCCGGTTTGTGTATTGATTTTCATGGTCACATGGTTTTCCTATAAACCCAAAAGAAGAGCCAAGAACCAAAAATGAAAAGGAGATAATAATGTACCAAATATGTGAAAGGATGTTTTCAGCGGAGTTATTGTGTCATTATTGTGATATCATGATATCAATTCAATGCTTATAAATCATATAATAATCAAAAAATAATTTTAAGATTCATTCCCAAAATCAAAATATTATTCATTAAAGTGTCTCAGTAAACAAATTACAAAATTGATTGACAAGCCAATATAATCCATTGATAACCCCAATTAAGAGACAAAGAGTTGTATTTACTAAAGGTGTGAAAACTATCAGTGATAGGTAAACAGATGACACTAATGAGTTGGAGTTAGTTATTTTAATATATTGATTAGCTTCACTTAATTTTTTTAATCCTTTAATCATCACAATATAATAAGAATTATGAAGTGTACATGCTCATTTAACACCGAGTTATGTATGCTGTGAAAAATATTTTCATCAAGTGTTGATTGACTTTAAATTTTTCAGGTTCATATTGGTTTATATTCGCTTTTCTCAAACAATAGGTTGTTAGTCATACCCTACAAAATCATTGATGCATTACGTAAACAACACATGGCTAATCTAACATTTGAACAGTGAACAAAACAAGAGAAATGAATACATCTTTATTATTAACAGCAATATAAATTATCATGATGAGCATCAACTAAATTCAAACCAAACAAACAATAATGCAGAAATGAATATTATTCCTGGATTTGCATTGGTTTTACCGGCGTTCAGTTACTGTCAGCTGAAAAAAAAAAGGCCAAATTTTGTCCGACTTATACGAGGGTCAAGACTAAATCCTTAGAATTTGGAGCTGAAAAGGGCCCCCGACTTATAGTAGGATCGACTATTTGTCGAGTATCTACGGTATGTTCATGTTTTTGTTTTTACAGAAAGCTTGGCCAGTAAATGCATTACAGTTTCTGAGATCTGTGTATGGAGTATTGGTAAAGGTTGTAGATATAAGTTACAGTCATTCTATCTACACTGCTGCTGACATTACAATGAAGGTAAACATATAACTGACTTTTTAACTCAAATGGTCCAATTTTTCATCACTTGGCGTCTGTCATCGGCAACTTTTACAAAAATCTTCTTCTCTGAAACTACTGATCCAAATTTAACCAAACTTGGTCACAATCATCATAAGGGTATCTAGTTTAAAAATGTGTCCGATGACCCCACCTGCCAACCAAGATGGCCGACATGGCTTAAAATAGAACTTAGGGATAAAATGCAAGTTTTGTCTATTATCTTGAAAACCACTATAATTAGAGAAAATCTGACAAGAGCAAAAATGATTGGAATAATGAGATCTACCTATTGTCCAGTTAAATCCAAATTGTCAGATGACTTTTTATAGGAGTTATTGCCCTTAAATGACAAACTTTACCAACTTTTTAAATATTTGTCTATTATCTTGAAAATTATAATAGATAGACACTTTATATAGAATAAAGATCAGCAAGACAAGTTCTGCAATTAAGTCAACATGGTTGAAATTGTCTGATGATCCCCTATTGGAGTTATAGCCCTTTAATAACAATTTTTACTGATTTTTTTGCATTTTTGCCTAATATCTGAAAAAGTATAATAGATAGATAGAAACTTAGATAAGCAAAAATGATCAGCATGACTACAACTAAGAAGAGATTTTTGTCATGAATTCTATTCCAGTCCACAAAGATGGAGAGTATCCATTGTTGAAGATGCACATAGACCTAGGTGAGCCACACAGGCTCTTAAGAGCCTCTAGTTTTTTCTTTTCTGATAGCTATTTTTTACTATTTAGACTAACGAAGAGTAAAAATTTTTGAATTTTGATAACATTTAGATAAACTAGCACAAAAGGGGCCAATTTTTTATGCTTTTTTTTTTTGCATTATACAGCAGATATTTCTGATGATTTCTTTTATTTGATGTCCTGTTACATTTAAGAAATAAAATTTCATATGTTTTGCCATCATTGTTAGCCAAGTAAGTTAGAAACTGGGATCCACAAGGTATGTCATATTTGTGAAAGAATTGTAAGATAAAACAAATTGAAATATATATATATTTTTTTATATTTCAGACCCAGATAGAAAGACTGGAAGTTTTAGATTTGATGAAGACATTGATTACCAATTTACAACATCTTCATGATCTTCAGACAAAGTACAACTGTAAACTCACATTTGGCAATTTTCTACAGGTTAATTTTTACTATCAGCATTGTCAAGAGATATATAAACAGACTTGATTTTTATATGCTGTTTTGACTGCTTCTTTCAGAATAAACCCAAATATATGGACATATAAAGGGAAGATTAATAATGATATCTTTGATTACATGGACTAATGAACAGATGTTAATGTAATTTTTTTATAAATCTATCAGTTTATATAAGAAAAAGCTGAATTCAATACTTTCAAAGTGGTGGTTAAAGATTTTTTTGTTGTATTATTACCACACAATAATCTGTAAGTTTTTTCTTTTGTCAGGAAACAACAGAAACTGTCACATTCAGGATGTTGGATAAAGTGGTTGCCATAGAAATGATCAATCAAACATTAGAGAGACAGATCAGACCTTATATGAGAGAACATAACCTGAGAGAGGATATTATCTTTTCTAAATATATTAAGGTATAGTATTATGTGACAGAGACAAATTAAACACACAGAGCTTTTGATTTCAGTAATTTTTCCATCAGTTCAAACTTATGTTAACTTAGATAATTTTGCTTGAGATTTATTCTTATTAGGCCACACCAGTTTGATTTGTAGTTCTTCGGACAAAAACTCCAAAAAATATGGGGCGAGCGAGCGAAATTTTTTTGATTGTATTTTTTTCTTGAAAATGAGTTTTTATGAGGCTAGTGCTCTACAAGTTAAGCAAGCGGTATAATTAAGTCTCCCAAACGAAGTTTGGGAAGACTTATTGTTTTTGCTCAGTTCTTATTATTCTTCTTCTTCTTCTTCTTCTTCTTCTTCTTCTTCTTCTTCCTCTTCCGCCGCTTTTAAATTTGAACTTGTCCGCACCCGTTCTCCAAAACTGCTTGTCAGATTAACTTAGGGTTTCACAATATGTTAGACTAACATGTCTAGTGGTGCAATCAGGGTTTTGTTTTTGCAATGGGGTTTATAAAGGGGTACTTTGAGGGGCAAAAAGAAAGGAGGGTTTTACTATAGAACCCTATGGGATTTTATTTTTTTAAATTTTCAAATGATTATTAATTGAAAACCGTTTGTGATAAACACAATCTTTTTAATTAAAAATGTTCTAAATGATAAAGCACATTAAATGAAATACAGGGTTAGTCCCCAGGGGTCACCCCCACCCACTCCCATTTAAGAAAGTTCTAATATCTTGTAAATGGTCGAGATCCCCACCCCTAAACCATATATATTCTGGTTTGTCATGATAAAGCACATCAAATAAAATACAGGGTTAGTCCCCAGGGGTCACCCCCACCCCCTCCCATTTAAGAAAGTTCTAATATCTTGTAAATGGTCGAGATCCCCATCCCTAAACCATATATATTCTGGTTTGTCATGCTAAGATGGTTTGAATGATATACAGGGTTAGTCCCCAGGGGTCATCCCGACCCCCTGCCATTTGAGAAAGTTCTAATATCTTGTAAATGGTTGAGATCCCCACCCCTAAACCATGTATATTCTGGTTTGTCATGATAAAGCACATCAAATGAAATACAGGTTTAGTCCCCAGAGGTCACCCCCACCCCCTGCCATTTAAGAAAGTTCTAATATCTTGTAAGTGGTCAAGATCCCCACCCCTAAACCATATATATTCTGGTTTGTCATGATAAAGCACATCAAATGAAATTCAGGGTTAGTCCCCAGGGGTCACCCCCACCCCCTCCCATTTAAGAAAGTTCTAATATCTTGTAAATGGTAGAGATCCCCACCCCTAAACCATGTATATTCTGGTTTGTCATGATAAAGCACATCAAATGAAATTCAGGGTTAGTCCCCAAGTGTCACCCCACCCCCTCCCATTTAAGAAAGTTCTAATATCTTGTAAGTGGTCGAGATCCCCACCCCTAAACCATATATATTCTGGTTTGTCATGTTAAGATGGTTTGAATGATATACAGGGTTAGTCCCCAGGGGTCACCCCTACCCCTGCTATGTAAGAAAGTTCTAATATCTTGTAAATGGTCGAGATCCCCACCCCTAAACCATGTATATTCTGGTTTGTCATGATAAAGCACATCAAATGAAATTCAGGGTTAGTCCCCAGGGGTCACCCCCACCCCCTCCCATTTAAGAAAGTTCTAATATCTTGTAAATGGTCGAGATCCCCATCCCTAAACCATATATATTCTGGTTTGTCATGCTAAGATGGTTTGAATGATATACAGGGTTAGTCCCCAGGGGTCATCCCGACCCCCTGCCATTTGAGAAAGTTCTAATATCTTGTAAATGGCCGAGATCCCCACCCCTAAACCATGTATATTCTGGTTTGTCATGATAAAGCACATCAAATGAAATACAGGGTTAGTCCCCAGAGGTCACCCCCACCCCCTGCCATTTAAGAAAGTTCTAATATCTTGTAAGTGGTCAAGATCCCCACCCCTAAACCATATATATTCTGGTTTGTCATGCAAAGATGGTTTGAATGATATACAGGGTTAGTCCCCAGGAGTCACCCCCTACCCCTGCTATTTAAGAAAGTTCTAATATCTTGTAAATGGTCAAGATCCCCACCCCTAAACCATATATATTCTGGTTTGTCATACCAAGATGGTTTGAATGATATACAGGGTTAGTCCCCAGGGGTCATCCCTACCCCCTGCCATTTGAGAAAGTTCTAATATCTTGTAAATGGTCGAGATCCCCACCCCTAAACCATATATATTCCTGTTCGTCATGTCTCAAACATTTGAATGACGTATAGGGTCAGTCCCCAGGGGTTCCCCCCACCCCCAATGTTCTAGTATCTTGTAAATGGTCGAGATCCCCACCCCTAAACCATATATATTCTGGTTTGTCATGCCAAGATGATTTGAATGATATACAGGGTTAGTCCCCAGGCATCACTAATGCATATAACTTTACTGGACCAAACCAATTTTCACTGGACTTTGTCCAATGTCAGGCGACCCTGGGAATTACGAATTATGGGAGCTTCGTTTGGGAGACTTCGTAACAGCATCCTGTTACAATCATTTCTTCTTTTTTTTTTAAATTGTGCGATTTAGAATTTATGTACATGTTATAACTGGGTTACTTCATAGAAAAAGGAGAAGAAACATGCTCTAATGCATATAATTTGATGGATTGGCCCATGAACCATACCAAACTTTCTTGTCTCGCTGGGGTTTAGTTAATTTTGATTATTTTCGTCAAATAAGCTTTGTCTGTGAATTTTCATTAAAATTCATACATGTGTATATATTAAGTAAGCATAGCAGATGCAGTTTAACAAGAGGAATTATGTTAGTTAGGTAAATGACATATGTTGAATAAAATTTAAATATGTGTATGTATCCAAAAAATGCCCTTGCAAATTATTAAATATTTTTTGATATAGTTGTTTTCATTATATCAATATATGGTAATGATTGTTTATTGGCTGCTTGATGTCCAGTTTGAACTATTTATCCATGCAAAGGATCAACATAATGAGTGAGGTGAATATTTCAACAACATCATGAGTAAGATAGTTATATTGCTATGCATGTAGATCTCAATGTATTAAAATATTCCCTTAAAATACATGTCACAACATTCACATGCATTATTCTGACAGCAAATACTCTTTCCTTTTGCTCCTAAAAGCTGCAATGCATTTTTAACTCTTTAGCTTGACTAGAAGTGGTTGAACCAATTACACATCCCTAATTGTTATGAGCATGCCAATCACAATACCACCATTTTGGTCTCGAACGTAGGAACTCTTAAATTTTCCCTTACAAAAGATTTCTGCTTGTATGCCAATAGACTACCGTTCCTACTCGCTTATTAGTCAGAAAATTGGGAGTAAAATTCATAATCCAGAGAGGGGGACCGACTAATAGACGAGATCTAGCGACCAGAGGAAAAATCCAAGCTTGAGAAAAGTGGTCAGGAGTGAATTTCCTGGTCAAAACTACGTTTTTGATTGCCAAACCTACATAAATCAATAAATAAAAGGTTTTTGTTGAAAATAAATGACTACAATACTGTCTTTGTGTTTTATTTGTTCTTTGGTAAACATTTTCTGCAAATTCGTGTTGAAATTCTACTGTTTCCGGTTTGTGTATTGATTTTCATGGTCACATGGTTTTCCTATAAACCCAAAAGAAGAGCCAAGAACCAAAAATGAAAAGGAGATAACAATGTACCAAATATGTGAAAGGATGTTTTCAGCGGAGTTATTGTGTCATTATTGTGATATCATGATATCAATTCAATGCTTATAAATCATATAATAATCAAAAAATAATATCAAGATTCATTCCCAAAATCAAAATATTATTCATTAAAGTGTCTCAGGTAAACAAAAATTACAAAATTGATTGACCAGCCATAATAATCCATTGATAACCCCAATTAAGAGACAAAGAGTTGTATTTACTAAAGGTGTGAAAACTATCAGTGATAGGTAAACAGATGACACTAATGAGTTGGAGTTAGTTATTTTCATATATTGATTAGCTTCTCTTAATTTTTTTAATCCTTTAATCATCACAATATAATAAGAATTATGAAGTGTATATGCTCATTTAACACCGAGTTATGTATGCTGTGAAAAATATTTTCATCAAGTGTTGATTGACTTTAAATTTTTCAGGTTCATATTGGTTTATTTTTGCTTTTCTCAAACAAAAGGTTGTTAGTCATACCCTACAAAATCATTGATGCATTACGTAAACAACACATGGCTATTCAAACATTTGAACAGTGAACAAAACAAGAGAAATGAATACATCTTTATTATTAACAGCAATATAAATTATCATGATGAGGATCAACTAAATTCAAACCAAACAAACATTAATGCAGAAATGAATATTATTCCTGGATTTGCATAAGTTTTACCGGCGTTCAGTTACTGTCAGCTGAAAAAAAAAAATGCCCAAATTTTGTCCGACTTATACGAGGGTCAAGACTAAATCCTTAGAATTTGGAGCTGAAAAGGGCACCCGACTTATAGTAGGATCGACTATTAGGCGAGTTTCTACGGTAACAAGGGGATATGGGGTTTCATCAAAATAAGATAAATCTGTGATTTTTTAAAAATTCATGGGAATTTAATATTAATTTCATCCAAGATAGATAGGTCTATAAAACAACAAACATTGTAGATAAATTTGTACAAAACAGCAGCCGGTGTTTCAAAATTACACATAGCAAATCTGAACAATATAAACCGTCATTCTTTGTAAAAACAATTTTTTTATTGGAATAGACTACCAAACAATCTCGTGTGTGCAAAGACAATTGAGAGCTTTAAAACTTCAGTTGCTCTCACATCGTTGGACTAATTTTCCAGCGCCTCTCTTCCGTTGGCATTGCCATTGATGCCATATCCTGGCCCTGCAACGTACTTATTCAGATTCAGGTCTATGTCTGTTGAAACAATGATCCGGGATGACGATGGTTCTAACGAACATTGATGTGATCGTGGTCATCTAAAGACAGATTTTTGATATTTGTCTCCTAGAACAGGTCTTCATAGATAAAACGAGATGCATTTCGGATAACTGTGTGTTCAGTAACTACCTGTCCACGGCAATGAGCTGACACAACTAACATGTTGGCATCCCGATTTTTGACCTTTTATTTACAATTCGATTTATCACAGGTGCGTTTGAATCGAACGGAGCAATATATGCACAAGAAAAACGTCTATGTGAAAAAAAAAATTCATGGAGAAACAAAATTTGGAGCGGCATGCGGCACCAAAATTTGCGGAAGCGGTAATTTTTTTTTTTTTATTGAAAAGTCAATTTCTCCAAAACAGGAGCGGAAAAATCCAAAGAACTATTAATCAAATTGGTGTGGCCTTAGATTTAGAAATAATAGTGTGATTATAAATAGAAAAAAGGTATTTGAAAAATATATTTATTTAATATCTAAATCTTAACTTTTTATTTAACAATTAATGTCTGTTTTAAAGTTTAGGTAACAAAAAATTAATAACAAGTAATTTCTTTATCCATGACATCACAACTGTTACAATCTTAGTTTTGTAATACTTCATTATTTGGTCAAATATATTTTATAATCTCAAATACAAGTTCTTAAAATATTAATACAAGATAAAACAAGTTATGTGAATATGTAGAAATCCCACATGGTTTAACTGAAGACAAAATATTTGTTAAAAAATCTTTGACTGAAAACAAAATTTAAAATATCAAGGGGCAGTCAAAAATATAAAATAAAATATGGAAAGAAGTCACCTTAAGGTCTATTAGAATAAAGTTGAAAGGACCTCACAAGGAATTAGTTTATTGATAATTCAAGCAAAACATTAAACTATCTTTGACATTAAAGCCTCAATTCATGCACTGGTTATTATTTTACTTTAATGAAAGTTTTTGGCAAATGTAACATCAATGTTTTCACTGTTAAAGAATATGATAGCATTTGAAAAAAAATCTGCTTTAGTTTCTGTTGTCTTTGAAATACAATATATCTTTTCTACTGATAGTGATTGATTGATTTGAGTTTAACACCACTATAGGCTATTTTGTGGCAGTCAGTTTTATTGTTTGAGGAAGCCAAAGTGCTGGAGAGAACCATTAACTTTTGGCAGGAAAACTTATAGTTTAGTGATACAGTTGTTGCACTACTTAGAACAACTTGGCAACCGAGGCCCTTTCTACTGATAGTGAAAATATGGAATATCTTTTTAAGTATCAAAAGTGAAGTGACATTGAAACTTAACCTGACAGACGAAGAATCTTCATGTAGATGTGATATATTAAAACATAATCTGAAAGAGAAAAAATTATTTTTTTTAGGACTTATTAGAAAGATCTGGAAGAATGACATCCTACCTTGGTGAGGCTGTGTGGGAGCCTAAAGTTGTAGCTATTATCAGCTGTATCAGTAGTCAACAGGTAAGTTGCTTTTTGTCGAGCCTGTGACTTTTGTCGCAGAAAGCTCGACAAAGGGATAGTGATCCGGCGGTGGCGGCGTTAGCTAACTTCTTAAAAGCTTAGAATTTCCAAGGTGGAAGACCTGGTTGCTTCATACTTTGTATATAGATGCCTTATGTTATGAAGTTTCGTCTGTCATATGTCCATTGTCCTTGACCTCATTTTCATGGTTCAGTGACTACTTGAAAAAAAAGTTAAGATTTTTTGTAATGTTAATTTCTCTCTTATTATGAGTAATAGGATAACTATATTTGATATGTGCGTACCTTGCAAGGTCCTCATGCCCGTCAGACAGTTTCATCTGACCTGGACCTCATTTCATGGATCAGTGAACAAGGTTAAGTTTTCATGGTCAAGTCCATATATCAGATACTATAAGCAATAGGTCTTCTATATTTGGTGTATGGAATGATTGTAAGGTGTACATGTCCAACTGGCAGGTGTCATCTGACCTTGACCTCATTTCCATGGTTAAGTTTTTTGTTTTGGTCTTATTTTCTTATACTATATGCAATAGGTCAACTATATTTGGTGTATGGAAATATTTTACAATGTACATGTCAGTCTGGCAGGTTTTATTTGACCTTGACCTCATTTTCACGGTTCATTGCTCAGTGTTAAGTTTTTGTGTTTTGGTCTGTTTTTCTTAAACTATAACCAATAGGTCAACTATATTTGTTGTATGGAATGATTGTAAGGTGTATATGTCTGTCTGGCAGGTATCATCTGACCTTGACCTCATTTTCATGGTTCATTGGTCAATGTTAAGTTTTCATGGTTAGGTTTGTTTCTTAAATACTATAAGCAATAGGTCAACTATATTTAATGCATAGATTGATTGTAAGGTGTTCATGTCTGTCTGGCATGGTTCATCTGACCTTGACCTTATTTTCATGGTTCATTGGTCAATGTTTATTTTTCCTGTTTGACTGTTTCTTAGAAACTGTAAGCAATAGGTCAACTATATTTGGTGTATTGAATGATTGTAAGGTGTACATGTATTTCTGGTTTGGTTTATCTGTCCTTGACCTCATTTTCTTTGATCATGTTAAGTTTATGTGATACTTTTAGTGGGAATTTAATGTATTAAATTGGAGTTTATACATTTTTGTTCTGTCCTCATCATCTTTTACCCTGTCCCATCATTTGTTTAATATTAGCAAGACCTTTGATAAGTTATTTTTGTCTACAGAGATAAGATAAGGATTTGACCAATCACATTATAGATATTGAAGGGATAGGTGGTCATTTTATAAAGCTTGTTGCAGTTTCAGCAGCCATATTTTGTTTCTCTGAGATTTAATTTGAATATTCTATTCTATTTGCTATTTGGAGTATATATATACAGAATTCGTATGTTATTTTAAACTAACATTCGTTCACTAAGTATAAGTGTTTCGTTTCCAGTAATTCGGATTTACGTTTTTAAACAATTCAGGATCAGCCACAAAGGTACTTTTTTTTAAGTTTGTGCTTCATAGTCTTGATAGTGCATCGTTTTTCTCCAGAGTTTGTAACTTTCAATTTATCATTAAGACGATTCTAAATTGGATTATATTTGTATTCTGCTTTAATTTTAAACCTCTGTTATTCGTCACCATGGGACCAATTCGTAGATCGGGGACAAGGACACACGTGCATTACGATCCGGAAATGCCTGAAAACTGGACTTTAATCAGATTAAGACAAGAACTTAACGCAAGAGGGATTAGAATTCCTCAAAATTCGAGGAGGATGGCATTGGTCAGGCTTTTACAAGATTCTGGAGAAAACGTTATTTCCGATGCGGGGAGAAACGCCGAGGGCCACGCTGACACCATATTGGGAAGTGCGCGATCCCAGAATTCCACTGCCACAGACACCACCATCAACGACCACATGCACGACGCCTTATTAGGAAGTGCGGCATCCCAAGATGCATCTGTGGAGACAAACAATAGAACTTTAATAAACATTGTTTCAAGGCTGTCTACGACAGTGCAGTCCTTGCAACAAAATGTGACAACACTAACTGGCCAAGTCAACACTCTAATTACCCAGAGAAAACAGTGGAAGCACGTGATGAGACAACAACAACGAGAACCGGAAACACGTGGATTCCTACTTTTGCTTCATCCGGAAGTCAAAGAAGTGAAGAAGTAAACAATGCCAATGGTCTTAATTTCAACCTGGAGACAGCCTACTCCGCTCTGAGAACTAACGCATTGCCAACGGCTGCAGCGGGTAGCGAAGAACAAGCTCTTAGGAACAATCGCTATGTTCAAACACCAAGAGGCTATTCAGCCTAGTCTTTGCCGTTTGTGGAAACAGTGACACCACAAGTAAGGAGAAGCATTATAACAGGTATGGACATCAACCTATCCTCTCTTCTTATCCCGTATTATGTGGGAATGGGTACAACAGACGGGGAAGAAAAGAATGAAACTTCCAGTTACCACACAAAACCTGACCCACGACTAAACAGATCTTTGTCTATTGGGGAGTTTATCCAAGCGTTTGGTATCTACAAGAACATTATGTGTTCCACGTTCCCCCACCGTAGGAGTGAGCTCGACACGTATGAGAGAGACATTGTAGACATGGCTACTCGATACCCTGGCAATGGGTTTTATGAATACCATAAGCGTTTTTCCCTCGATTCAGCTGCACATTTACGCTACAATAACATGGCAGTTGATTGGTCCATAAGGAACAATACATTATTCTGTAATATATTCACAAATATAAGGCCTAACACCTGTAATGTTTGCGGCAGTAACTTTCACACATCTGGATTTTGTTCTCTCACGCAAAGGTCATCCAGAAATAAAATTGATGATTCCCAGGATACATATGGTAGGGAAAGGGTTTTTCATTCTGGAAGAGAAATTTGTAACAATTTCAATGGATACAGGGGATGTATACTGCCACGCTGTAGAAATGCCCATGTGTGTTTGGCTTGAAAAGGAGATCATTCAAAAATCAACTGCCAGCAGACAAAAAACGAGTTCCAGGGGCCTCAAAAGAACGGGCCCCACACACAGAGGAGAAACTAGATACACCTCAAAATTATGACATGTCTGTCTCTACACCTGTAAATATAGATGTTTTGGAAAAAGAGTTATATAGACATCCTGACTCAGTTTTTAAAAATTATTTGATAAATGGGTTAAGATATGGTTTTTACACTGGGTTAAAGACTCTCCCATCAAAGTCTATTATTTGTAAAAATTTGAAGTCAGCATCTACAAATCCTATATGCGTGTCAGAATTACTTGAAACTGAAGTGTCGAAAGGATACCTCATTGGACCTTTTAATGATATACCTTTTAGCAACTATCGCATAAACCCCATTGGTTTAGCAGAACATAAATATAGTAAGAAAAAGCGCTTAATTGTTGATCTTTCAGCACCACATGAGGATGAGGACAATCCAAGTCTAAATGAACTGATAGATAAGGAAGAATTTTCTTTGCAGTATGTTTCTATTGATGATGCTACTCATATTATTAAGCAGTTAGGTAGAAAAAGTTGGCTTCTAAAAACAGATATTTGCGATGCGTTCAAAATTATCCCACTTAAATCAGAATTATGGCCTTATCATGGTATACAGTGGAACAAAAAGTTTTATTTTTTTAAGAGATTAGTGTTTGGGTGTAGATCAAGTCCCAAAATTTTTGATACACTATCCAGGGCAGTTTCCTGGATAGCTAGAAATAACTATGGTATTGTAAATATTTTACATTTGTTAGATGATTTTTTAATTATTGTACCAAGAGCAGATAATGCTCATTTAACTATGAGCAATGTGTTAAAAATGTTTTCATCTTTGGGTATTCCTTTGTCAACAAAGAAAACTGAAGGTCCTTGTGTCATTTTAGAATATATGGGCATTTTTCTTGATACTATAAAGATGGAGGCACGTTTGCCTAAAGAGAAAATTGCAAGAATTCAAGAAACAATTGAATCTTTTTCTAAACGCAATACATGTACTAAAAGGGAACTTTTAAGTCTGCTAGGCCACTTAAATTTTGCAAGTAGAGTTATTTTACCAGGCAGATCATTTGTGTCTCACTTGATTAAGCTTTCAACTACTGTTAAAAAATTGTCACACCATGTACATATTAAGAATTGCAGATCTGATTTGGCAATGTGGTCTCAATTTCTTAAAAACTGGAATGGAATATCCTTTTTCATTAATGACAACATTATTAAAGCTGCAGATATCCAACTTTACACAGATGCTACACCTAAATCGTTCGGGGGATTCTATCAGGGAAGTTGGTTTCAAGGCGAATTTACACCAGAACTTTTAAATGAACAAACGTCTATGGCTTTCTTTGAACTGTACCCTATAGTGATGGCCTGTGCTCTATGGGGTCACAACTGGAGTAGAAAACGTATATTATTTTACTGTGACAATTTAAGTACCGTAGAGATTATCTCCAAAGGAAGATCAAAAATCCAGAGTATAATGAAACTTATGAGGAAGCTAACTTATCTTTCTGCTCTATATAACTTCGTCATTCATGCACAACATATTGCTGGTGTCGAAAACACTGTAGCAGACTCTATTTCTCGTTATCAGATGAGGAAGTTTCGCTTACTACAACCACTGGCAGATCGAGAACCAACACCTTGCCTGAAGCCATCCCAGTTAATGATGAGTTGATTCAACAAGTTGAGGAATTATGGGAAGCCTGCCTTTGTCAGAGTACAAAGCAGGCATATATGACTGGTGTTAAATGTTTTCAAAACTTTATGGTTATGAATGGAAAAGACTGTTTTTTAAATGCATTGCCATATATAGATGAAAATTGTTTGATTTTTTTTGTTGCCTATTGTAAAAATTCGTTAAAACTAGCACATTCAACTGTTAAATTGTATTTAGCAGGTATAAGACACTATTTTTTAAAACAGGGTCATTCAGACCCGCTAGCAAATACTGTTCGTTTGCAGTGCATTCTAAGAGGTTTAAAAAAGTCTCAGTGTAATATACGTCCTAAACGAATGCCTATTACTTCTTCGATTTTAAAAGAACTATGTAATTTGTTAAGATCTGGGGTATTTTCTCCATTGGTTGATTTAATGCTACAAAGCGCATTTAATTTAGCTTTTTTTGGATTCCTCCGATGTGGAGAATTTACTTGTCGTAGTAAAGACTTTTCTAAGGATACCATTGTTTCAATTCAAGATATTTCTTTAGATGTGTCACTAAAAAATTTAGTTTTCCATTTACATTCTTCTAAGTGTGATCCATTCAGGCAAGGTGTAAATATTACTATCTTTGAAAACAATGTTTTTCACCCTGTAGCTACCTTGAGAAAATATATCAAATTCAGAACTGATTCAGGAGCTAAGCCTCAGTCACCTTTGTTTGTTAACGATGATTATGACCATACTCCCTTATCAAGGGATCGCTTTATTTCTTTGCTGCGAGATTTACTTTTTAGACTTGGGTATAAAGATGATAAATTTTGTGGGCATTCATTTAGAATAGGAGCAGCTACATCTGCAGCTGCTGCAGGAATTGAAGACCACATTATTCAAACTTTAGGTAGATGGTCATCTGATTGTTACATGCGTTATATTAGAACCAACCCTAAAACTATACATGCAGCTCAAGATAAAATGTGTTTTTAAGTGAAAATTTCTCTTAGTAGATTTTATACATCATTTCATATTGTTTGTACATAAATGTGAGGTTAAATATATATATAATTTGTATTTTTTTTTAAAGGTACTATTATTCATTGTTTTTTATCATATATGATGTATCTTTTCTTGGGGGCTTTCACTCATTAATTTTGCTCATTTTGGCCAACATAATTTCAGGGAAATTATTTTCCCCCAATTCATTTATACATATTTAAAATTATTAAGTACATTTGTACACCTGCTGGCATCTACCGCAGGATCTATTGTTATTCGCATTAGGTAACCTGCTGGCATCTACCGCAGGATCTATTTTTATTCACATTAACCTGCTGGGATCTACCGCAGAATCTATTTTTATTCACATTCACCTGCTCGGATCTACCACAGGTTCTCGAAATTAGTTTTGTCTGCTCGGATCTACCACAGGCATAAGTAATATATATTTTTTGTATGTTTTGTCTGCTCGGATCTACCACAGGCATAAGTAATATATATTTTTTGTATGTTTTGTCTGCTCGGATCTACCACAGGCATAAGTAATATATATTTTGTGTATGTTATTCGTCAGAAACTGTAATGAGTAGCCCCCTAGAAAGCCAAATGTTACATCAAGGTATTAATATGTAAATGTTTTACTATTAACTATGTTTTTTATATTATATGAAAATGTTTTAGTCCTTAGTGAGTTTTAGTTTTTTGTTTTAATAAATAGTTTAGTTTTATATCTTATCTTTGTTATATACAGTTAGTAATTGTAGTTTTGGTATATGTTTGGTTTGCCAAGATTATTCAGGACCACAAGCGACAGTACACACACCCTCATACATACTGGTGCCCTTAGTCGTAAACGGAATTAATCTTATTGATGATATATTTTGGTTGTTTTTTATTCAATGATTAAGCTAATAGATATAAAAAGATTTGGTATGAGTGCCAATGAGACAAATCTTCATACAAGACTAAGTCCATCATAGTACCAAACATACAAACTCTAACAGAGTTCTGTTTAAGTAGGGTGTTTTCTAATCTGGAGAATTATGTATAAATAAAGCTTTATATTTAGGACTATCAACATAAAATCAATGGTCAGTAAAGAAGGCGAGACATTTCAGCGTGTGCACTCTTGTTTTATAACATATAGTATTCTCAACTTAAAAAAATGAATTAAAAAGGATTATTTAAGAAAAGAATTTGAATACATTATAGTTTAGATTTTAAAAGGATTAAAGAAAATGTGTAAGATTTGTTTAGCTGTTAATAGATGAAGTATAAACTCCTTCCGTCACATGCTAAAGTTAAAATCATGACCTTACGAAGTCTTCATCCCACAGGTTATGTAAATATCTATTATTACCTCTAAAGACTATTTATTACAGGTTTCATAGATATAAGAAGATGTGGTATGAGTGCCAATGAGACAACTCTCCATCCAAGTCACGATTTGTAAAAGTTCAAGCTGGATTGTGATGTAACCTTAGCCTTTTTTGCATCTGCAAAAAATTTCATGCTGTATAATTTTTCAAAGTAGAGATATAATCATATTGCTTGTCAGTCAGGATTCTACTTCGTCAAAATTATCTCCCCATTACGCCACCTGATTTTTATAATCGTAAAAATGGAAGCCATTGTAGTGATGGCTCGCTGTCAATTTAGCTCTTGAAAACCGATCAATCTATCCACATAGTATCATTACGATCCTTATATGTTAGTTGTATTTGAAAAGACAAATGTATCTACTAGCTATTGAGTATCATTTAATGTACTTTTATGCATTTGGTCAACTTAAAACTATTGTCTGGTTGGTTGTCAGGGGGAATTTTCGAAAATTCAAAAATATTTAAAAAAAAATTGAATTAAATATTTCGTGGAAGGGCAGACTAAAAATTAGATAACACATACAAAAAATTAAAGTTTTTTTGAAGTTATGCATTTTTAAGATCCACTTGAAAAGTCTGTTGTCAAGTACTTTTAGTAAAAATTTGTTATTCGAACACTCCAACTCTGTTTTTATGACTCATTAGAAAGGTATTTCACTTGAATCATATATTTCATTTTTTAGTACTTTAAATTTTAAATGTTATTATATCAACCTATACTATAGCATAAATATATGAAAATAATAGAATCTGAAGCGAGATGATCTATCAAATATTTTTCTTTTATACGTTTTCATGACAGAATAGTCAACCCAAACAAGCCTGAACATAAAAAGGAGTACTTGACTTTCTCTTTTCATGAAATTATTACCAATTTTTGGGATTTTTTTTTTTTTTTTTTAAACTGTCGCTGGGGCAGATATGCAAATTAATGCTTTTAAAAGATTAATCTATTATCTTTCTTTGGAATTTTTTTCTGTGGAATTTATGCTTATGCAGAAAAGAGATCCACATGCATTTGCACCTACCATAATCAACTGTTTTATGAAAATTTGTCTATAACTTAGAAAGTTTACAAATATCTCGATGGCCGAGTGGTCTAAGTAGTTACTACTGTAATCACTAGCCAGTCAACACTGAGGTTGTGAGTTTGAACCCCGCTCGTGCGGGTGCACTCGACTCCAATCTTAATTGACTAGGATTGTCAGTTTTCCTATCGAAGGTCGTGGTTTTCTCCGGTCACTCCGGCTTCCTCCACCAATAAAAACTGGCCGCCACGAAATAGCCCAAAAGCGGTGCTTAAAAGTGGCATTAAAACACGAAAAATCAAAATCAAAAAATCAAATCGAAGCTCCATACCTTAATTTAAGTAAAAACACATATGTAAGGTGCTAGAATGCTAAATTATGCACATTCATTAAACTTTTAAAGCCAATAGAAACAGATGTAAACAATTCAAATTTACCAATTTGGTCTTTTTTACCTTCTCTAATAAAGAGTTCCATTTCTTTTGTTTAATTTCAACTGGGTTTCCGCCTGTTGTTAAATCTGCCTAGTATATTTTTATGTTAATTGCAGAATTTGATAACATTGTCTATCATGGTTTTGATAAATCTATATTGTATTTCGATCTTCCGTATGAGAAATATAATGTAAAATTTTGTCAGAAGTTATGAACTATGATTTTTTTAAAGTTATTTGCTTAACTATCCCATTTGCTTTGAGGGCTTGACATAACTTGTTTATCAAAGTTTGCCTGATTTTTATCAGTTTGCTGCTGACTTCATGTATAAAGCAGATTTTATCCGAGATATTATTTTATGTTTTTCAGTACAAATGTGATTCAATACTGGAGGTAATTAAATGTGCTCCTATACCATGGAGTAAAGAAATAAACAGTCTTGTCCAGCAAGCCCTTAAACTAGACCATGATTTGTAAGTTTTTTCTGTAAATTAGCTTATTTGCACAGCATCTTGTTTTGTTTTTGTTTTTTTTTTCTCTTTACACCAAATGGAAATTGACTTGAAGCTTCTGAAGTCAACTGAGTCACTATCATATACTGATTCAAATGTTCACTTACTTCCAATGGAGTTTCTGTTGGAGTTTAGAGCCATTTCATGCTGATACAGAGTAAAAGAAAGAATTGTCATTGTTAAGTCAATACACACAAATTTACATATAGGTGGCAATGATAATACACTGAAATATTTTACTATTTGTTTTGGGGTTTTAGAAATATATAGTTTAAAAAATGTTAACAATATCAATTAATAGACATTTATATTTTTATGCCCCACCTAAGATATAGTATGGGCATTATGTTTTCTTGTCTGTGCGTCCGTCCATCTGTCCCGCTTCAGGTTTAAGTTTTTGGTCAAGGTAGTATTTGAAGAAGTTGAAATCCAATCAACTTGAAACTTAGTACACATGTTCCCTATGATATGATCTTTCTAATTTTAATGCCAAATTAGAGTTTTGATCCCAATTTCATGGTCCACTGAACATAGAAAATGATAGTGCGAGTGGGGCATCCATGTACTATGGAAACATTCTTGTTTTTTATTAACCTTGTATTCATTTGAATTAACATATTTTAAAAAAATGATTTCTTATATTGCAGAGTAAATGATATTAAAGAACAAGTCCATTTAATGGAGTTAAAGAATTTGATGCATAAATATAACCTGAAAAAGGAAGATATACCATCAGATAATAATTGGGAGGTATCTAATATTTATTGATAATCTTATTATTAGTTAATTATTATCATTCCATTGTTGATACAAAAGTATAGCACCTGAAATCTTAAAGCAGATCTGAAAAATGATGTACTATTAATGTCAATGATAAGAGAGTAAACTCTGGTAAATGACTTTAGTTGTAACAAATTGAAGAAGCCATAACTGATAGTAATGGTCCAGTCTTCATGCTTTTATCATAAATGTTAAGGGCTATTCCATTAAAATGTATGTGGGAGGGTAGGAAGGGACTTCCAAAATATCCCTACAACCAAGAACCATTTTTTAGATAATTTTGCATAATGGTAATAGACGCATACTAAAAAAAAGACCTATGACCCACATTCAATAATTAAACTTCCCTTCCTACCCTCCCACATACATTTTAATGGAATTTAGGGTATTATTTAAAGGTTTTAGATGTGTAAAATTTTTCTTCTTATCTTTATGCCATAGACATTATAAGACCTGGTCTATATACATGTACTGCAGATGTTTATAAGTATAACTTAAATTGCTTTTAAGAAACTCCTGATCTTCATACATGAATTGTAGTTTTTTTATAAATTATAATTTAAGCCCCTTTAAGAAACTGAACTTATACATTTATTATAGATGATTATAAATTATAATTTAAGTTGACTTTAAGATACTCCTGATCGTCATACATGTAATGTAGATGATTATAAATTATAATTCAAGTTGACTTTAAGAAACTCTTGAACTTTATACATGTATTGTAGATGCTGATGTACTATATTTTGAGTCAGAATACAAGAGACAGTATAGAGGATGCCTTTAATGTGATGAGAGGATACAATGTCATACTTACCCTGGATCTTTATGTGTTTAGAATGAGACATTTGATCAAAAATGGCATGGTAAAATAACTTAATATTATTTTTTAATTCAACAACAACTTGCACTTCTGCTGTTAACAATGTTCTTCCCTAGTCCAGCATTAGAGTGAAGAGTCCCTGTTTGTTAATACCAGGGTTGTTTTCTAAATTGATAGTACTCTTTGTTTATTTTCTCTTGATGGGGTTCCTGACATGGGACAAGCACATGAATATGTGGCAGGATTAAACTACTATTTGAGATCTCAACTGTTCCTTCTTTTTAGTATTTCCTCTACAGCTTTTTAAAAACAAAAGATTCATTATAGTCACATATATAATATTTCAGAAATATAATAAAATATTTTGTGGACTTTGCTTGATTTTCACATATGATTCTTAAATTTTAAATTTTTCATGATAAAACAGCTTTACCTATGACCATGGGAAGGAGTAGTTCACGAAGGGCTAAAAGATTTTAATTTTGTTTTTTTTTTAAATCGGGCCATAATTCTACAAATTTCACAAAGAAATTAGTTGTGATATTACTATTAATACAAAACATACTTTTTTTGGCACCTCACATTATAAATAACAAAGTTATGACCCCTTATTTATGTATTATTTGTGTTTTAATGTCAGTTTTGGTCTAATTTTTCCATAACTTAAAATAGTTTTTAGCATAATTTATTTGGCTGTCTTACCTGATCCAGAAATTTTTGTGCCTTGGGATTCAAAATAAACCGTGTCACCTTTTGGATAAAAAATATTTTGGTTCATGGGTGTGTATAAGGTTTTTCTAAAGTTTTTCTCTGAGAAATGCACAAATTCATAGTATATTTCAGTATCTTCAAAATGTGCTGACTTTGGAGCCTTTAATGTACTATAATGAAGACATTTGTTTGACATAGCATGAAGGCCATTTAAGAACTAAATATCAACCTTTTTGATATTTTATGATAAAGCTGAAATTCAATGCCATATTTTGCCCAAAACGAATCTTGTCCCTCGAGATTTATCCAACACGTTGGTACAAAATCATCTGTCATTTGTAGATTAGAGAATATTGTTTTATGTTTTTCATTTACATAAATTGTAATTTTCTGTATTTCAGGTAAATGAATGTATTGACTTACTAAAGTCCTTACCTGGGAATGAGAGATTGAAATGTGGACAGAGAATTGTGGATTATGTCAAAGTTCTACTTAATGACACTGTAGAACTAGATATCAAGGTCAGTATATAGAGAGATCAATTGATGGTTTGTTTCTCAGATTCTTTATTATATAGATGAATGAGGTATTGCTATTTTTCCTTCTGATACCCACTTAATAAAGCAGAGATTTATAGTGGTTATATTCATCTCATCTGCATAAATACAGTTGAATATGATACAAAAGCATACTTTGGTATCCATCCTGATTACTCTAACAGCTCTACCATTAGGTGTTGGTTCACTTGATGCATATTTTTAATTTTTGTTTGTGAACCCCTGCATCCATACGATCCACCTTTACCAAATGAGCGTTGTACTATACAACCACACAGCATGGATAACAATACAAACTTTCCCAAATTGCTGATCTATTCTAGAAAACGGTTTACTACCACACACAAGGTCCAAAGAAGATTACCTCAAATGGAATGAACCGCAGAACCACACGACTTTATTTTCAAAATGAAATTGAAACATGGATAATGAACCATAACTGCAAGTATTATACAGACTTACCGCAATTTCCACAATGCCCTACATGTGTGCCTACCATACATACCACAATATTCCAGATGCAGTTGGAAGCAGTACCTCATTTAGAGTGAAGCCAGATGAAATGGTACGGAATGTCCAGTGAGGAGTTGTCCATTTTGGAAAAGATACTGACAATTCATTATTAACTTTTACTGTAACTTTCATTTTAAAGTCGTAATCTATAATTATGACGTAACCTCTTGTTAACCTTTTTGTACCCCATATAAACCTCATTGTATGCACTTCAGCATTGGTTTCCTATCATTAAATTGTCCTGAAGACGCCACCGTAAGTGCGAAACATATAGACCAGAATAAAGCATTTCCTTGCAGTAATCCAGGATGTGTTGTCTTTTTATAATGTTATTTTTCTGAGGTTTTAAGACAACCACAGCATACATTGGTATCCATCCTGAATACTCTACTAACTTTACCGTAAGAAGATGTTAGTTCAAGTATAAAATGCAGAACAGTAAGAAAACTTTATAGTAATGTGGTGTTTTCATGTAAACAGTCATGTTCTAATACAAATGTATCTGTTTTGATCAAGGAAGCCCATGTTTCATTTCCTTTAACAGATTTTTGTTTTCGTTATTTCATTTTGTCACCTGACAGTGTCCAGTTGCGGTGACAAATATCCCATACAAACAATACAAAAGTTCTCTTTGTGACAAAAAGGTTAAGTAAGATGTCAGAAATTGGGATTGTCTTTTCATTCCATTCAAGTACAAATAAAACAGAAAAATTATTCTTTTCTTAAAAAATCAATATATAGTTCTTTGTTTTTTTTTTGTTGTTGTAGGAACTACACAAAAAGAAAACATTGTTCACAGAAGCAGGAAGTTACATTATTAAACTAATTGTTGATTTTGAGGAAGGTAATGTATTTAAGGTTCCAGTAGAAAAAGTTAATTAAAATGTTATAACATTCGAAAAGAATGTTCAAAAATTTATCTCATATATTCCGTTTAAACCTTGTGTATAATATTCTGACAACATGTTCATGAATTGTTTTTAAATGAGAAAAAAAATGTGTTGATATTGTTATTGAACTTAAATAGAATTCATGGCATAAAAGTATTTGATGTGAATCAAGTACAAAACTCCATTGAAGGTTAAAAAATTCTGTATAAATTATTTTTCAGATTACATGAAGTCTAATGAACTAAGAAATCTTCTGTTGGTCTTACAAAGTTTACTGGCTCTTCAGGTAGAAACATAAGTTTATCATTTTGTTTTCATAAAATGTTATAAAAGGGGAGGTTTGCATGCTTATATTTGCCGAAATTCTGTCTCACGAGTGACAAATGACATGTCCATTGCAACAAATGTATCATTTTCCTGGCAGCATTATCCACAGTTGTTCAGATATCTGATTATGGTATTTATACTTCACAGTTAATACAATAGCTTGCTTTTATTATAGCAATTTCACAGGCAGAGGTTAAATTTTTAACTAAAAAAAAAAACACTTTTAATAGCAGGGTTATGATTGAGAGTAACCAAAATTTTCACTTCACATATTCTTTTGTAGCATCCGTACTTAAGATATTTAATGATAATTTATCTCTGTCATAGATCCCACAACAAAGCTATACACTTATAAAAAAGGCAATATAAAAATAATGAACATTATAGCTATTGTGTGAATGATCTAATCAAATGACTTCAAATCATACTTGGAAGTTTATGCAAATGATGAATATAGCTATGAGTTTCTTAAATGATGGATATCAACATTATATGATAAATTCAACACAAACATAGTTCCTTACATGATTAAAATGTATATTTAGACATATGGTGATGTTATAAATTACAGTAAATACACAAAAAATACAACTAGTTGAACATTAATAAAAAAAAAAGTTGCATTTAAATATTTAGGAGACAATTACAATGTTTTAAGAGTCAATTAATCCTGCATGGTTTTTTTTTGTCAAAGATTCAAGGTTATACATTTGTTCTTTAAAAAGTCTGAATTTACATTAATTTCAAGTGTACTGGTACTTTTAACAATTACCTTGATCATGATAAAATAAAAAAGTTTTTTTTTTTTATTGTTTAGAAAGAATATGACCAGTATATAACCATAGATCAGTACTGTAATGTAAATATCAGGACCAAACTACTGGTAACCTATGCCAAACAGTTCTTCATTAAAAGAGAATCTAACAAGGTAAGTCAGGGATCACCATGACCTATTTAAGCATGGCGGTGCGCCACACTTAAATTCCTAGTGCCACGCTAAAATTCCCAGTGCCACGCTCATTTTATAGTCCGCCACACTTGCAAATTCAATAGATTGAAGTTCAATTCCGGATATCACTAATCTAATTATCATGTCAGTGGCAATTAGGAAATCTAATTAGTGTTTAATGGTGTGAACACCGCCTCAGGGGATGTACATTGACAGCTGATTGCATTATTTACATTGTCTCGCATGGTTGAACAAAGTAACATCCAATGAACGATCATAACCCAGTTTCGTCAAATTGTTTGCAAACTATTCTTTAAATACAAATGCTTGACTGTACCTTAAATTCCAAAATGGAATGCATATATATCCAAACTAAATTAATAAAAGCGGTATAATCCAGAAATCAAATGAATTCCCTGACCACATGTTTTCTTTTGTTGACAACCATGTCACATGTGCACTTTTGGCAGGAAAATACTGGGAAACACCTAAATACCAGACAATACTGTCTGGTTATTTATAGACATTTTAATAAACAGCTCAGCTCAGCTGTGCCATTAAGGAAAAGAGTTAAACTGGGTATATATAATTCCTTAATCAACATCATTTTTTTATTGGAAAAGGGGGGTGGGGGGGGTAATTTATAATATTGTCATTATATATATATAACAAATTCTCAATTTTATGATCTGATCTGCTTGATAGACTTATTGGTGAAAATGGCTTTGATGTTTTTTATCATTAATTCCTTTATCATTTATCTTACTATGTGGTTTTCCAAAAGACCATTTAAATCAAATCAAAATTTGTCATGAATGGAAGCTCTTTAAAATATGAATACTTTATCACATGAAAAGCAATATGTGGATCCCTCACTTATATATATTCCTGAAATCTGTTTTTAACTTCTCTAATAGGTTTCTTAAGGTGTGGTGACCAAAAAATGTATATTAGTCCCTATTTTCATATTAGTTATACATGACAACAACATGTAAGGCAGAAAGTAAACAATTAAGGAACGATTCGACAACACAACACACCATCTCTAGTTGATTTGATGAACTTTTTCCCCCACCCTTGATTTTCATTCTGTGGATAACCCTGTAATTAATTTTAATCAGGTACAAAGGAGATGTCACAACTATTAAAATGGTGATGTAAGATGGGCAGGCATCTACTAACAGTTTTCCATGAAATTAATTATGATTTTCAAATTTAAATATGTAGTTACTAATGACAAAATTGAGTTCAAGTTTAGTATTGACAATTTTCACTTTTAAGGTTCGTGATATATTGGAAAATAACACTTTATGTTGTTACTGTGTATTATCTTGTGAACCTTATTTTATTGAGAAATTTAAAAAGACCAAGTTTGAAAAAAAACAATTGTTTATATTAAGTTGTTGCTAGAAATCAAGTGAACTTCTCATTCATTTGTGTATTTTTTTTATTTCAGAAAGAAGCTAGCAAAACAAAAGTATTCAGGTAAATTTAAAAGGAAATTCAAAATTAAAATGATGTTGAGGTTTACATAACTTAATCATATTTTATTGATAATATGAGATCAGAAGATTACCAGAGAAACCCAGAGATTGAAACAGTCACATTAAAACAGCTGAAGACTAAACTTGGGATAATACACTTAAAATACTTTTCTATGACAACTTGTCCAATTTAAACAACTGTGCATATATTAATTTTCCTGAATTGAGGAAAATTTGTATTTTTGTGGATATTTGATTTCATGGTTTTGAAGAAGTCTGAATACAAGCCTATAGATAATTTGTATTTTGTTGAACATTTAAATAAGTGGTTCACCTATACCCACAAATAAACATGAATCTGCAGTATATTAAAAATGATTCATCACAAGCTTTATCTCAGAACAAAACATGTTGATACTACCAAGCTATCATCTTTGCTGTCATCACTGTAAATAAAAAAGGATAAAACAAAAAAAAATGTTCATCCTCTCTGGAGATCTGTGAGATACTATCATTAAATGTGAGGGAATTAATCATTTAATGTTTTCCTCTCACAGTTTTTCAGATGACTCATACCATCCAACTGATATTGACACCATAGCTATGAACAGAAATTTAGGAAAAAAAATGATTATTTAAAAATGTCTTCCTCAACATTTGATGGGGCTGTTTGAAATAGTATATGCAGGTGGTTGACTTTTGAATTTATCTTAAATGACACTGCCTTGCATCCTGAAAGGTAGCCACTGCAGAAGAAAGTTTTTACATACGTATTCATGGAATAGTTAACTGAAAGATCTTATTTGAAAAAAAACTTGGTCTATTTGAACCAGACTAGTGCTGAATAATCTGAAGGTTTATTTGATTTGATAATCCCACCTAAAAGAACATTGTTTTAAATTGATAGTACATAAATTTAAATAGCATTATGCATTGGAGCTGTTAGAGCCATACAAACTCATTGGAACATCTAGTTTAATAAACAACATGGTGTTTTTTTGTTACAGATTAGCAGATATTTTACAAATCTCACATGTAAAGATTCAAGGACAACTTGCCATAGAAGCTGCAAAGACTGGTGGAATTCAAACTGCATTAAAATACTGCAAGTAAGGATGATTAAGATTGTACTATGGAGAACACACAATAAAATTTGATGTTAACATTTGAACACCAAATTGTAACATAGTATCTTGAATGAACCAGCCATGACACAGCTTAAGTTATCTGAATATCATATATATTAGAAAATGACATTATCAGAAAATTTTATTCATATGCTGACACTATACTATAGATAATGTATCAGACACTGTTCCCATAGTTATGGTCATATGATCCGTTAACATACAGATTCTGATTCCTCGGTGGCCAAGTGATCTAAGTAGTTCATCTACAGTTATACTAGCCGTCAACACTGTGGTAGTGAGTTCGAACACCACATGTGGCATGTGCGTTTGACTATGTTCTTAATTGATTAAGATTGCCAGTTTTCCTGCCAAAGGTCTGGTTCTTTCTGGGCACTCCGACTTTCTCCACAAATAAAAACTGGCCGCCACGATATAGTCAATTGTTCTGAAAGTGTCGTTAAACACCAACAATCAATTAGATTCTGTAAAACTATCACAACTATTATATAACTGTACTTTCAGTATGTTACTTGAGTCTGATCGTACAGAGGAGACTGCAGAGACACTATACAGTGTAGCTCTGTCATTCCTAAAACTGCAAGCTGACTCTGAGAACTGTGATCTGACAGCTGGTCAACTGAGAAGTTTACCTGAAGTTACATACATGTTGACATCAGAAGCATTAGTTGTATGTAGTGGTCATTCAGGTATGACAATGTTACTGTGAATTAATATTGGCATGTTAAAAGAGTACTGAAGCCACTGGAAATTCAAGGATTTATAAGCTATATCTAGTGGCCATTCTTGTGAATTACAAAATAAGAATATACTGATTTTCAATGAGACAACACCAAAAGAATTTGAAAGTTATTCTTCAACACAATTACAAATAATACAGATACCAACTTGTAAAGGATTTGTTATGTTTTAAGGAAGTCTAGCTTCAAGTTTTGTCTGTGCTGCATTATTTGTAAGTCAGCAGTGTGAAGCAGGAGAATATAGTATATGTCTATGGGTTTACAGACACACTAGCCTAGTCATTGTTGTTTAAATCAGAAGATATGGTCTATAACACCAAAATTTAATAACTTTTTACCCAGTTCATATGGACTATGTATTTGCAGTTTGTTCTATGATGGCCCCTTCCTAAATCAGACCTGGGGGTCCAGCCAACAAAGACATTTACTGACATATCAACATGGCAGGCATAACTGAAAGTAAATCTGAAAAGTAAAACTTTGATGTATGTATTTTTTTAAAAACTTTTAAAAGAGTTTTGTTATAATACCAAAAAACTGAGTGTGAACTCAGGTATATATTAATGTAGACAACAATATCTTTGGTGGTTTTATAATCTTAAAAAAGAAATACATTTCAATTAACAGCTTATTTACCATTATAAATGTATGCATGTTTCAGATCTGTTTATGAAGTGTTTAGATTTAAACAAAGCAGCATCATTAGCATTATCTGTAAGTCAGCAGTGTGAAGCAGGAGAATATAGTATATGTGAACAGGTATAATATATATATACATATAATGCAATTTTCTAGTATTTATCATTATTCTTTCAAAGAGTGGTAACTGGTTTTTGTTCAAAACGATTTTTCAGATTTTAATTGGATGCCAGATTATTGTAATTTTAGAAAAATATTTTGGAAGTAAATATTATGTTTTACTCTTAAATAGTGATTCATTATTTGTAATTTATTGTCAGAAAGAAATGGAGAAGTTTTATTTTGGATTTATTTTAAAGAGCAGTTTTACTACTACACACTTCATAAAGAACAGTAATGAAGTCCTATTTTATGGGGTTTTTTTTCTTCTCTAAAATTGTTTTGAATGTAGCTTACTGCAGATTTTGTTTCATATATCAATTATAATTGTAAAAAATAATGAATAACTTATTAGATTAATATATTTTTAGGAGGAGGAAATGAATCAAGAGAAGATAACTCCTTCTGTAGAAATGGTTTCTGATTGGATGTCAGACAGCATGTTTAAAGAAGATGCTCTTGTGATGAATTCTACTGTAATTCTACCATTCATCTCACAATATTGTGTGTGTCATCCAACTATTGGTATGTTTTCTGTGAAAATCTTATATTATATACAATTTTTCCAATGTTCTGTGAATGTTTGGAACATTTTAGTATATTAGTAATATTGTCTGCAGGTGCCATCTTACATGACAGTTTTTCAAACAAGGACACTACTTTTAACTGCTGTACAAATGAATTTTATAAAAAATCTATTATTTTAGATTGTATGGTTTTCTTTTAACATACATATTTTGTGCAGTCGAAAATAGACGGATAAACCAAAAGAGCAGAAAGCTTGGAATCATACTTATACTTAAGCACTAGGTAGTGGACTAATGGTATCCATAGGTAGTTCACCAGCAGATGTAGTGATCTTTTGGTAGTAAAAATCTATTATTTGAATCTGTATTATAAAATGATAGGCAAATGAAAAGTGAAACTACAGTTTAATACACCTATGTTGATTGATTCTTGTTCACCATGACAAACCTTTTACAATCATTTCGGACAATCTTTTCATCTTTTTATTATATATTCTAATGAAAATACGAATTCTTGTTTAAGATGGGACTGCAGAGGATGCAGAATGCATTGAAAAGTTGACAACTGCTGTTAAACCAGTACTGAATTACCTAAAGGACAATAGTCACATACAGTTAGCTTACCAAACTCTACTTCATATGTTATATACTGTTCATCAGATATCATTAGTAAATCAGATGGGAATCCAGCTTGTTAATGAGGTATGATATTGTAGATGGCATAGCTTATGTGTGTCAGAAAGGTATAAATAACTAAGATTGTTACTGTTTCATGATAGCCTCTGTGGATCAGATTGGAGTATAGTTCACTGTGGACATGATATCTTCTTTAGGTAATTCGAGAGTACAGCTTGATAAACTTTAAAGTATTATACATAAAGAGCTAATTTACAAAACAAAAGAGGCTGAAGATATCAAGGAGGCATTCAAAAGTCAAAGAAAAACTGACAATGCCATGGCCAAAAATAAAAAATGATGAAACACAAAACACTACATAGACAACATGAACCCCACCAAAAAACTGAGTGTGAACTCAGGTATCTATTAATGTAGACAACAATATCTTCTGAGGAACAGACTGGAATACAACTCAGTAATGTCCATGTAGAAGTGACAGCTTCCTTTAGAACATGGTAATATATGGATTTTATAATACTATTGTTGATATATTCATTTAGCTGATATCCAATTAGGTGGAGTCTACTGTAACTGATAACCCCAAAAAATGCAATTTGTAACCAAAGGGTGTCCAATCTAATATTAGTAAATTTTCAAATTTAATTTGACCAGTATTAGGAATTTCATTTCAATTATTTGTGCTTTGATTCAGTCATGACTGGCAAATATGACTGTTTCCATACCATTGCTTATGTTTATTTTTAAATTACCTTTTTCTCATTTCATTACAGACAATAGATGAAATTATGACAGAGAAGAAAAATGATTTGGAAGGAATAGTTAAAACAACCACACCTCTGATAAAAGAGTTTACCACTGGTGTTTTGATGAAGGTTAGCCACTAAATTTCATCTGTTTCATCGTACAAAATGCTATTATTTTAAGTATGTTTGCTTGTTAGATAGACTTTGAAGTTAACATTTGGATACAGTCAAGGGTTAAATTTGTTTTAGACCAATAACTTTGTTAAACTTTATCAAATTTTTACGAAACTTGGACAGAAGGTACATTAAGTTCAAGCTAAAGCATCTGAAGAAAATTCAAGTTTTAATTTTGTTTTCCATACTTACTGATTGATTTCATTTTGGCAATCAACATCACAATTTTACTCTGACAGCAGCAATCGTAGGCAAGACACTGTTGTGCTTGATCCTTTTGCAAATTTTAATTTTTATCATACATTGTAGCTAATAAAAAGTTTCATAGGTTACAAGGATAATTCAATGCTGTGTTCTAAATATGATATTTATTTGTAAAAGCCCATGACAAAAAAGAAATACAAAGTGTTGTATATGTCATGTTAGCAGATCAGTGATAAAATAGTAGACTATTACCATGATGTCACAAAAATGTCATGTGTACAAAAAAACAAGATGTCAAGTTCTGTGTTCAACGTGGTATTTTTTGTACATTTTTCTTTGACAATCAGGAAAAAAATCCTTTGAATAATGTGTGGTATTCCAATGTTTTTTGGTTTTTTTTCATTTAACAACATGATAGGGTTTGTTGTTGTTATGCTTTTGATGCTTTCATGGCCTCCACGGAACCTTATGTTAAGTTAGTTATTGCTCATATATGTGAGAGCCTGAAGTTGACTTTATTTCTGTATGCTTGAACATATCACAGAAACTGTTTTAGGTCAGGTTTAACTGATATGGTTGTCATTTTTTATTTAAAGATATTTAGCAATAACTTTAAAGACCACCACCTAGCCCTAGCCTATGTATTAAGTGGTACAAAGAGAGACGGACAGGAAGCTGTGATGAGGATTATCAAAACATCTGGTCATAACTATAGAAGACTAAGGGTAATATAGTTTTATGGAAAAGAATAATTCAGCAAATTTCATACCAATGATGAATTAATGTACTTCTGCGTTTAGCTTCCAGTTTTACTTAACAGTTTATTCATTCTCTTCACATCTGCTAATTGTCTTGCCTGTAGAAGTCTTATAGTTCTTCAAGAATGGAAACACACAATATTTACTTCAATTTTGAAAATATACTAGTCTCATTAACAACAATAAAATGAAATATTATAGAATTATTTGATGAAAAAAATATGTTATCGTTGTTATTTACTTAATACAATTGATGTTTTCAGCATTAAAGTTCAGATTTATTGCTTTCTGTTTTTTACTTTTTAATGCATTATTAGCTCACCTGACCTGAAAGGTCAAGTGAGCTTTTCTCATCACTTGGCGTCCGTCGTCCGTAAACTTTTACAAAAATCTTCTCCTCTGAAACTACTGGGCCAAATTTGACCAAACTTGGCCACAATCATCATTGGGGTATCTAGTTTAAAAAATGTGTCCGGTGACCCGGCCAACCAACCAAGATGGCCGCCATGGCTAAAAATAGAACATAGGGGTAAAATGTAGATTTTGGCTTATATCTCTGAAACCAAAGCATTTAGAGCAAATCTGACATGAGGTAAAATAGTTTATCAGGTCAAGATCTATCTGCCCTGAAATTTTCAGATGAATCGGACAACCCGTTGTTGGGTTGCTGCCCCTGAATTGGTAATTATAAGGAAATTTTGCCGTTTTTGGTTATTATCTTGAATATTATTATAGATAGAGATAAACTGTAAACAGCAATAATGTTCAGCGAAGTAAGATCTACAAATAAGTCAACATGACCAAAATGGTCAGTTGACCCCTTAAGGAGTTATTGCCCTTTATAGTCAATTTTCAACCATTTTTCGTAAATTTTTGTAATCTTTTACAAAAATCTTCTCCTCTGAAACTACTATGACAAATTTAACCAAACTTGTCCACAATCATCATTAGGGTATCTAGTTTAAAAAATGTGTCCGATGACCCTGCCCTCAAACCAAGATGGCCGACATGGCTAAAAAATAGTACATAGGGTAAAATGCAGTTTTTGGCTCATATCTCTGAAACCAAAGCATTTAGAGCAAATCTGATGAGGATAAAATTGTTCAATAGGTCAAGATCTATCTGCCCTCAAATTTTCAGACCAATCAGGCAACCCGTTGTTGGATTGCTGCCCCTGAATTGGTAATTTTAAGGAAATTTTGCCGTTTTTGGTTATTATCTTGAATATTATTATAGATAGAGATAAACTGTAAACAGCAATAATGTTCAGCAAAGTAAGATCTACAAATAAGTCAACTAGACCAAAATGGTCAGTTGACCCCTTAAGGAGTTATTGTCCTTTATAGTCAATTTTTAACCATTTTTCGTAAATTTTTGTAATTTTTTACAAAAATCTTCTCTGAAAATACTAAGACAAATTTAACCAAACTTGTCCACAATCATCATTAGGGTATCTAGTTTAAAAAATGTGTCCGATGACCCCGCCCGCGAACCAAGATTGCCTACATGGCTAAAAAATAGTACATAGGGTAAAATGCAGTTTTTGGCTCATATCTCTGAAACCAAAGCATTTAGAGCAAATCTGATGGGATAAAATTGTTCATTAGGTCAAGATCTATCTGTACTTAAATTTTCAGGCCAATCAGGTAACCCGTTGTCAGTGATATTGTTTGCCTCAAATTACAGCCGAAATTCGGCTTTTTCCCCTAGAGAAAATTCCCAATTACTAAAAAAAATGGCTTAAAATTCCTCCCAAAAAGTTTTACATTTTCCCCAAACAGTGATGGCATTGGTAGTAATGATTGTAAATATCGTATTCATGTTATTATTTTGATATTAGAAAGCACTTTTGAGATCCGGTTTTCTGATCAGAATCATCATGGTGTTTGTAACACATGTGGTTTTCAATGCATTAAGTACCATCATTGCTTCTGTTTCTTTCCCCTCTTAGAAAAGTACCTTTCAGGTTGAAAATGTCTGACAACCAAAATATACATGAAAAAACAGTGCAAAAAAGACTGCAAAGGTCGGCAAAAAATCGGAAATGTGTTTAGAAAAAATATACAAATTTCCCAATTTCAATAAAAAATATGCATTTTTCCCAATAAAAAACGGTAGAGGTAGTTTTGAAAAAAGACAACAATATCACTGGTTGTTGGGTTGCTGCCCCTGAATTGGTAATTTTAAGGACATTTTGCCGTTTTTGGTTATTATCTTGAATATTATTATAGATAGAGATAAGCTGTAAACAGCAATAATGTTCAGCAAAGTAAGATCTACAAATAAGTCAACATGACCTAAATGGTCAGTTGACCCCTTAAGGAGTAATTGCCCTTTATAGTCAATTTTTAACCATTTTTCGTAAATTTTTGTAATCTTTTACAAAAATCTTCTCCTCTGAAACTACTAAGACAAATTTAACAAACTTGTCCACAATCATCATTAGGGTATCTAGTTTAAAAAATGTGTCCGATGACCCTGCCCTTGAACCAAGATTGCCGACATGGCTAAAAAATAGTACATAGGGTAAAATGCAGTTTTTGGCTCATATCTCTGAAACCAAAGCATTTAGAGCAAATCTGATGAGGATAAAATTGTTCATTAGGTCAAGATCTATCTGTACTTAAATTTTCAGACCAATCAGGTAACCCGTTGTTGGGTTGCTGCCCCTGAATTGGTAATTTTAAGGAAATTTTGCCGTTTTTGGTTATTATCTTGAATATTATTATAGATAGAGATAAACTGTAGACAGCAATAATGTTCAGCAAAGTAAGATCTACAAATAAGTCAACATGACCAAAATGGTCAGTTGACCCCTTAAGGAGTTATTGCCCTTTATAGTCAATTTTTAACCATTTTTCGTAAATTTTTGTAATTTTTTACAAAAATCTTCCCCTCTGGAACTACTAAGACAAATTTAACCAAACTTGTCCACAATCATCATTAGGGTATCTAGTTTAAAAAATGTGTCCGATGACCCTGCCCTCGAACCAAGATGGCCGCCATGGCTAGAAAATAGTACATAGGGTAAAATGCAGTTTTTGGCACATATCTCTGAAACCAAAGCATTTAGAGCAAATCTGATGAGGATAAAATTGTTCATTAGGTCAAGATCTATCTGCCTTATAATTTTCAGACCAATCAGGCAGCACATTGTTGGGTTGCTGCCCCTGAATTGGTAATTTTAAGAAAATTTTGCAGCTTTTGGTTATTATCTTGAATATTATTATAGATAGAGATGAACTGTAAACAGCAATAATGTACAGCAAAGTTAGATCTACAAATAAGGCAACATGACCAAAATTGTCAATTGACCCCTCAAGGAGTTATTGCCCTTTATAGTCAATTTTTTACAATTTTCATAAATTTTGTAAATTTTTGTAAATTTTTACAAAGTATTTTCCACTGTAACTACCGGGCCAAGTTCATTATAGATAGAGATAATAGTAAGGAGCAAGAATGTTCAGTAAAGTAAGATATACAAACACATAACCATCACTAAAACACAATTTTGTCATGAATCCATCTGTGTCCTTTGTTTAATATGCACATAGACCAAGGTGAGCGACACAGGCTCTTTAGAGCCTCTAGTTGATTTATGTGATGAATATATGAAAGAATTATTTTGTAGGCTATTTCATATGTTGGTATTGGTGCTGGTGAAATTTACAAGGACCCTAACATCATAAATATGTGTCAAAGGTTAGAAGTCAATGCCAAATGGGGAAACAGACTGGCTAAAATAAAGGTAATTCTAAAAACATCATTCTGTGGATAACACATAACCAGCAAAAGCTTCTTCTTTTTATAATTTAATATTTCATTAAACTTAAAGAATCATTGTGTATGGTAATTATAAGTACAGGTAAATTGGCACAATTGAAACCTTTGGAAAATAACATTTGACGCAAATGATTCATCTTAAAAATAGTAATTGGCGCAAAAGGACTGCTGTCGAACATCAGGCTATTTGTAAAATGCTTAGATATAAAAAAGACTGGTTTGTTCAAGAAATCTTTGATAAAATATTTTGTTACTGGTAATATAAAGTTTTTATATTACAGATTAGTTTTAAGGATGCTTTCCAAATGCCAGTGAGTGAGAAGGCCAAATTACTACCTCAGGTGGCTCAGTCTGCTGGGGCTGACACAGAGTTGATCATAGACTTTTGCCAGTAAGATTTGTTTTTCATGCCATTCTGTATACTACAATAACTGTCAGAGCATCATAGATGTTGTCAAAACTACTTGAATTGTTACATTGTGAGGAATGATCCTTATGATGTTCTTTTCAAACTCTCTATTTTAGCAGTGACCAATTTTAGATGGTTGTTGAGGGGGCACTTCTTTCAATATAGAATAGAAACTATTTCTTAATCAATTTATCCTGAATAAATGTATCCTAATTGTCTAGGCAATAAAAAGACACTATTTATTATTAAAAATAAACAATCTTTTCTCATTTGTGTAAATTTTAACTTTGAAAAATGTTTTTATGGGAATATTAAGTTTATAATCAGTCAGTATCAGTCTACAAATGTTTATCTGTTTGTAAATACGACCATTACCTACATTGCTGTCGAAACAAATAACAAGTTTGGTGAAATTTATAAAGGAATATGTATGATATACTATAACTCAATTTTGTGGTTGATTTATCATAATTAAAGTGTACTTATATGAGTCATATTCTTTTTGTTACCTTGTTTTTTTTTGTGTTTTTTTTTTTAAAATTATTTCAAATAAACCATGTTTTTAGAGCCTTTGAAGTGGATACAGATGATGGTTTACTTATGTATCTGGAGCATGTATTTACTACAACAGAACATGGTACTCTGTCAGGACCAGATGTCAAAAAGATACAACTGAAGAAGGCTAAGACAGCTATAGATGGTATCCGTGATGAGGATACATTGTATGACAAATTACGAAAATTGTTTTATAAGGTAAAATGACAATTATCTTGTTATATTAACCCCAAAAAACTTAACTTTGATGTTCGAAGAAATATGTCAAAACTAAATAATATCTAATAAGAGAATTGCAATCAGTGTGGAAAAGTATTATTAGTGATATGTATACTGATTGTTTGAATGCATGCTGATTTTCACAGGGCCAGTTAAATTGGATTATTATATTCCCACTCTAGGAGTAGGGGCTATTTTGCAATCATCTTGTCTGTTTGTCTATTTACCCAACAAATATATTCTTCCCACTATTTTTCAGATCCTACTGAACAGAATCATTTCGTATTTGGTCAAAAGCTTGACAGTGATGAGTTGTAATATGTGGGCACTTTTAAGTTTAGTCAGACAGTTACTTCCTGATTACAAATATTTAAAATTTTTCCATATGTTGAATTTTGTCACACTTTTCTCAAGTACTACTAAAAATAGACTATTTTGTCAGCAGGTTGACAGTGATGAGTTGTAACTTTTAAGTGCTTTTCAGATCCTTCAGACACCTACTTGCTGTTTGTCAATACTTAGAATTTTCCATGTATTAATCAACTTATTATTTTTCGTCACACATTTTTCCATGATTACTGAACGCAATGACTTAATATCTAGTCTGCAATGTAACATGTGAAACACCTACTTCCTGTTTTCCAATACTACTGAATTACTAGTAGGGGAAAGCTAAGCAAGACAACACATGCCTTATTGTTTCCTTTGGAATCCTCTTAGTTCATCACAACCAGAATTTCATTTTATTTTGTCAAGTTATCTCTCTGTGTTTTCAATTTCAGACTGATCCTTATGATTATGAAAAATTAGATTTCTTGATGGAAGAAATGCGTAGAATAAATGATACACCAGAAAGTGAAAAGGTAACTACTTTTTTCATTTGATACAGTCAGATGTATTTCACCACTCGCAAGTTATGCCATATATTTCATATCAAAACACACCTTTTAATAAAATTGTCAAATACTTATTTCATGTCAGATTTTGATAAATTATTAACTGGATTTCCGATGGAAAATATCGGTTATTAATTTGGTGATGTACGGCGGGTGACTGCCAAACAGTGTCCTTGCAAAAACTGGAAAATCCTTTGACGAAATCTTTTCAAATTTAGATATGTTGTTTGCTATAACTAAATGAAGGTCAAGTTATATTTTCACGATTTTATCTTTTATCCTTGTTGAGTTAAGTAGCAAAAAGTGATACTTAGATTGATTTTGGCCTTTCCATATCTGAACCCTACAAAAATTCATTTATTGTTTTACTTGATCCATTTTTGACAGCCTCTTGTTACTATTAAACTCCTAAATGTGTACACTATTTTATGTAATATTCTTTCGCCATGTAATTAATGAGAAACTTTTATTTCAATACAAATCTTGAAATTAACTCATTCAGGCCATGTGAGCTTTTGCCATCAATTGGCATCCATCATAGTCAGTCTTTTCTGAAACTATTGGGCCAAATGTAACTTAAGTTTACCTGAATGTTACTTGGGGAATTTAGTTCAAAATTTGTAACCAGAGATTTAATCTGTCAACAAACATGGTCAATGTTGCTAAAATAGAACATAGGGGTAAAATGCTGTTTTTGGCTTTTTTTCTCAAAAACTTAAGCAGTTACACCATATTTGACAGGGAAAAAATGATCAGCTGGTCAAGGTATATCGCCTTTGAAATTTCCAAGTTTTTAGGTTAATATCTTGAAAACTATATCAGATAGAGAGATATTCTAAACAGTAAAAGTGATCTACTAATAAATCAACATGGCAGAAATCATCAATTGACCCCTTATAGGGTTATTTCCACTAAATGATATTTACTGATTTTTTTTGGAATTTTTGTCAAAAACTATAGTAGATGGAGAGAAACTTTAAAAAGCAAACAGATCAGCAAGTTAAGATCTTCCAGTTAGTCAATATGGCCAAAATATTTATTATTGTGCCAGATTTGCATATTGCTATTAATTATAGCTGTCTGATTACAAATAAGAGGATATATACTTTTATACTGTTACTCCTAATTGTATGTTTGTCAGTTAAAATTTGCAGTTAAACTTTTAATGATAAACTTTAATCATTAAAGCAAATTTGACTTTTTTTTTACAATATTCTTCAACTTCCATGATTTTACTATTTCTCGTTTTGATATGTTGCAGTTCTTCTTGATTAAATTCATGTCCAATACATTTTAATTAATTTGTTACAGCATGCAAAAGTATTATTTTACCTGAAGCAGTACAAGAGAAGAGCACCACCAAGTGAATTTGAAATTAACTATAGGCATCACAAAGATAATGAAGAGGTAAACATGAGTTTCATGCTATTATATTTCATTGACTAATTTAAGATTTAACATTTGGATCTTTGTATGGCCAAAACAATTGTTGACAAGGATATAGTTCTATTGTAGTTAAATCTGTGCTTATATAATTAAGGATTTACTATTAAATAACATTTTTTTTTTTAAAGATGATTAATTTCTTATCCTTTTTTTTTTTTCAGTCTCAGTACTTAGCACACTGTTGTACATACATTTACTAGTTTTCAGTACATTGAATTTGAAAGAAAATAACAGTGTACCTCTTATATAAGCTTGACTTTTTATCATATTGTATATACTTTGAGAAAGAAACTGGAATATCCTTAAATGATATACTTTACATTATAGATGAAGATATTGACTGATTCCCTGTCACCCTACAGTAGTACCAGGATACCATTACATCCACTCTTAGATGGTGCTAATGCTTGGAAAATTATAAGTATATATACATTATTCTCTAAAAAAAACAGAAGTGGAGCTTTAATAAAATAAAATTGGATACCAATATGGCTTTCTAAAGAATATAAATGGGATGGATATACATGAAACACAACACCCATGAATAAATACTAAAGTGTTCAATATATTAAAGTATGAACAATTTATTTACTGTTTTTGACAGCCCCAGAAGGTCTGTGGTGGTAAAGAGCTTGTAAAAACCCTTACAAGAAGATCAAGTCAAGCACCTTGGATGTAAAACATGTATTTATATTTGTTGATAACACTACACCAATATCTGTGAAAGAACATAAACTTAAAACAATTACTGTGCATAATAAAATGTTTTATTTTAAAGCTCCAGAACTAAGGAAAGATACAATTAGTAGTTGGCTTCCTGTTTCACAGTCACTGAAGGTAATGACAGTAAGGTTTAAGTAAGATAAGTTTCAGTACTTGAACATGTCACTTGACGGTATGCTTATGTAACAATGATGTCTCTACAGAATCTTAAGACACTGAAAAATTTATTCAGATATAACAGAAGTAAGGATGTTTGAAGTTAAATTTTGGCACAAAAGGAAATTGCAGAGAGTAGAATGTTTTTTGAGATGTTCATTAAAATTGTGAATGGAAATGGGGAATATGTCAAAGAGACAACAACCCGACCAAAGAGCAGACAACAGCCGAAGGCCACCAATGGGTCTTCAACGCAGTGAGAAAATCCCGCACCCTGAGGTGGTCCTCAGCTGTCCCCTAAATTAAATTATGTACTGGTTCAGTGAAAATGGACGTCACACTAAACTCCAAAACATATAAAGGAACTAAAATTAAAAAAACATACAAGACCAACAAAGGCCAGAGGCTCCTGACTTGGGACAGGCGCAAAAATGTGGTGGGGTTAAACATGTTTTGTGAGATCTCAACCCTCCCCCTCTAGCCAAAGTAGAATAAAGAAACACATAGCAATACACACAGTAAAACTCAGTTTAAAAGAAGTCTGAGTCCGATGTCAGAATAGGTAACAAAAGAAAGTAAGCAAAATGACAATGATACATAAATTAACAAAGGACTACTAGCAGTTACTGACATGCTAGCTCCAGACCTCAATTAAACTGATTGAAAGATTATGTCTTCATCATATGAAAATCAGGTACAATCCCTCCCGTTAGGGGGTTTAATATCATACCATCATAAAATATATGAGAAGAACATAACCCGTATCATGCCAACAACTGGTTTTAGAATAAATGTGTTTATTTCGGATGCAAAGACCCTATGAGTGAATCAATATTAATACCAAAATATGCAATCCTTAATGACCTGACAACAGTATTGTAACTATATTTCTTCCGAATAAGTCTGTTTAAAGGTCTGGTTAGCTTTTGAGGTGAATGCCGACATTTTTGTGCTTTGTAAAGAATATTACCATAAAATATTGGATGTGAAATACCTGAACTAATAAGATGTCTGCATGTTGATTTATATATACGAATGATGTCCTTGTACGGATGATAAAATTTAGTAAATGTTTTGACTAGTTTGTGATATCGAAAACCCTGGTGTAATAATTTTTCAGTAATACAGAGATTTCTTTCGTTGAAATCAAATACGTTGTTACATACACGAGCCAATCGAACAAGTTGAGATATATAAACACCATAAGATGGTGACAAGGGAACGTCACCATCTAAAAATGGATAATTAACAATAGGAAATGAAATCTCTTTTATCATAAATTTTGGTATTAAGCTTCCCGTTAAAGATATAGATATCAAGATCCTGGAAAGGACAGTGTTCATTGTTAGTATTAGCTTTATTTAAAGTCAGTTCGGCAGGATAAATTAGTCTTTTTATTGTCATCAGTTTTCATTTCTTGTATTCTCTTCATATTTTAATGAAGGTTTACTCTAAAACTTGGATGAGTTCATTATCAGAATAAGTTATATATGGAGAAACATTTTTGGTTGTGGGACTTAATAGATTGGGCAAATGTCAAATAAATATACATGTCATTAGGATAAGGCCAACTTTGTAAGGCCACAATAACTTTGAAAAACCTTATTGAAACTTTGGAAGAAGCCTTTTTGTTATCAAGAGTCTGAAGCAACGTTTTGAAATTTTTTATTTCATTTCTGTATTTTTTTTGATAAATTTACATTTTTTCTGCAGTTAACTTTTAGATATAGTCTGCAGTTAAAACATTTAAGACATCAATAACTTTGTTAAACCTTTATAGAATGTTATGAAACTTGTACAGAAGCTAATCCTCAAGATAAAAAATTAGCATCTAAAAAAAGCTTAATTAAACAAAATTGTATTTAACTGATAAATAGACTTAGTTTTCAACAGTTATTATTATACTTTTCATTGACAGCAGGCATGAGACAGCGTTCTGTGAAATTTTAAAGTTTTAAACATCATTATCTTACAAAAACTTCGTTTAAGCTTCTTCATCTAACCTTACAATATTTCAAAAACAGGGATTGCTTTAGGTAACAAACAAATTTACTGAAATACAACTACAAGTGTCATAGCAGCTGATTAAAGAAAGAAAAATGATTAAAAAGGATTTGAAAAGGAGATGATGTAAAGGTCAATATATTATTTCGACTTTAATCCATTGTGGAAATTTTTGGTAAAGCTGTGTTTTTGTTATTGCTGTCATTGGCACTGCACCACATTTTGTTTCATTTATTTAGATGTCAACTGATCAGATTTTCATTGTAACCATCCAAAATATGGTAAATTCCTATGTATCTACTGACAAAGAACCAGCAACTGTTAAGAGCCAGTGGAACTGGCAGAAGAAAGATGCTAACAAAGAGCTTTTGACTAATGTTAAGTCTTTACTGGAGAAAGTATCCAATTGTGAGATGGCGATGGCTTGTGGTAAATGGATGGTTACTCAGTTACCTTCTGGTAAGTTATCTGACACATTCTACAGTAAATATGCAGTGGGTTTGTTATTGGCTTGATGTTAATTTTATGCAGTTCATTGGTAAAATGCAAACCTAGAACTAAAGACATACCAGGTGAATGCCAAAAAAAAGGATACACATTCAAATTGTTATTACTTGTAATGTTGGCCGATTAGGGGGAAACCAATTATCAATTACAATCTGAGGTGTTATCAATTTGTAATTGGTTATTTTTCATTTTCAATATTATTTAATGCCATTTATTTTAAAATATAACTAAAAGTGGATAATTCCAAATTGAGATTTGTATTCTGTCTCATTTAAATTTAAATTTCTAGCATGATTTTTATGCCCCCGCCACAGTGGAGAGGGCATCAAGTGTTACGCATGTCTGTATGTCCGTCTGTACATCCCAAAATTAGTTTCTGTTCACTTTCTTTAGTTTGCCTCAACCAAATGTTATGAAACTTACACACAATGTTAATTACTACACAACTCAGATCGAGTTTGAATTTGGTTGGAGTCACTTGCACCATTCCAGAGTTATGTCCCTTTATACATGGAACAAAATGCTGAATTTTTCGTTTCCATTCTCTAAAGTTTGCCTCAACCAAATGTTATGAAACTTATATGCAATGCTTATTACTACAAAACTCAGATCAAGTTTGAACTTGGGTGGTGTCACTTTTACAATTCTCTAGTTATGTCCCTTTATAATGTTAAATGCAAGTAGGGGCATCATCTGTTTCCCATGGACACATGCTCCATTTATTTTTCTTTCTGGATGATAAAAACAACAGAAATTTGAGCAAAATAAGAAATATAAGTTAGAATTGATTTACCTTAACTCAATAAAAAAATTTAAAGATCAATTGTCAATATTTGTGAAAATTTCAGGTGCTGAGAAAGTTATGGGATTAGAAGGTTGTATATACCTTGCACAGAAATGGTATCAAGCTTTACCAGAAAGCAGGGTTAGTATTGTTTTGTTGACACTAAAATATATAAACGTAGTATTTTTTACAATTTTGTTATGTGAAATGGTAGTTGATTTAACTATTTAAAATAGTTGAAATACATTAAGAGTCATTTAAAAAAATAATTTATAGACTACAGACAAAGAAAAGGCCAAGGCTGCTGTGATTAAGTTCAATGCTATGTGGAGAAGATTGGCTACAGAACAGATATTATTCCTACATGGAATACGGACACCAGAACTTCATAAACAGGCAGACAAACCTAAACAGTTGATTGTAGCATTGTATGAACATCCTTGTATTGTTGACACTACAGAAGATGCTGATGTACCAGGTAGTCAAATTATAGTAGAGTATTGTTATTGATGGTCATTCTGTATTAGAATATCCTCCAATAGAACTACAACCTGACACAGTTCCTTTACCGTAATCAACCAGTTCATTTTTACTATAGATATATCCCTTAGTAAATTAGGGCTGTTCAAAAATTGATTGTGGTGGAAGGGATTTATTAATTGTGGGTTGTCGCATTATCCATAAAATTTTGTGAGAATGATAAGTAAAAATCAATGTTATAATATGAGTTATAAGGGTCTAAAAAAAGGTACTTTCCATGCTTTGTATAAAAATGAAAATGTATTTAACTGCTTATGATGATACTTATTTGTGCATGGATCTTTCCACTAAGATTGGTTCTATTATGAAATAGTAGAGTTATCACTCCTTGCACAAGTGAGAGTGGATAGGAGGAGACTTGCATCTATTATAAAACAACCTTTTATTCCCTATTGTTTAAAGTTAATACCGGCTGCAGAAAGTATGCAAGATTGTGTTGATGTGTTTGTACAGCTGAAAACTATAACAGGTTCCTAGAAGCATTTAGCTCTAATAGTAACTTTTTATTTTCAGACATCCATACAGTTGTAGAAGAAGTTGCCAATTTAAATGACATTAATCTACAATGTATGATGGTAGAGTTGTTACAGAAATGGCTGCCATCTGCTTCCTCGAAACAGCAGGACGCTGATACTGTAGGTGTTCATATTGTTATTTATAGTGTTTAGGTTTAATTAGAAGTTAGGGCTATTCAATTAAAATGTATGTGGGAGGGTAGGAAGGGACTTTCAAAATATCCCTACAACCAAGAACCATTTTTTAGATAATTTTGCATAATGGTAATAGATGCATACTGAAAAAAGACCCATGACCCACATTCAATAATTAAACTTCCCTTCCTACCCTCCAAAATACATTTTAATGGAATAGCACTGTTTTTGCCATATGTTACTATAAAGCCATGTTAAGTTAAATTAAGATGTCTTTGAATTTTCCCATGTCATGATGAAAGACTGTAAGATAAAAAATAATACAACATCCAAAAAAGGAGTAGGTCCGGTAAGGGCCAATTTTGGCCTCAAATTTCAGGTTGATATGACGAAGGATTTTGGACACTTTTTGAACACTAAAGTGTCTATTTCAGTTGATTCTATCAGTTTATGTGAAAGATTTTCACTGATTTAGTCATTAAAAACGCTCCGATTCAAGCTTAAATATGAAAAATATATCAAATATGCCAAAAATGTCACTTTTCAGATGGTTTTTGTCAAAAATGAAAGTGGCCGCATCCGTGTTCATCCTCAACCTTTATATATGTTATGTATTATCATCAAATACAACTTACATTTCAATATTTAGAATGAACACAAATGCGGCCACTTTCATTTTAGACGGAAACCGTCTAAAATTTAACTAAAATGCTAAAATTGTGAAGATTTCAGTAATTTAGCCTGACTAAAGGTTGCTAGTACCCGATACATGTGCATTGTATTGTCAAAAACAACCCATATTTATGTAGCAGAAGCATTCTTCTTACCAATAAATAACTTAAAGTTTACATTTTAACCATTTTGTAAAACTGCTATATTTTGGGGCCAAAAAGGGGTCTTACTGGACCTACTCCTTTATAATTCTGAGATTCAAGTGAGAGGGTAAGAAAAAATATAAATAGGGACTGTCTAGAATGTTTTAACATTGCAGATTCAGCTAAATCCTGCTAACAGACATACACAGACTGTACACTTGCAAATTATTTTTTTTAGTGAATTTCTCAATAAAGGAATTTTGATAATAAAAAAATCTTTTTCAGACTGCAACATTTAATTTTGACAACCTTAAACTTGGTAATGAAACAGTGAGTACTGATGATGATGAAGATGATCAGAATTTGAAAAGGTAAATGCCATTTTGTATTATTTAAACTAGAGTACATTCTTATGAGATTTTCCCAAGTGTTACATGCAACAGTATATAACAAACCCCTTATTAACCAGAATATGTATGCAAAGAGCAAGTTATGGTGTATAACATGCAGGAAAGACCCACATGTTTTGCTGGCCATTTAAGCTGAAGAACATTGACAAATGGATAGATTCCCTTGCAGTATCGGCCATGCAGTATTTTGCTTTAGATTGTTTATATGAATTAGTTTAAAACACATTTGAAAATGTGAAAAAGATACAAGTTTCTGGTATTCATTTTGAATTCGAATTTTTCTTTTGTGTACTAGTAATCAGGTGACCAAAACTTTAAGACATGTATCATCATACTGTTATATAAAAGTATAGACAAGCAACAGAGCATATCCATTATGGCAGTTTCCATGCATGAAGAATAAAAACGAAACTTTAAACATAAAAGATGTTAAAGTTATGGAATGCACACAAAAGGACAATGATAGAAGAAAACAACAAATATAAAAAAGAAAAAAAGTAAATAATTAAGGAAATGGATAGAACCATCAAAGTTGATGTAATTTGTGTGTTTTGATCATTTGAAATATAACAAATTAATCTTAGCAGTTACAAGTAAGAAACATTTCTAATTTTCAGGGTTATGTACTTACTAAGAAGAGGCGACAGAGAGCAAAACCTTGTGTACCTCATTGAGTTTGTTTTCACGGTAAGTAACCCCAGCATTTTAATTTGAAGCAGAAAGAAGGGTTGACTGTTTTTTAGTTATTTGCACAGATATTTTGTGCTTTTGACTGCAGTACTCAGGAAGTACTTTAATTTTTTGTTTCCAGTTTGGCTGGTTTGTGTGGAATAAGAGTTAGGTTGGTTTTCTGAACTGATGGCTTTAAGCTATGAAGTCGTCTTAAAATATTAAATTCTAGGTTTTTGTTCTGCCTCTAAGGTGGCCTATTCGAGACTAAGTGGTAGTGTTTCCAGCTGCTAACAATTGATTTTCTTCCTTGAAACAATACATTTTATCATTGTGCCAAATAGAAGAATGTAATGTGTTTCATGGCTGGTAATTAAGATCACTAATTACTTTTGTTTTAATGGAGATTCTTTTTTAGGGGGAGTGGGGTGCAGGGGTGCTCTTTCTTTGAAAAACCAAGATCATTGAATTTGAATGATTTTTGTTTTGCAGTCTGACCAGACACAGGAGAGAACCAATATGTGTAAGTTAAGAGCTCTTCACTGTCTATTGGAACTTGGAGAAGAGAAACTTCTCAAAGATTTAGTCGCCAGATCATTTGATGACCTTAGGTAAGTATAAAGTAGTTTAATGGGGTACACCAGTGTAATTGTTTGGTATATGGCACATGTATATTGATCCTTTTTTTCTAATGAATTTACCTCAAACATGTCAAATGTATTGTAAAAGAAGATATGATTCTTTTCAATGCCTTGCTTGGTTTCTTTTATTGTCGGTTGTCCACCCCAGTTTAAGTTCAGGTAGTTTGATCATTATGGCCCAGGCCTACTAATTGACAGAGACCTATAGTTATCAGCTTCTTTGTCTGTCTATCCACCACAAATAGTTTCCACTCTCTAGCTTTAAAAACCCTTGGGAGTTCAGTGATATAACGTGACATAATTATTCACCAACACTAGAAGGTGTGTTGCACACACGGTAGAAAACTACATGGTCAAAAACATAGTTCAACTTGGCCACTCTTGTTTAAGACATTAAATTAATATATATAAATATAATCAAATGTCCAGGAAAAGCCTACATCAGCTAAGAAATATGAAAAAATATAATTTCACCATTAAATTTCAGCAAATGTCCTTTCTAGTCATGATTTTTAAGTATAACCCCAAAACATTGAAATATATAACGTAATTATATTGTAGAGAACTGATGAAGACTTTAACATACTTAGTGGAACTGGAAAAACTTCATATTCTCCACTCTGTTGAAACATTCCAGGAATCTAATAAAGAGGGACTCATAAAAGGCATTTGGAGGAATCATTACCATCAAAAATCTGTAAGCATTCAATCTGTAATTGACAAAGGCTGGATAGAATTTTTTTTTAAATCAGATGCTTATATATATGGATAAAAGGAGTATATATATAAGAGAGCCTAAGATTGTATTGAAACATTATCTGATGTGAATTGACTGATTCAGTTTGATATTAATTGGTCTAAATGTGGTTTGACTGTGTATATTAAGTCTTAGCAGTCCTGTAAAAAGGTGCACCAGTCTTGATATAGTAAAGGTCTGATAATTAGAAACACATGAGGAATTAAAGATACTTTGCCACTGAAGTTCATTTTTATAGTATAATATTGATCAGCCTTACTTGAGTCATATATATATACTACCATTTTATACTTTAGTGACTTTAAGCAAATTTGTGTTAAGGTTTATTTCTTATGACTAACGGCCTAAACAGAACCCAGAAAGTCTTTATTTACCATGCATATGTTTTTTAGCACGAACAAATTGTTTCTGATACTGACTATTGGTTTTTATGCTGTTAATTCATTGTCATAAATTTTGGATTTAGATCAAAGTGGTAGCTTTTTAAGGTTGATTTATACAGGTGAATGTGGTGTAATTGTATCATATATCATCTTAGCTCTTTTAAATTTCATTTGAAGATGCCTATTATCTGCAAGCCTGAAATAAATTCTATTATAGTGCCACTATGTATGGTTTGACAAAAACATGCTGTTACTTAAGTACTTTTTCTGATTTTATCATCCCTTTCGAAATCTTTTATCTATATCTTATTTAATGTTTTGCAGGCTGCATTGTTAGTAGCTGGTATGTGTCTAGATTTTAAGGTTCATGAGAAACAGCTGTGGAATGGAGTTCTCCAACAAATATTATCATTTGAACTGGTGGGTTTATTTTTAGCTCACCTGGCCCAAGTTAGCTTTTCTCATCACTTGGCGTCTGTCGTTGTTTGTTAACTTTTACAAAAAACTCCTTCTCTGAAAATACTCTACTGGGCCAAATTTAACCAAACTTGGCGACAATCATTACTGGGGTATCTAGTTAATAAAATGTGTCTGATGACCTCCACCGTCATTTAAAATGGCCGGCATGATTAAAAATATAAAATAGGATTAAAATGCAAGTTTTGTCTATTATCTTGAAAACTGCTATGAATAGAGAAAAACTGTCAAGGGCAGAAATGTTCAGAATGATGAGATCTACCTTTTATCCCTTACATCAAAATTGTCAGATTACTTCTTATAGGAGTTATTGCCCTTAAATGACAAATTTTACAATTTTTTTATTTTTGGTTATTATCTTGATAATTATAATACATAGAGAAAAACTTTTAATCAGCAAGACAAGATCTACAAATATGTCCACATGGTCAAAATTGTCAGATGACTCCTTATTGGAGTTATTGCCCTTTAATGACGGTTTTTATTAATTTTTTGCATTTATGCTTAATATCTTAGAAACCATAATAGATAGATAGAAACTTGAATAAGCAAAAATGATCAGCAAGACAAGATCTACAAATAAGTGAACATGGTTGAAATCATTGGACGACTCTTTATTGAAGTTATTGCCCTTTAGTGATGATTTTTATGCCCCATCTAAGGGCATTATGTTTTTCGGTCTTTGCGTCTGTTCATCCGTCTGTCCCGCTTCAGGTTAAAGTTTTTGGTCAAGGTAGTTTGATGAAGTTGAAGTCCAATCAACTTGAAACTTAGTACACATGTTTCCTATGATATGATCTTTGTAATTTTAATGCCAAATTAGAGTTTTGACCCCAATTTCACGGTCCACTGAACATAGAAAATGATATTTCGAGTGGGGCATCCGTGTACTATGGACACATTCTTGTTACCAATATTTTGTGTTTTTGTCTAATATCTGAAATGCACATTTTAATAATGAGAATACTTGAGAAAAATTGGTGTTGGCTTTAGCTGTTTATAGTAGAAATGATCAAGACTTCCTTAGAATATATAACAATAGATTTATACTGGTTTAGTATTATTTAGAAGCAAAAATGGCTTGAACTATCCATAGTGTATCCAGGTTTATTAATACTTTATTTGTTTATCATATCAACCAACTTGTGTAGCAGCCAGAACAGTAAGTAAACTATACTGTTTTTATTCTGCATTATAAGAGATTAGTCTGACCAAGCTTAATCATTGAACAATGATGTAATACCCAGCTTTCACTATTATTCTATGCTATATGCATCACTTGTTTTTTTCCCTAGATGGAGAACCTGGAATACATTTTGATGAGACTTAACAGTGTCCCTGATGTATGGCAAATAGCAATTTATCCTAAAGCTTGGCAAACTGTTCTGGTTTCTCCACTGACCAAAGGTAAAGTCAAGTGTTATACATTATTTTGATAGTATTTACTTAGTTTATAGTGCAATGTCATGAAAGTAGAAATGGTTGCAAGTTTTTAATGTTGCTTGCTTCATATACAATTTTTGTCATCTTTTTATTTTTTGGTGCCATTACTTCTATATAATTGAAAGTAAATTTGAATTTTAGATTTGTCTGCTGCATAGTCTGCTGTTAATCAGAAGATAGCTAACATATCTATATCATTTGAAGAGGATAATGAATTAACCATCATAATGATCAAATTTGTATAAAAACTTAAATAGGAAGGATTACGTGGGAAATCTTCTTCAACCTTTCTCTAATAATGACAGATAATGTTTTGCAGGTTGATTGCTTTTGAAGCATAGCTGAATAATATATTTGTTGATCACCTAAATTGTAAACACCTCTATTTCAGTGGTTGCTCCTTTAAGTTCAGAGCAGCTTGAGTCATGTGTTCACAGTTTCAATTTATTAAAACGGTATGTATATTTCTTTAATACTAATAAGTTTGGATATCAACAAGTATAATATCAGTAACCATACTTTTAATTTCTTGAGTAATTTTACAGTGGGAAAAAATAAGAAAAGTTATACATAAATTTTCCGTATAAAATTTTAAGTTTTGCCGAAGGTAAGGCATGTTTGACCAGAGAGTAACATGAGGGCTTTTAGTCTGTGAATTATAACCAGTGTAAAGAAGTAATGTATTTCTGTTTGTAGATGTCCTATCCTTCATTGCCTAGATATGTCTGTGTTTGTACAACATTTCCTACGACTAGAAATGGAGGTCTGTGCTTTAAGTTGTCTGCTGTTCTCTGGAGAAGAAGAATCTATACAGGTAAATATTTAATAGAATTTTTGAATAGTATATCATATTACAAGTGGTATTCAACCAAATGTGATATGTAATTGACAGTGAAGACCAAGGGTCCGGAAACGGTCATATTTGCCAGTCATGTCCTAAGATGAAACTATTTGTCCTAAACGAGTAATTGGGATTTAGGACAAATTTTATTTTTTTACAGAAGTAATTTTGGTCATTTCATTGACTGAATGTTTGAAATCGGATAATGACGGATTTCTTAATCGCCATTTTGCACTTGTGATCACTTGTTTTTGTTTATAATCCCTTTCCTGTAATAAAACTGCCACTACAGTAGTTTGATAACCTGAGGGCCCTCCAAATATCTATATCAATGCCTCCGGGAAACATTGGCTAATGATCGCTAATCACTTTTTTAATACCTGTGATTTTAATTCACACTTGACAGTGATCACAAGCTCAGAATAATATCTTTAAAACATTTAAGTTCCCTGACAAGTGTATTCATTATTTATATACTTTTCATCAAAGACAGTCATCAATTCTGATTTAAAAATTAAATCTAAATTTACGTAGAAAAAAAGTATTTTTTCATGAGTAACACATGTGCTTTATTTTCTATGTAATACGCATGCGTGAAATTGTCTTCATCAAATTTGATATTTAATCGTACAATGCAAATTGATTTCATGCTAAATTAAACGAGTGCAACTATTATCTGTTATATGCAAACACTTTTAAAGGTAATAAAATAAAAAAGCCATAAAAAGCCGGTGATTTCCTGTCAATTTGATAAACAAAACAAATCCCGGAAATGAATCCGGAATTATTCGTACTTTAAAATATTGCAAACTTCCGGTTTTAACTTTTGTCAACGAAAGAAACGTAAGCAATGTCTGAGAAATTAACCATTTTGAGTCATTAAAATCATTTCAATTTAAGACTGTTGCCTTCCCTTAACTGTCCTTCATGGTAATGGTAAGACATTTACTTAGTAAATGCGATGAAACAGCAATACAAGTTCGTCATGTTCGTTGAAGCTATGAATATAGTCAAGTTGAAATCGACAATTTTGAAAAGGGGCACCAACTTTTCAAACATCTGAAAATGACCGAAATTGTCTGGAAAAATTTACGGATCCTTGGTGAAGACTATTTAGTTCTTACATGTCAATCTTTCACCATTTGATATTAATGTATATCTACCATTTCCCTTATTTTGAATTTTTAAATGGGTATTTCAGGAAGTTAATTGTTTTTTTTAAAGAATGAATCTAATAGACAATAATCAAATCTTTGTTATGCCTAACTATAAATATGGCCATGAAATATAGGTAAATCCTTTCCCATTTATTCTTACATTTTACTATATGGGCTTGATATGAGTTATTTTCCCATGTTACAATTTTGTTCTGCAACATGGTGCTTAGGGCTTATATCTCACACTTCAGTTAATTCTTGCATTTAGGTCCTTAGTGTCATGGGGGCCTCGGTGGCCCGAGAGGTCTAAGTAGTTACTACTGTAATCACTAGCCAGTCAACACTGAGGTTGTGAGTTAGAATTCTGCTCGTGCGAGTGCACTCGACTCCAATCTTAATTGACTAGGATTGACAGTTTTCCTATCGAAGGTCGGTGGTTTTCTCCAGGCACTCCGGCTTCCTCCATCAATAAAAACTGACCGCCACGAAATAGCCCACCAAAAAATCAAAAATCAACCTTAGTGTCATTATTTTTTGACAGGGCATCTATTTCCATTGCAGTTTTAAATTCTTAATTGATAATATTGGTAAGTCAAAGATAATAGATGAAGAAAAAACATAATTATTCAAGGGATAATCTTAAAGAGTTTCAGAGAAAAAAGGATTGCCTTGTATCTTATGATTTTAATAAGACTAATGGATATCAATTTTGATATTTGAATATTTTATCTTCCTGTATGTGATCATTTTTGTCTCGCCTGCGACCAAAGTAGCAGTATGTGAGACATAGGTATTACTAAACTATTTTTATAAAGCTTTATATTTCAGAAGGTAGAAGACCTGGATGCTTCATACCTTGTATGCAGATACTTTATGTTATGAAGTTTCTGTCTGTCATATGTTGATTGACCTCATTTTCATGATTCAGTGACTGCTTGAAAAAAAATTATTCTTTTTTTGTCATGTGAATTTTCTCACTTATTATGAGTAATAGGATAACTACATTTGGTATATTTGTTCCTTGCAACATCTACATGTCTGTCAGACAGGGTTGACCTGATCTTAACCTCATTTCATGGATCAGTGATCAAGGTTAAAGTTGCATGATTAGGTCTTTCTTATATGTCAACTATATGTGGTGTATGGAATGATTGTAAGGGGTACATGTCTGTCTGGCAGATTTCATCTGACCTTGACCTCATTTTCATGGTTCATTGGTCAATTTTGATTTTGTGTGTTTTGGTCTTTTTTTCAATCGCCATAAGCAATAGGTCAACTATACTTGGTTTGGTGTATGGAATAATTGTAAGGTGTACATGTCTGTCTGACAGGATTTATCTGCCCTTGACCTCATCGTCATAGATCTTTAAAAATGTGAAGTTTATGTGATACTTGTAGTAAAACCTTTATCTTTAAGACTTTCAACATAAAACCAATGGTCAGTAAAGCAGGAAACCAAAACCAATGGTCAATAAAGCAGGCAACCTATCAGCGTGTGCACTCTTGTTTATTATTCCACTTCAATTTCAATTCAAAGTTTGACCAATCTTTTTTTTGTCATTGTAGAGTGTGATTGCCAGAGAAAACAGACTTTTGGACAATGCAGAGAAATATCTATCATACAGCATGGACAGTTTCTCTGCACAACAGGTCAGTCTTCTTGAATTAGTTTATTATAACTTGACATACAATCACTGAACAAACATGTGAACAGTCTATCAGGAGGTATGGAAATCTAATTTAAGATTCTCATATAAAAATAAGCACTCACATAATGAAATTCTGAGAAAAAACTCTTGTATAAACAGATAGATTATAAAATTATAAAAAAAAATTGCTAAAGAGACTATACTCACGACCAAAATCTCCCAAAAAATATTCTCTTCCACTTTTTTACATGCTCTGGACAATGTTGCAAGATTTACAAATTTGTTAACCGAATAGTCAATTATCTTAAAATATTGAATGCAAGTGTAAGGTAATGTTCCCTTCTGTAATTAAAGTAGATTTGTATTGCTAGGTAACTATCTGAACAGTATTAAATTTTTTCAATATTTTGTTTTCAGGTGAAGGATCATGTATATGATTACATTATTAACAATGAAGAATTTTCAATGATTGTTGAAACCAAGTTTTTACCAGAGTTGACCATTCATGCTGTGAAGCAAAAAAACATAGCTGGTCTAATTAAATTTGCAGTAGAGAAAGACAGGTAAAAGGATATGACTAACTTCCTCGTAAAATTATAAAATGTATAGAAGCAAACTTATGTAAAAGGTCATGATCCAAACAAGATAATTTATTTTGGAATTGAACTAATGCATAAAATTATGTTGGTAATAATGGGTTCTATGTTTACAACTTAAATGATGATTAATAAGCATACAGCTACTGCAAATATGTAGTACTAGAGCAATTCAAATTCAAAGTCAATCAAAAAGGATCACAAAGGGGAAAAATGCACAGGAAAGATCAGTTTTTGCAAATTGTTGAATTTGATTAGCGTTATTGCTTTATACTTGACTTAAATCTCTCGTTAAAGGAGTAGGCCCGGTAAGACCCCATTTTGGCCCAAAAAAAAAGCATTTTTACAAATTTGTTGAAATGTAAACTTTTAGCTATTTATTGGAAAGTAGAATAGTTCTGTTCCATAAATATGGGCTGTTTTTGACAGTACAATGCACATGCATCAGGTACTAGCAACATAAATTCATGCAATATTACTGAAATCTTCTCAATTTTCGCATTTGTGCTAATTTTAAGACGGTTTTTGTCTAAAATGGAAGTGGCCGCATTTGTGTTCAGTCTTAATATTTAAATATATGTTGTATTTGATGATAATACATAACATATATAAAGGTTGAGACTGAACACGAATGCGGCCACTTGCATTTTAGACAAAAACCATCTGAAAAGTGACGTTTTATGGCATATTTGATAGATTTTTAATATTTAAGCTTGAATTTGAGCGTCTTTCATGACCAAATCATTTCATATATTTTACACAAACTAATTCAATCGACTGAAGTAGACACGTAAGTGTTTAAAAAATGTCAAAAATCTTTCATTAGATCTATTTCGAATTTTAGTCCAAAACTAGCCCTTACCAGATCTTCTCCTTTCTTTAAGGAATTAAGGGTAGAGTAATGTGGTCTTTTTATCTGACAAGAACCATTTTTCACTGACATGCTGTATTTATTTACATTTAAAGTGTGTGAAACCCTTGATAAAAAATGCACACTGTTTTTTGAACATTACTTGAACTATGCAATTTTTTTTATTTTATAATCCAGAAAAAGAGATGCTGACAAAGTCCTACAGTTGTTTATATCAGAGAATACAGATTACTTGAATAGGTTGTTAAAGATAACATCTGGTGATGACGGTTCAGAATTCTCACTTCTAAAGGTAAGGTTTCCTTTATTTTATTATTATTGTAGATTGCATTTTTGTATATCTCTGCATATTAAATTTCATTCCTAATGTATAATTTTTCAACATAAGAGGTTCTTCCTTTTCACATTTGAATTTTCAGTTATTCAATAGAAAATTTATATAACAAATTGCTCATCAAGTGAAAACACTGAAAAGGTTAGTTGATTATGATCTTGAACCTATCCATATGTAAAAATAAGTAGATGTGGTATGATTTCCAATGAGACAACTCTCCACCACAGACTTAATGATGTAAAATTAGCAACTATAGGTCACTGTACAGCCTTCAAGAACGAGCAAAACCCATACGCATAGTAAGCTATAAAAGACCCTTAAATGACAAATGAAAAAAAAAAAAACAATTCAAATATGCTTGTTTGGGTGGGAATTTAAATTTATGGTTGAAAGGGTCACTTAAAAATGTATATAGTATATATGTATTCTCATTGTGTCACTTATCAGAAGAACAAAAATTGTATTATAAGACATTAGTGCAAAATCTAATTCAAGGTGTATGACACAAAAAGTTAAATAAAAAGTTGGTCTTTGTTTTGTAGGAATGTTTGTGAAAATTTATCTTCAATGTCTCTATTAGGTATTCTATTTAGTTCCAAAGCTCACTTGATCATACATACACATGTTTTAAAAGTGCTTCTAATAAGGTCTTTACCTTATCTCTTAATGAATATCTTTATCTTAGTTATGTTCTTTCTATTTGTAGGCATACATGGAGTTAGAAGGTATGGGTGATTTGGTTTACTTGTTGTAGCGATTGTAGTCATCAGTTCTTCAAACCTTGAACTTACATTTCTGTTCTTCTAGAAAAAAAATACTCCATACAGAATTTATCATGACAAGCATTATTTGGCTGTTCTGTGTATTGTGTCATATTTTGACAAGCTCAGCTCCATGTTAGAATGAAACAGATGGTGGCACATGATAAGGAATCACTTTCATTCTACTTCACATATGGTGTATATTAATTCCTTGCTGTAACATGGAGTATGGATATTATAATTAGGAATCCTGATGACCCTATATCAACATTTGTATTTATTTATTTATTTATTGTTTACTTTCGTATACTTTTGTACATTTCAAAATAATTTATATGTACACTTTTACTGAATGCAAACTTGAGCAAGATTTACATTACGGCTGTGTTAGTTATTGTAGATAAAAATTTGTCTCCTGGGATTTCGATGTAATTCATAAAAAAAATGCTTCTGCAAATTGATAGCACAAATGTGGTCAAATTTGGTTGTGTATAAATTTAATCTCAATTGTGACAAGTAGTTGATATGTTATTCATTTTACAAATTTGTCACCAATTTATGTGAAATATTTAAATGCTTATATTAAAAAAAAAATGAACTATCACGTTAAGAAGAAAGGGTTATTTAAAGATTGATTGGCAAAGTCATTTTATATGTGCTTGTGATGCAAATGTTTTGTTGAAAAGTGCTGGCATTTATTCATTAAAAATGTTTTGTTTCTTTGAATTGTATATTTGTGGTAGTCCAACAAGGAGTTCATAGATATTTTTTTTTCTGAAATGGGCAAATGTGGATATTGTCATTACAATAATCTCTTTTCCATCAGCCATTTAACGTTCTCTTCTGAAACCGATTGGATGCAGAATCAAAGATATACAAATATGTGTAACATACCATACCTGAGCAACATATGGCAACTGTAACTAATTATGCATCTAAAATGGCCACCATTGCCTAACATAATTTTTACATATTACCAAATGGGATAGTGAAAAATCTCTAAAGCAGCCATTCAAATTTCAGCAGTTGTTAGCTTGAATTAACTTGTGCCAGTGATATGGCCTGAGCTAAATGCTGATGGGAAACAGTTTGACTTAATATTTTGCCTTAAAGTAAGTTCAGTTCTATTTGCTACCGGAGGCCTATAGTTTTAGGCCATTTAACATGAGGGTGGGAGGATGTGGGTTTGATCCCCATCAAAGACAATTGAAAGACATTAAATTGGTATTTGGTGTTTCACCGCTTTAGCATGCAGATATTAAGAGTAAGAGCATAGGCTAGTTGGCTAGGAGTCAAGAATAGGTAGGTAGGTAGTGTGACAGGTCTTCCTGGGAACTATTAACTAGCACATTATAAGATCCGGCTCAGCATGTCGGTCTAGTTCAAAGCAGGATCAATATTCATATCACATCATGTTTTTGTCCTGAATATGCATTTAATTTGCCACTGGACGTTAAACACCCATCCATCCATCATTTAACTCTTGACACTATATGGGCTATTTTCATAACTTTGCATTCATTACCAATTTATGATTTATCTTTTTTACATTCACATCCTTACTGAAGCTACTTGTGACATACCAAATATTTTCAAGGTAAATTGGAATGATAGTTTGTAGAAAATTTGCTGAGATACTTATTTTTGTTCTGATGGGAATTCATATATAGCAATTTTTGCAGTAGATTAGTGCAGTGAATGATAAGGTAGTTCATATTATATTATCTTTCTTGCATCTACTCAGACAAAATGACTATTCCTGGTTAAGGACTAATCAGTATGCAATATGGTAGCAGAATTGAAGTCATGGTGAGCAAATTATTATGAGGCCATTCTGTAGTTTAACATTCATCTCAATAGGCATACCAAGCCTTACAAAATATTTCCGATGATGTAATTACAGTAAATAAGAAAGAAACATCATTGTCTGTGCTTGGTTTTAAGTGACCACTTCGAATATGTTTTCAAACTATTTCTTTAATCCTTTTTAAAGCCGTTATGATCGAATATTGAAACTAGTTCTTCCGATCAAGTTTGTTTTGAACACTGGTTCATCTTACCTTGAACCCATTTTCTAGGTTCCTTGGTCAACCTTACGTTTTAGGAATATACTCAATTGTAAATGTTAAGAATATTTTATTTATAGAACAATTTTAAGATGTACATGTCCATCTGAGTGGGTTCATTTGACTTTGACCTCATCTTCCTGATTCATTGATCAAATTAAGTGTATATGATAAGATCAGTTGCTAAATTACTGCCATTACTAGGTTAACTGTATTTGTATTATAGAAAGACTGATGTAAACATGTCCCTCTTAGATAATTCATCTGACCTAGACCTTATTCTCATGGTTCATTGATTATTAATAAGTTCCATTCGTTAGGTAAATTTTTTCAGTTAACAAATAGGTCAACTATATATTGTCTTGAATAATTGTAAGGTGTGCATGTCTTTTTGGTAAAGTTCATCTGACCATGATTTCAAGTATTGTTCCAATTAATTCATAAAGGGCATTACCTCAACAACCAGGATGTAGCTGTGTTGGGCATTAAATCTATACTCACTCAAATAAAGTTACCAATGCCTGTGCCTATGTAAATATGCACAAATGAACTGTAAAAAATTGGGTTATACCTTCAAATCAGTTTATTCAAGTATGAATTCCATTAGTGTTGTCAATAATATTCCGGCTAGTTTGATCATTTATATGAAGTTAGAATACTGACAATATTATTGACAATTGTTATGATCAACACACAATTAGAGACAATTTCTGAGATTTAATATGAATCTTCTCCACTTGCATGCCAATCCTTATTGACACAATTACATTTCACTTACATAATTAACAGACACTTTGTTAAACAACTCAATACACAAACCAATACACATTTATTGACCTAATAAAAAACTGTTTGAACTATAAAAATGATAGATTTAATTATTTACTTTTTATATTTGATCTACACAACATAAAATTTTCGGTAAATTATTTCTCAAAGACGAATGATCAGGGATGATTGATATTTTGTAATTAATAATTTTCTACAAACAATTAGCAAAATTGCACAGTTCTTACTGGAACAAACCAATAAAAAGTATGATGAGGCCAGTTTTTGGTCCTTTTAAATTACAGTAAAAAACAGTGTGAACTTGAAAATGACTGAGAGGGAAACATGCACTTCTAAAAATGAGGCATAGTATTTAAGGAAGAAAGTATACATAGAACTAAAAGCGACCAGGAGCAGGTAGAAGTCTCATATCAGAAAAAAACCTAATGAAACCATGTATGTGTACCCCATTTACATCTAAAAAAAGATGCGAAACATTCAGGAGCAAGTTATAATGAACTGAAGTCAAGTTGAAACCGAAGTCGAAATAGTTGGGTCAGAAGAGCACCTATGTTATGGAACAGTCCTCTCAAAGCCCACAATCGAAATCATGGTTCAAGAAGGGGAAAAGAAATAAACAATAAAGTTAAAACAAACATCAGAACAAATGTACACATAAAGGTGACAGAGAAAATGAAGTGACAATTACTCAGCCTAGTTAACATAATCAAGGATTACAACTGAGTACAATACAATAACATCAGTAAACCAACTGGAGTATAGGACTTTACGACATACCCTATTTCTATATTATTTATTTACTCGCAAATGAAGATGCCGAACCAGAATAAAATGAGACCTATATTGACAGGACATATCATAATTGGTAGTATAAATTAATATTCAATATTAAATCCTATGCATCAGGCGAATAAACAGAATAAAACTCATTAAAGTTACTAGGCTTATTATCTTGTACGCCAGACGCACTTTTCGTCTACAAAAAACTCATCAGTGACGCTCGAATCAAAAAGTTAAGATGCCAAATCAAGTACGAAGTTGAGGCGCATTGTGGACCCAAAAATACTGAAAGGTTTTACCAAATATAGCTAAGGTGGTATTCATGGAGGTAGAAAATCCTTAGTTTTTCGAAAAATTCAGTTTTGTAAACTTAATAAATATGACCATATCAATGATATGTCATGTCAACAGAATGGCTGGTGATATCCTCGGGAAGTAACCACCCACAAGCAGTGACATCGACCCAATGGTTGTAAAAAAATCACCAAAGATACCAGGCTTATAATTTTGTACGCCATGAGAATATGTCAATATGGTAAAATATGTAGAATATTCCAATCTGGAAATATACCACACAATGCTCAACAAAAATATCAACAACCACAAAATCCACATCGTACCAGTATATAGAAATAAAAACAACCTATATTGAGTATATTACAAGCATGCTAAAAAGTATGATAAATGTGTACTCGCCCTCTGGAAATGAGAATTGTGATGTAAAGTATGAAGATCTGCTAGTACGTGGACGAGATAATTTAAAATTTAAGGAAGAATATCAAATACTGCTTTGCAGGGAATTAAATGTGCTAATACAGAGACAACAGATCAAGGACGTATATTTGAAACATTTCATAACCAACAATCAACTTTTTATAACCATGATAAAATATCCGAATCACAGATAGACTATTTTCTACACACGAGAGCGGAGAAGAATATACAGTATGTATAATCCCAAATTAGACATTGAGCCTCTTAATGTTTCTGATAACAAAATTCTTATTGATGAAGTTTCAGGAACAGTGAATAGAAAACAACGGCAAATAAAGAAAATGTTAAACGTCCAGAATGGATAAAGGTTTATACAAAGAAGCCTTTGTAACTTAACTAAGGGGAAATTGACATAACCACAATTTGAACAACAACTGAAGCAATTGAAAATCTAGAGCATATATTTCATTATGCAGGAAACATTTGAATACCTTATGACAACAAAGGGCAACAGTGTTTGAAACTAAAACACAAATAATGCTCGAAAATCTAAAACCAAAGATGGCTTCCATTTATGCAAGCAAGATCAGCAAAATCACGAGCTTAAAAATGAAATGCAATCTGCAAATAAAGGCAACAGTAGTATACTGCTGTTCAAAAGTCATAAATCGATTAAGAGAAAACAAATCCGGGTTACAAATTAAAACCGAGGGAAACACATCAACTATAAGAGGAAAACAACGGAACAAAAGAAACACTGAACTGCAACAAAAACAAACGCCAACATACATAAAAACGGACTATTTGATAACAACTGCCATATTCCTGACTTGGTACAGTACATTTTAAGAAAAAATGTTGGGTTGAACCTGGTTTTATGGCTAGCCAAACCTCCCACTTATTTGGCAATGTTAAAAATTACCGCTAAAATGACAACACTACGTGACAGAAATACAGTACAAACAAACGCAAGAACACTCAGCACAGAGAAATACCGGTACATAAATAAATAATATAAAAGTACATTACAACATGTAAACCGCAGAATAACAACGGACATCTATGAATTAACGACAGCACAGGACACCACAAACTGCGCGTCACATGAATGGACCAACGCCACAAAAAGTAACGTATATTTTATCACAGGTAATCTTGAAATTCATACAATTATATGGAACGAGATCCAAAAATTCACTATTATTTTCACAATACTAGTCCAAATACTTATCATGATTATGACGGTCTTGAAAGGCTAATGCTGTGACGACGTCATAATTATTTGGACTAACACAATACTTTATCCATGGAAAATGGAAATTAACTCTACTATACTGACAAATAAGATATATGTGAAATGTACCGAAAATACAGAAT